TAATTAAATTTTTAATAGAAAAGGCTATCATGGCAGTTGGTTCCAACAATTATGCACTTGTTCTGGCCTCCAGTTATGTACAATGCTAAGTTTCGTGACTGGTATTTTACAACAAGAACTTTACTGGCAAATGCCAACCACCCGATAGTATATTCCAAATAGCGTACATCATATAAAGTGAATGTTGGCAAGTAACTCCATTATCCTATATTTTCTACTATCTTAGAAATATGTTTTTTTGTTGCAAAACATGTGGTTAGAGGAGTTCGTATGAAGGTGCCATAATTAACTTTGGATTCATCTCAAAATCATTTCAGAGCAACCCAATTGCTAGATGGCATGTTTGCCAAGGTTCAATCAACGCCATCTCCTTTTCACCAGATGGAGCATATTTAGCAACTGTTGGGCGAGATGGTACTTCCTTTGTCCCAATAGTAGATGGTTCTTTATTCCTTATAGAACCCACTGATTCTGTATTGCTTATTAAAATAACACTATAAAACCTTATTTAGGTTATTTGAGAGTGTTTGACTTTTCGAAGGAGCAACTAATATTTGGTGGGAAAAGTTATTATGGTGCACTATTGTGTTGCACATGGAGGTAATTGGAATCTCCACTTTTACATTTGCCCTATCTTTGCTAGTTAGTTCTATGATTTATCTATTCCCACTGTTTGGCTGTCCTGTCCCAAAATATAGCATTTTTTAGAGGATGACACATGTATTAAGGATAGGGGTAGAAAGACTTGTTTGCCTTCTCAGGATGGGTGAGGTATAGGCCTGGTCGCCTGGACTACAATAGAGACAAGGATAGTAGGGGTAGTATGGGTAGTTTAGTGGCAAAAGTTACCTTTTACATGTCCTAGGTTGCTACATTTGGGACAAAATGAACTCAAAAACTTGCTACATTTTGAGACCGAAGAGCTTTATGAGGCAATCCTGAAACGTGTTTCTGTTAGTTTTAGTTTTTTAACTCTACACCCAGCTTGGGATGAACAGCATGCCAAACTTAATAATTCTGCTGATTTATGAGCCATTCCGGAAAAAAATGTTTCTGTTTGTAAGTTTAGGTTGAATAGCATGCCAACCTTAACTAATTTTGCCGGTTGCCTGCCTTTCTGCCAGGCTGCTTGTTACATGTGAGGAACTTTTTTGGTTTGCATAACATTACGGTGTACTATGCCTATTCCCCTGTATTTGGGGTAACAAATTAACAACACAGTTTTTGGCGCCACTAGTTTCTAGCACGGCACACGTTGAGGCACATCTCTGGCCTGGTCTCTACCATGTCATCAGGTTTCTGCTCCGTGGCATTTTATCTGCTAATTGTTTATCACTAGTTTATGCGACTTTGAATTATCAGCAACTATTTGTGTTTACCACTGGATTATCTTCCACAAATTAGTTCCTCTTACCTTATTTTATCATGGTCTGTTTTTACAGCTCGGATGGCAAATATCTGTTGACTGGTGGTGAAGATGATCTTGTGCAGGTATGGAGCATGGATGACAGAAAGATAGTCGCGTGGGGCGAAGGGCATAATTCCTGGGTACAACTTAACTTGCCTAAAAAATTGTCAATGCCACGATGTTTCCTGTCAATAGTTGTAATTGAGGACAAGGTCAATTTTATGTTGACAGGTCAGTGGAGTTTCTTTTGATTCGTATTGGTCTCCTCCGAATTCTGATGGAACAGGAGAAAATACCGTGTATCGTTTTGGTTCTGTTGGTCAGGTATCACAAATTTATATAGCTGGAGATATAGTATGCAGTCTGTGCTTTTATGACATGTCCTTAATGTTTAACTCATGTAGTATCAAAGTTTCTTTTTGAGAAGTGTAGTAATCAATGTTAATAAGCAATCATAAGATGCTTATTTCTCCGTCCACTCTTATGCTGTTGTTTGGCTTTAAACTGATCAAACTATGTATGTAGCAGGATGTGCTAACTTCTTATCATACTCGTGCTATTTTCTCGCTGTACAATCTATGACAATGTTTTCTGTTTATGTTAATCAACTTGGTTAGTTATTAATATCGATTCTTGCTCATATGGTTAGTTATAGTGATGAGATTCATTTGGGCAAGTTATTTGGCAATTCTTTTTACATGTTCTATCGCTGGCATAACTTTTCACTGTTTCATGCTCCTAGGACACACAACTGCTTCTGTGGGACCTGGCATTGGATGAGATTGCTGTCCCACTACGACATCCTTCCAGTGGCTCACCAACTTTTAGTAGCGGCAGCCCTTCTGCACATTGGGACAATGCATGTCTCCCAACAGGTGTTCTTCAACCTTCTCCAAGAATGCGAGATGTGCCAAAGCTCTCACCCCTTGTTGCCCACCGAGTACATGTGGATCCACTCTCAGGTCTGGTGTTCACTAACGAATCAATTCTCACTATTTGTCGTGAGGGACTGATCAAAATCTGGGTAAGACCTGATCAGAACGAAAACAATCATCAGTCAAACTCTTCGGAGTTAGTTTTAGGTAACCCTGTTTCAAAGGATAGGGTGATCACAACTTCAAATAAAGCAACCGGTTCCAGCTTCAAGCAATCTTCAGCTGTTGTCTTCACATGACAAAAGTGTTCTGGTGGGCACATTGCTCTGGTAATCTGGTTAATTGATCATCGGTGGTCATGTTTCTTACTAACACCGTGATTTTGGGAAGGGGGTGGGAGGAACTCTTGCTGGTGATGGAGCCGCTCATTTTGCGTGGCCAGATATGCCAGTGTTGCCATTTGTGTGGCTCAATGGAATAATGGGGTATTCTCCTGTACAGAGATACATATAGTCCAAGATAAAATGTACAATTTCACCGTATGTGTTTCGTACTTTTCAGCGAGCCGACTAGTGATGGGAGGATAATGGATGCCACTTACCTGGTGGTGTTTTCTTGTGTTTTATTAGTATCTAAAAAGTCTGTAAATTATTTATTCATATTATTGTTACAGAGCCCTTCTAATTATCGCCTGGTGTGAACTGTGAACTGCTCTCTCTCTCTCTCTCTTTGATCTGTTAACAATGTAGTATCTTCAAATAAAGCAAGCGGTTCAAGCAATCATCATCTGTTCCTTGGAGCAAAATATTTTGGCAATAGGTACCTGGCTTTCGCTCGTCATTTTTTATTTTTCTTGCACTGAGACTTATGTGGCGGAATATGAATGGGAAGTTGCTGTTGTTGGAATCGCTCATTTGTATGCTGATATGTTCGGAAGGCGCTCTCCTCTGCTGCTACTCCGGAGAAAGCGGCCGGGCAAGCAGACATCTCAGTTCTCTCCTTTCGTTAGTTCTGGGAAGATGATTATGCGGTCTTGCTCTGGGCTCATCTCTTATTTCTCCTTCCTTGGTTGTTCTTGGTTGGTTTGTGCGCTTCGTTTCTTGATTGGAAAGTGGGAGAGAGAAGAAAGATCGCACCTTTGTGTCACTTTTTGATTGTGCAAAGAAAAATTCTCTTTTTGGCTGGTCATGTGACATGTTGGGCTTGTGGCAATTGGAAAGGCAGAAGAATGTCGTGTGCTTGCGAGTTGTATCTCTCCGAGTACAATCAAATGAATGTTTCTGACGGAGGATTATATTTGGGAATGACGTCCCTTTTTCACACATTTCTGTCAGTCAGTCCTGTTCAGATGAAACTGGGTGGTACTGTAGTAGATGTGCACATTCGGGAATGATAGGATCTGAATTTGGGAAACTATTTATAAATTTGAACACTGTTCGACAATTTAAAAATCGTAGTTGCCCACTTTAAGAGTCAAATTTAGACGCATTTCCAGACTATGTATCGTTTTGGGCCTGGGTTTTCAGGTTGGGTAAGTAAAATTACCTGATCTCCCCCGCCCCCCCACCCACCCCCCCTCCCCCAAAAAAAAAAAAAAAGAACAGATGCATCTGCATGGAGGATGTGTTCTAATAGTGCATCAGCCACAGGGGAAATTGTCTTTCCTGGATCAGCATGGAAACGACAGGAAGTGCAGGTTGCACATACCTGCTCCTGGTGGAAGCATGAACACTACTAATCTGAGTTCTTCTAAATTAAGATGGTTTTTTAGACAGGTTCTGTAATGTTTGGTTTACTTGATTTATTGTCGGTGTTAATTAGCAAATAGTTGCAGGTTCATCAGTGGCCACTCCAGATACCTATTCAGTCCATATCTCCTCAGAAACCCACAGGATTGAGGCCCGGTTGGCATCTGATGAAGCTTTAGCTAGGCAATTGCAAGAGGAGAATGCGCATGATGTGATCGCTACAAGAGAATTTGCTATGGTGTAACAAACAAGCTTGCAAGGTTTCCCAACCTGTACAATATAATCTCAACTGCATATGGCAGCAGTCAAATTATCCTCCGATATCAATAGTTGGCGTTCTAATACCATATCAGTGTTCCCCGCAAAATAAAAATAAAAATAAAATATCAGTGTTATTAATTTTTTTGTACATTTAAACCCAGACACATTTTGTTAAGAAAGCAGTTGGGCGAACCATGAATTGATAGGACTCACATGTAAGAATTTATTGTTCTTCTCGCTTATTGAATCTTTTCCACAAATGACTTGAGCGATTCTCAACGTTTACAAGTTCTGTAAAATCATGTATTTTATACACAATACTAGTAACTCCGTACGTGCCGCGCGTCCACTTCTAGTTTACATTAGTCTTATACAATCACTGATACATGTATAAATCCTGGTAAAAAGATAGATAAAACAAATTGTACAAAAGGAGACGGCGACGCACCCCATCGTCTAGTGATTTTAAGGTCCGGGTGTTTAAGTCTCTGTTTACTGCGAGCTCCATATATAATGCAATTAAGATTTGATTAATTATCTGTTGCTGGCATTCTGAGCAGCAGCAGCGCATTGGCATATACTCCTAAATTTTTAGCAGCAGCAAGCCAATTAATTATCCGGCCACGTAATGAAATTCTCTCAAGTGGGGACACGTTACGCCTATGCATGCCACTGAACGTGTTGCAAATACATGAAAACGGAACAAAATTAAAAGGGGATTTCACGTACAAACTTGGACAAAATGACACTGTTAAAGATTGTACTAATTAAATAGGTGAACACACCCCAAACTACCAGCTTATCCGTTCACACAGCATAAAAGTAGACCACAACATGAAATAGCTCCTTCAACCAATGTCGAGAAACGACAGAATCCTCTCCAGGAACCATAGCATATTTAGAAGAAAGCAAAATGGTAGCTGGGCAGGAAGATGTACTATAAGTAGGATCGATGAAGTTGACAGATGTGATTCATTCCATATTGTTCCTCGTCCTGCAATACATAAATCGTGAATTTCCTTGCATACAATATCTGAAATGTCCACCAACACAAATGATTTAGATGGATGGTGTTCCAATTAAACTTGCGTCCATTAGCAAGATAAGGCTAGCATGCAAAGATGCTTTGTAAACTACTCCAGTTGTGCTATAATTAATTTTAGAAAGAATTGGCAAAAACAGCCACTACTTAAGAAATAAGCATACTTCACTTACAAATGCTAAAAGTTTCCAACAATATACTCCATCCGTCCCTAAATATTTGACCCCGTTGACTTTTTAGCACATATTTAACCATAAATCTTATTCAAAAAACTTTTGTGAAATATGTAAAACTAATATGTACAAATAAAAGTATATTTAACAATAAATCAAATGATAGGAAAAAATTAATAATTACTTAAATTTTTTGAATAAGACGAACACTCAAACATGTTTTAAAAAGTCAATGGCGTCAAATATTTAGGTACGGAGGGAGTATATTTAAATATTTATGTTTAAATGTTTGGAGGAAGAGGCTACTGACAGGAGGCTAACAATTGCAGGTACGCAGCAATCAACATGCATATAAGTAGGATATGGATACATAAAAACTAGCAATATATATACCTTGAGAAAGTGATGAACTTGGAGAAGTCAGATGGGAGGAAGGACTGCGGAAAGCGCGACTTTGCACGGGTCAGGCCAGCGTCCTCAGTTTGAAGGTCCTCCTTCCCATTGATATACAGAGAAGATGACTCCACGATCTTGGTGTTCATGTCAATGGCGACGACCCACATCTTCTTGATGACATACCGTAATTCAGGGGCAAGGAAGTGCACTATATGTGGCCTGTCAATGTCCACTTGAGGGAACATGAGTAAGGTGCGTGGGAGGCAGTCAAGGCTGTTGATAGACCAGAGCTCATTGGAGGTGATCTTGTAGTCCTCCCTCCACTCCATGGTTCTCCTGTGTTTCTTCTTCTTCTTCTTATGTTCTCCCAACACGAGGCTGTAGCAGGTGACAGTAAAACCAGCATCACGCCTGAGAGACTCAAAGCCAAGTCCATCATCGCGGGCGACGTCGATGAATTTGAGCACACCGCTGGCATCAAGGACAGACACACCACGGTACAACCAGAAGCATTCCTTGTTGCGACGAGGAGTCTCATGATCCACAGGGAACGGAAGGAAAGAGACGACAATCGCGGCAGGGTCATAAAAGAGGATGCCTCGCATGTAGTCAATCCAGCACAGCTGGTTGTCGAAGGGGATCACAGTGTCGGTCTTCCAGGAGTAGAGCTGATGCACATCATCGGGGTTGCCATGGACGTGGATCGGCAGACGGATGGTGCGCCAACCGCTGCTCGCTACCTTTGATATGTGCGACCGCAGCAAACAGAGTTGAGCTAGGACCACCTGGGGCCTGGATAGGTAAAGATTCAGCTCTACCACCTCGAACTGATCTTGGTTGCCTAGGTACAAGAGGCCCGTGGATCGGAGCATCACCATGCGGCGATCATTCTCAGGAGGACATTGTCCAGCTCGGTACAAGGAGGGAGCGTCTGCAAGGTGGCAGAGGCGTCATAGATGACTAAGTCCTGCACGTCAATTTGATCTTTGACGGTGGAGATGAGGGAAAACAGGACGAGGTGACGGTGGGTCGCCACGACGGAGAACGGCAAGACATTCCTTGAATTTGGAAAGCCTGGCAACTGCACGTAGATGCGAGAGATGCCTGGGGGATTGGAGAGGCGGAAGGCGACGTGGAAGGGATTCTCCTGAGAGGTGAGGCCTGACGCCCTGATGACGTCGTCGGGGAACTCCTTGTCGTCGTCCACGCGGAAGATGAAGCGCTCTAGCATCACCCAGTTGGGGAACGACCGGGCGGCGCACATGGCGACCTTTAACACACTAGATTGGAAATTATGGCACCAAGGGGAATCGCTCGCTGTGAGTACGAATCAGGGGATTTGCAGGTGAGATGCCTTACCGAGGAGAGAGAGCCGGCGGCCGGCGCGTACTGAAGAAGACGAATCGGCCGAGAGGACTTGGCGAGAGGCGTGCGGGTGCGGCCGAGCGATTCAGGAATAAAGAGAGAGATTTAGGGTCAGGGGGAGCGTATCCTATGCACACATGCTCTCGCGTGTACACCAACTAAAAATTATCATAAAAAATTCTAGGAAAATTTATACATATACTTTCAATAGTATTACATCTACGTGCAAAGTCGCATCTTCAAATTCATTCTACATAGAGAATAACAAAAAAGATAAAATTCTGACAAAATTGCAACCTTAAAACTGTTAGATTTTTTGTTTTTTTGTTACAGCTAAAATATAATGAATTTGACGTTAAGATTTTAACACTAGGTATAATACAATTGAAAGTATGTGTATAGTTTTTTTTAGATTTTTTAGTGATATTTTTTAGTTGGTGTGCACGTGTGTACACGTGAGGGCCTGTGTGTATAGGATATGTTGCCAGGGTTAGGAGTTGATAGGTACCGCTTTTATACGAAGCCATATGCAATTGGGCTCTTCCGTCACACACGTAAGATGGACAAGTTATGAATAAGTCCACCTTGGTCCCCCAACTATGACTCGAATTCTATTTACATCTTTTTAACTATACTAGCAAATATGCCCGTGCGTTGCAACGGGTGAAAAAACGTAATGATAATATACGTTTTTCATGCATAACCATGTCGATAACAATCAGAAAATTAGAACAACGAAACTTTATTTTCTAGCGCGTTTTCTTTTGTGCTTTTTTCTGACATTTTTCCCTCACGTGTTTTTTTAAACCGTTTTTATTTTCTCGTGACATTTTATAGTTAGATTAGATTAGATTAGAGATAAAGAAGATATATAAATGGACTAAAAAACGACGAATATAAATTTGACTTTTTTCCTCCGCGCTTTTTTCCGTCTTTTTAATTTTTTTTCTCGTACATTTCTTTTACGAAGGGTTTTTTTCACCACTTTCACATAGTGTCAAACCTTTCTAGATATAATAGGATTCGATTTTTTTTACCGCATCACGTATAATTCCTTTTTCTTTAGAAACAGACAATTTTTTCGCCCTTTTTTATCGCGTCAACGGAGTCGGAATCGTTTTGATTTTTTCCCTTTTATTGGATCGGACAGATTTTTTTTTGCCCGGTTTATTTCACCCGATCGATTTTTTTTACCGCGTCACATATAATTCCTTTTACTTTGGATTTTTTTCGCCCTTTTTTTACCGCGTCGACGGAGTCGGATTCGTTTTGATTTTTTTTCTCCCTTTACTTTGGAATTTTTTCGCCCTGTTTTCACCACGTCGACGGAGTCGGATTCGTTTTGATTTTTCCCCTTTTTGGCTTTTTTTGGATAGGACCGATTTGTTTTTTTTTCGCCCCGTTTTTTTATCGGACTTTTATCTTTTTTTTCGCCTGGTTTTTTTATTTTTTTTACCGTGTCACATATAATTCCTTTTTCTTTATCGGAAAGTTTTTTTTCGCCTTTTTTTACCGCATCGATGGAGTCAGATTCTTTTCAGCTTTTTCCTTTTCTTTTATCGGACAAATTTTTTTTTCGCCCATTTTTTTTTCTCCTGTTTTTTTCGGATCGGACTATTTTTTTCTTTTTTCGCCCGGTCGATTTTTTTACCACGATATATATAATTCCTTTTTCTTTGGAATAGGACAGTTTTCTTTTTATTTTTTTAAACTCTTTTTACCGCGTCGATGTAGTCGGATTCGTTTCGATTTTTTTCCTTTTTTTGCTTTCTTTTTTGTCGGACAGATTTGTTTTTTTTCCACCCGGTTTTTTTCCGCCCAGGTTTTTTTATCGGACTTTTCTTTTTTTTTTTTGCTCCACGATACATATAATTCATTTTTCTTTGGAATAGGACCGTTTTCTTTTTATTTTTTTAAACTCTTTTTACCGCGTCGATGTAGTCGGATTCGTTTCGGTATTTTTTCCTTTTTTTTCCTTTTTTTTTGTCGGACATATTTGTTTTTTTTCCGCCCGGTTTTTTTTCGCCAGGTTTTTTTATCGGACTTTTCTTTTTTTTTCGCTCGGTTTTTTTCTCCCGTTTTTTGACGGACGATAGAAGCACCTAGAGAAGTGTTAAGCACCTAGAGAAGTGTTTTTTTTTCTTTTCTCCAATCCAATACAGATCGGATCTCTTCTAGGGAAATCAGATTTTTTTTCTCCAGGGAATCGGACTCTTTTTTTTCGCTTTTTTTATTCATTAAACGGTTTGTCTCTGGGACTTTTTTTCCCTTTTTAAGGGATCGGGTGTTTTTTTTGCCAGGGACGGGTGTTTTTTTCGCCCGTTTTTTTTTTCACTTTTTTTTTGGATCGGACTTTTTTTTTCGTCCGGTTTTTTGATCGGACAAACTTGGTTTTTTCTGCCCGGTTTTTTTTCACCCGGTTTTTTTTACGGACGATAGAAGCACCTCTTATTTTTTAAGTAGTAGTAGACTAGCAAAATACCTGTGCGTGACTGAAGTTAGATATTAATGATTTACCAAAATATCATAGTATGATTATAAACATCGGCTATATGTAGAGTGATAAACAAACCATGTTTGTTTTTCACAATTAATCTAATTTATATTTGCGTGATGTGGATGACGCTTCTGACGCATGGGCCTAACGATTATAGCAAGGGAGGAACAAATGATGAACAATTAAAGTGATTGTTTTTGCATAGAAAGTGATTGATGAAAATTTGAGCGATCTATAGAAAAATCAATATTTTTAAAGTACATAATCCTAATGAAAAATGAATGGAATTGACCAAAGGACACATCTGAATATAAGTCATGCGGAAATTATATTTTCTTGTAATCCATATAATGTAATTGTGAGAATATACTCGATTTTCTATGCATTGTACTTGTGAGAGCTGAATTTTGTTTTAGGTTAAATATAGTGTGCAACAGAAATCTGTAAAATCATATTAGTGGGAGCGCTAAAAATAGCAGAAAGAAAAGCGGGGCAGACCCACACTCCTGGACGAAAAGGGAAAGAAAAGCTAACTGAACTCCTGTACTGCAAAACTTTTTTTTGTGTATTTTGGTTTTCTTTTTGTATTTTGGAATAAAAAAATATGAATTATAAAATAAATAATATTGGAAGAGAGTAATATTCTCCAATAGAGGCTATAGTCCACATAAAAAATAATTAATATTATTTATTTTAGTCCAAATTTAAATTCTATATCATGAAAAATATACAATTACATTTTTTGTTGACTCCATTTAGATATAAATAATTTAACATGAAGAAATAAAAACTATATCAAATCTCATCAATTTTTAATGGCTCAAAATAATGCTTATATTAAGTTTGTTAATGGAGAAATAGTTTAAATCAACTCAGAATAGATAAAACTCAATTAGGCCCATAAGGATGGGCCGAATGTCTTCCACAACTTGGCCTGTTAAGTGCACATAACCCATGTGGCCCAAGTCGGCTTAAATACGCTGAGAGCCGTCGGATTCAATCGAACGGTTAGGATCGCTCGATATATATATATATATATATATATATATATATATATATATATATATATATATATATATATATATATATATATATATATATATAACATTCCATGTTGAAACCCTAACCCTAAACTCATTATCCTCCCTCTCCAACCGCGAGTGGCGCGGCGGCGGTGGCGACGCGTCCAAGGCGAGGCGGCGGCTACCTGCCCTACCACGAGCAGCGACGACGATGGTGGCGGCGACGGCAGTGGCTACCTCCCAACCACGAGCTACGGCAGCTACCTCCCTACCGCGAGCAGCGGCAGCGACGGCGGCGTCCTCCCCCGTCGTGAGCGGCCAGGATGGTGCCCTCCTCCATTGCTAGCGGCGGCGGCGGCGACCGGCGATCTCGCGGCGGAGGCGGGGCGGCGGCTACTTGCCCTACCGCGAGCAACGGCGGCGACGGCAGCGATAGCGATGGCTACCTCCCTACCGCGATCCCCATCTTCCTCAGCGGCGGCCGGTGATCTCGCGACTGACGCGGGGCAGCGGCTACCTTCCTCATCACGAGCAGCGGTGGCGATGGCGACGCCCTCCCCCATCGTGTGCGGCCACGGCGGTGCCCTCTCCCACCGCTAGCGACGGCGACGACGGCCTTCTCCACCGCGAGCGGCCGCGGCGGCGTCCTCCGATGGGTAGATCCGGTGGCAGCGGTGTCCTGCGGGTCGGCGGAGCGGCCTCGACGACGGCGCGTCTCGAGGCGCTGGCGCTCGCCTCTCCTCCCCATCTTCCTTCGCCACCACCGCCCATCCTCTCGTCGGATGACGAGCTTGTCGCCATCGTCAAAACGATAAATCGAGGTTGCTTTGTGATTAATTTGCTTGATTCCATTGATTTCAAACTTTCTATCCCGTTGATCATCCCAGCTGATTTTATTGAGTTCGATTCTGAGTCTGTTGGTTTAATTTGTAGATGATTTTGTATCAAACTCTTGTTTTTTTTTTCTTTGGCCATTGTACTGACCTAACTGCGCTAGGTCGGATTGACGGACCCAAAAATACTGTGATGATTGGAAAAATACAAATATTTATATTAGTTATAGATATACTATTGCGCGTTGTAACAGATGAAGACAACTTTTATAATTGATAAAAACTCCCACCAATTTAAACGATAAATGTCAAAACTAGATTTTGGCTAATCTAAAGTGGGTAGCGAACAAGCAGAAAAGTGGATGGGTTATGATACAAGGAAATTTTTACAGGTTCAGGCATTCTCGATAAGAAATAATACCCTACTCATGTCTGGGGAAATATTCCGCCGATTGTGTTATCGATCTGATGATCTTATGTGTGATTATGCCCCAAGAGGCATCTAACCCTTCTTTAGATAGTCTGAAGAGCTAGCATTACAATGCAAGACTATCCCTTACGGTTCAGAGTCCTGTTAATGCCAAAATTTGGTAAGCCCCGAAGTCATCATCGGCCCAGAGTCAGTATCGGCTTCAGAGTTATGGAATCGGCCGATGGGATTTGTCAAGTCGCCAGCAGTCGGATTCTTGATATATCCAGTTAAGAAAATTTATCTAGAAGAGACCAAGTTCAAGGAGGATGCGGCATGACAGTTTATCTATTAATTAGGAAGAGTCTGTTAGTTTCCTTCTATCTTTAGAAAAGTGTGTTTAGTATCCGATAAAAACTTTATGTTTTCTTTTTAACTTTAGGAAAGTTTTTCTTGTCCAAGAAGGACTAGTGTCTACCCATGGGTACTTTAGGAAAGTTTTTCTTGTCCAAGAAGGACTAGTGTTTACCCATGGGTATAAATATGTACACCCGGAGTTATTGTAAACTATCTCTATAGATCAATAAAATTCGGCGCATCTCCACCCTTTTTACTTTTCTACTTTTTCGACAAGTTCCTGCTTCAAGTTAGGGCATTGGCTTTGATCTCCGACGATGAGTAAAACTTGCTATGGTTGTTTACATCGGCAGAGCTAGGGCTTTGACACTTTGATCTTGTCAATGTATGCACCTATTTATCATATATCTTAGTTTATCTAGTTTAGCATCTTAATTTGATCATATCGGATGAGATTCGTTTTAGGGTTTATGCTGGTATCGGCTAAATTATCTTGCTAGATTAGATTAAATAAGGTATCCACCACCCTAAAAACCAGTTAAAGGCTTGATTGTCTACATAATATGTTTCTTTTCATACTTTGCACTGCATCAGCCTTAGTCGTGCTTAGAACCATAATCTCTAGCATGCTTTTTGATTTTCAATAAGGGTTTCATCGGGGTTTCAGCCGATGAGTTATCTGGACGTTGCATCGGCTTATAAGGATTATATACAAGATGGATTTAGCCGATTGTGACAAAGATTTCATTGTTTATCTAATCGTTTGGATTTCATGACATCGGTCCTCCAGCCGATGTATGCTTTAACCTTCGGATCATTGTTTATTCTATCATATTATTATTAGTTGATTGATTTCTACTGGATTATATTGTTATTTATCATCATCAGTCGATTGTCTTTATATCATTATCTATATTGGATATATAACCGATAGCTCAAAACACTATTGATATCGGTTGGCATCAGCATGGACTGAACTACTCCATCGGCTCCTTGCTGCTCCTCGTTGACCTCCTCCCCGGCCTCCTGAACTTGTTCTCTAAGTTCCTCTTCCTCCTCCTTAACCTCTTCCTCCTCAATCTCCTCTTCTTCCTCCTCCACAACCTCTTCCTCCTCAATATCCTCCTCTTCCTCAACTTCTTCCTCCTCCTCCTCCTCCTCTTCCTCCTCCTCGTCGCTGTGAAGCTGCTCGTCAAGTGATAAACAAGCAAACTTTTCTGACATGACTATGTCTTGTGCATCAAGTAGTGATTTAGTTGTGTTCCCTCTGAAGGAAATGGAAGGAAATAGGGGATGACTGGGTGCGGCTGCACAACTCCGGTGGCGATGGTGGTAGCTCGGTTCTAAGTACGACATTGTGTTTTGTTTCAAAGTTTTCTAGATCTGTTTTTGTTTAGGTGATAACTTTGATTGATGTTGTTTGTTTCGTGGTTGGAGCTGATGGTGATTCTAAAATCCAAAGCAGGAGCTACCAAAATGCTCAGGTAACTTTCTCTTCAACAATCCAATGCTGGCAAGCGTTGTGGTTCTTGCTTAGCAATTCCCCATAATTAAACTCATCTCACTACCTTTAGTTTTTTTCCTTTTAAATTCTGTGGAGAAAGGTTTAGTCTGCATCACCCCATCCTCCAGTACGACCGCTGCCACCATGCCCGAAGCGCTCTTCCGCACAGTACGACGAACACGGGGTGCTCAGCGAAATGTCCCGTCCGTCTCCTCACCTGCAATGCATCATGAAGGTGTGTATCTGCCGACTATCGTTGTTTCGTCGAACTATTATGAATGATCTTTAGGTGATAAAATATTGATTGAATTGTCTACTGCTATCGCTCAGAATCCATACTCCAGCAATCTTACATATATACATATTTGTTGCGTCAATCCTAAGCATGCTTTTCATATATCCCTGAACAATTCAGCCTCACAACTGCTCTTCATGTATCTCATTCAGAATTTTTTTTCTCAAATTAGTTGGACTGATAGCAAAATATTGCTTTTCAAGATTGTAAAATAACCAACTAGCATGGACGTTCATAAATTTTTCCCTTCTGTTTGGTGTTATTTTATCAGACATATATAATGAAGGCGTATATAGCAAAGGGAGGAGCTGTTGAGGGAAAGGACAATAGCTCAATTTTTTTTTTTTTTGCGGGGAAGACAATAGCTCAATTGACTGGGAAGTTGATGTCAAATGTCGGGAGCAATCTGCTAAAATGTTAAAGAGGTGCATGAGTGAACTGGAAATATCTATCTTGTTTTTGATTAGTAGTTTCTTTGGTTTCAAAGTAACTCTTGACATGAGAATTTTATTAGCAGAGGAATGGGACACATTCTTGGAAAAATATATTTCACCATTGAAAGGGTCAATTAGGCCTAGAGGGGGGGTGAATAGGCTAATTTAACAAACTAAACAAATGCGGAAGCAGGAATTTTCGAAACTTTCGAAAATAGGCAGAACAGTTGAACAATGCAGTAAAAGTCTAGATCTAGAGGGCTACCACAAGTAAATCAAGGAACATACAACAACTAGACCTATAGCGGCTCAAGCAAATAAATCTAGAGGATGGGAAGGAGGAATATCACCCAAAATGAAGCTCACGAAGTTTTTACCGGAGTTCAAATCCTTGAGGGATTCTACTCTCCGTTGAGGAGCTCAAAAAGAGCCGGGTCTTAGCTAACTCTTTCCTCAAGAGGTTGCACAAAGCACTCCTCTTTCCACTAAGGGGTATCTCTTTCCTTGCGGAGGCGAGATCCGGCCTTCACAAACTTCCCACGGCCAACCACAAGTAGATCGGTGGCTCGGGAGTGACACCTAGCTGTCTAGGAGTCCTCAATCTCCAAGAGTAAAAGATGATGCGAAGAACTCTTGGAGATGATGCAAGTGCTCACAAATCTTCACGAAAACCACAAGAAGCATTCACACAAACTCGAATCCACACTCACACACACGCCAAATCCGAATCAAACCCGGGTGGAGAGAGGAATCGAGAAAGCAAGGCTCAAATGAGTAGAGAGAGAAGCAAGCCAAGGGCTCAAATAATTGCAATGTCACCAGCAACACTTACAAGAGGGGGGATGGGGGCTATTTATAGCCACAGCCTCATATCTGCCCGTTGGTGCATAATAATTGCGATTTTCAGAACTTCTGAAAATCATTTTCGGAACTTCCAAAAATTTCCAGATCTGAAAACTCGAAGTCAACGCACCTTTTTGGAACTTCCGAAAAATATTTTCAGATATTTCCGAAAAATATCCAGAACCCAAAACAACCTTTTGCAAATTTTCGGAACTTTCGAAAATTATTTTCGGAAACTTCCAAAAATATCCAGAAGTGAAATTTTAGTTATGTGAATTTTTGGAACTTCCGAAAATCCTTTTCGAAATTTCCGAAAATTTCCAGAACACACGGCCAAGGAGAAAATGCTTCCAAAAATTGATTGTGAGCACACACATCACTCCTTATATGTCTATGTCTATGCATCATCCCCCTTAATAGTACGACATTCCTAAGACGTAAAGAAAGTAAGATATACAATATACCATTTGCTCATGCCATAAATTCATCGTGATGTCACATTCAAAGGGGTATGCATCGCATTACAACACATCGAGGACGTAACATCCTTCACATTTGCTTTCATGAAAATTGTTAGTCATCTCTAATCGTATTGTAATCAATCATCAAAACAATTAGGGGCCTAGATGCACTTTCAATCTCCCCCTTTTTAGTAATTGGTGACAATACAATTAGATCACAAGAGAGAATGAATATAATAGATTGATTTGGTGCAAAGGTTTAGTGAAAGCTCCCCCTAAAAGTGTGCATTAAGGCAAGTGGAGAGCTCCCCCTAAATCTTTGCATCCACATTGAAGCTCAAAAAGATATGAATCAATTCATAGTACATTCATCACATTTCATATCTCATTCATGACAAGCACAATTATAAAGGGAATAAGAACATTGCAAGATCATAATATAAAGCATATAAGTCATTACATCCCAATCATCCATAATAAAGCATTAAAGTCTCACAATAGTAATAGCTATTACACAAATGACTTAAAATCACACATAGTCTCATACACTGAAACACCAACAATGTTCGACCACAAGCTAAAATGAAAAAGAGATAGATATTCTCCCCCTTTGGCATCGAAGCACCAAAAAGAGAGGATGAAGCGAAGATGGCTCACACGAACGGGGCCTGAGGTGGATCCTCGGGAGGTGGAGGAGGAGGGTAGCCATGGCCAAACCCACCAAAGAAGTCGTACTCCGGAGGAAGATCAACAAAGGGATCCTCGATGTCATCCTCAGGCCCATCGGGCTCAGCCTCATAGCCTGGTGGGGACGGTGGAGCACCCAACTGAAACCGAGAGTAGAGGTGCGCCTGTGTTTGCTTTGCTCGCCGGGATGCCTTCTTGATTTTGTTTCGCGCCCTGCGATTCTGTTTGGCCTCTGCAGAGCAAAGACCGAACAAACTTCGCAAGATGCGAAACAAAGCCGAAGGCTAGCGATGAGCCACAGGAGAGGGTTGCGCACGCTCAGGAGGAGGCTGAGTGGAGGAAGACGGGATGTCCCGAGTAGGCGGCCAAGAGGATGAGGTGGGTATGTCAGGAGCCGCAGAGCAAGCCTTGGGCACTCGCAGAGTGAGATAGGAATGGGACTCCTCACAAATAAACTGGGTTTGAGTGACATGCTCGATCATCCGCATCAGGTGAGGGGCAAAAGGAAGCGCCCTCCTGTACTGAATCGAGGCCATGCGGATCTCCTCCAACACAAAGTTGTAAGCATGAAAGGGATTGCCAGTAGGATTAAACCCGAGGAGCACATTACGAGAGTGATGGTTGATGTTGCTAGCATTACCATCTTTGGGAGTGAGGGTCCTTCTCAGGATACGGTTGAGGTAGACATGGAAAGGCTTGAAACCCTCAGTTGTGCCCAACTTGCCGCCATCAAGATACAGGGGATGCCGCTCATGATGCATAGGAATGGAATAGTCATGGAGGTTAGCAAAGTACCTCATCCAGTTTTCATCAAAACCCCAAAGAGTGGCAAGAGCCTCATAGGTAATGGAGTACCACTCCCCCTGAGTCATCCAATGTATGCCCCGCCGGCTGTCAAAGAAAACGGTGGCATAAAATTGGGCAATAACCTCCTTGCACCAAGGTTGATGGAGGGTCATAAAATTGTGGACACACATCTCCTCACACATGGCAATCATAGAGTTGAGGGTGGGGTCATCATGTGCCTACAAGTCCTCCCAATTGATCCATTGCATAGGAACAATGGGATCGGTTATGGGAAAGATAACGGTTTCATAGAAATCTTGCTGAAAAGAGTCCAGAACCTGTTATCGGTAGCAGAGCAACGAAGAGGTCGAGGATCCTCATTCCTCTGAGGTGCCACAACCTCAGACTTTTGGTGCGAGTCACGGGGAACTCGGCGAGGATCGCACGAGGTTGCCGGGTGGAGCCCTCACCGGCTTGAGTAGACCGCCGAGGAGGGAGGGTGGAACCCCGAGGTACTTGCGTCACTTGGGGACCGGTCCCCGCGTACCCTTCCCCAGACCATTCACTGTCCGAGCCCTCCGAGGAGGATGGGGAAGGAGTGGGGGAACGATCCTGGAGGCGCTTGCCCCTGCGCGAGATGGACTTGCGAGGTGGCATCCTATAAACAAGAAAGGGAATGGACACAAGTAAGAGGAAGCCAAAGATATGATGTACAAGCAAATGGATGCAAGAATTAGGCGAAACCAAGGTTGGAGGGCTCAGGCAGGGATTTTCAGAACTTTTGAAAATAATTCCGAAAATTTTCGGAAACTTCCGAAAATTCCTGGCCGAACCCTAAAACTCAGATCCTGTACAAATCCACCAACCAAAACTTGTGAAACTGAATCTGCAAGTCCTAGGGCACTAGAGGAACATCTCCACCGAAGGGAATCGCAAGATTTAACTCGAGGAATCACTAGATTTGATTTGAAGAAATACCTCAAGAACGCGAAGAACGAGTGAAGAACGCGGTGAAGATCAACGATGTAAGTGCCCACAAGGTCCCCAAACGTGCTCCCACGAGGATGAAGTGGAGGAGAGCGTCGGAGAGTCGGCGGAGAGGAGGTGGTCGCCGGGGAGGAGTGGATGGGGGAGAGGAACCCGTGGGGAAAAGGATAGCAAAGAGAGAGAAGAAGAGTCCATGGGTTGGAGGAGAGTTTTATACCCCCGAGAATTTTCGGAAGTTTCCGAAAATTTTCGGATTTACAGAACCACTGAGCACGCTTCTGGATATTTTCGGAAGTTCCGAATTTTTTTTCGGAAGTTTCCGAAAATATACAGAAACACAGGGATTGTTTGTACTAAGGCAGTAAATTTTCCCCTGCGAGATTATTTACAGCACAGTGATTGCGTGTGTTCTTTTATTTTCTGGTTTCCTGCTTTACTTGAAAACCCTATAAACCCCATTGAAATTGATAGGTTGTAATTTTTCTGTGTGTTGCAGGTTTTATTTTTTGACATAGTTCAGCTAAAATTTCGGATTCTTGCATGAGGTAGGTCTAAGGTTACTGCCATCATGGAATTTTGAGTAAAACGCTATTTTTTTTCCCTAGGAAATCATTTGGAAGACATGCATAACAATTGTCCTCTTTTTTTTTTTTGTGACTTCATGCTTTACTTGAAAGCCCTATGAATGCCATTGCCTCTTTCTACTATCATATCTCTCGATTATATATCAACCTAATGAAGTGCCGGTTAGTTATTTGATGTTAACATGATGTGTGGCTCCAGCTTTCGTTTCCTTCTTAGGAGATGGATTATCAACCTGTCGCATATTACACCGTTTTGCTTCAACATGTCAATTTTTAACTTAAGAAGTTAATTTCCCTTTTATATTGTGTAGGCAGTGCATGGCTGGCCAAAAAAAAATCAACTAATCATATGCAAAACTATGAGTATCCATGCAACTCTGATGATCTAAATTTTGTTCTGCACATACCATGCAAAAATAATCGGAATTGCTAGAAATATGGCGCCATATTTCTTTCCAGTTTACAGTCGATTTTTCACTGTGCAATTAGTTCAGAGATTCGTGCATGTTCGAGACTCTAATGCCATCGTAACTACTATTGCTGATACTAATCTCAAATCTCTAATTGTTACGGAGTAAAAACCAAGATTCCATGCACAGATGGCAGGCAAAAGGACAAGAAGGGCCTCATCATTCGGCATATTGGTGGAATAAGCCAAACGGCATATTTGCAAACGAAAATTAATTTGTAAATAAAACTTTTACATATGTGTTCTTAGCGATCTAAAAGCAAAGGCTGAAAATAAACTTTAATGAAAAAACCCCAAAATCAGCTTCAAATTTAACGTTGAAAATTCAAACTTAGGCTGATTAGCATATGAATATGCCAAACGATGGGAACCAAAAAGGAGAAGCCAGGGAAGATAGGGAGCTCACCGTCAATGTTTGTTTTTAATTACACTGCAGTTATATATATAATTAGAGTGTAATTGTACTATAGTTACACGTGTAATTCCTATGTAACTATAGTAGTTACACCTCACTTATATACCACTTACATATGTAATTAGTATGTAATTTTAGGATTTACATATGTAATTTTAGGAATTACATTATAAATACACTAAAATTACATATGTAATTTAGGGACTTACAATGTAAATACACGCCGACTATTTTTCGGTGAAAAATATGGCGCCATAAATATAGCTACTCCCAAAATAATAACCCATAGCTCATGAACGAACAGTACATGACCGTTACAATAAGGTGCTTTAACACGTCATAAGCAGAAGTTGCTGGGATGCTAGATAATATTGTCCTCTTTTAAACATAGCATGGGAATTATAGTAGAATCAAGATGCTTTCCTTTGCTTGGTAAAAATATTTTGGACTGCATTTCAGAACTCAGACCATCATCTATTTCAGTGTAATTACATTATTCTGCAGAAAGACACAAAACTATCATGGAATAGATAGTTCTATATTTATAAGGCATGTAGTTCTTAATTCTTTTAATCAAGCCAAGTGCTATTTTGTGTGGTCCATGGATCTTTGCGTTACCTGTAAAACTGTGGTTTATATATTTCTTTGGGAGCTGGATTCTCTTGGTAATATAATTGACTGGTAGTAATACACATCCTGTAAACAAATTAATTTTTCCTCTTTGTTTCTTTTTTTTACCGTGCCATCTTCTTCCTTAGGGTAACAGAAAGCTCCTAATAACATTGCTAGCAATCCCTACTCTATAAAGTAAGCTTTTTTTTTTTTGCGGGGAACATAGATGCATTACTCAGCTATAGTCATTACAAACCAAGTGCGAAATAAAATTACAAGAATCATCTGGCCAAAAGGCCGTTAAGGATTCTCGACGACCTCTGCTAGCTAGAGCACGACTGACGCTGTTCTGATTACGATTGATTTTCGTCAGTACAACCTCTCTGTTCCTGAACAAGAGACACTTAATCTCTCTTATTATAAACTCAAATTCAGATCTCCCTTTTTCCCATAAGTATCCTTATGGGTCACTGCATTGGACAACATAACACTGGACAACATAAACAAATTCAATAGTATAGTGATGTGTAATTCGCGTGCCTTCTCTGTGTCTATAATATGCCAATTTTTCTATTGCTTACACCCGTTTCTTATTATGTTACGGGAAGTTGGTGATTTTTGAGAACTGGAGGAAGATCGTGGATTTTGATTGTAAAAGCATAAAAAACAGCCACCACTAAGATTTACCAGTCCTAAGTGCCTGACTTTGCCTGTAACAATAATGTTAGGAAGATATTATTTTGAAACAATATTGTTGTTTCTGGTATGTTGCTGCTGCCGCCTTGCTCTTGACGATTTGCTGTGGATTTACTTCTGCTCTGCGCTGACATCCTGCTGATGTATGTGCTGCCATGTACTACTGCTATGGCCAGAGAATAGAAGAATACAGAGGGAACAAGGAAGAGGAGGAAAGCATTAGAGTTCTTTGGTGCTCATGAACTGCTCGATGAAATGTCTTGAGGTACTACTAAAATCCGAGTACGTTTCTGTGAATTATCGTTTTAGTGGGTCTATATGCAGAAACCTCCTTCCTTGGATTTGTTATTATGTTTCCAGTGGAAAGTAATTTAGATTTAACAAATATTTCAGTGAATCATTCAAGTCAATCAACTAAATCAATAAGAACATGCTTAGTTTATTCCCATTAAGAGGTTGTATAGAAAGTAAAAAAAAGCAGAACAGAAGTTTGGTGCTTGTATTTACACGATTTGGTTTTTATTGTGCTTTATGCAAGTCTCTGAACTTATTTTGCCTGTGGACATATTACAGGGGCTCATCACAAGTATCTATACGATCTCTTCTATTGATTCACATGTGATGATTTAGTACCTTTCTCAGGATTGCACACACATGAGCTCTATGCCAGGTTAGTCAAGGTTGTTAGGTTTGTTAAGACTATCCGGAATGCATAGTCATACTTATTATAACTTCTCTCACTCTGCATGAGGAATGAGCTTCTATATAATCACTGATTGGTGCTGCTCGCATTGTTATAAACAACATTTTAGTTTGTTGGGATGGGAATTGAGAGACCCTGTTTCCAAATGTTTTTTTATGGGGTCAACAACAAGCCTGCTATAATAACAGCCTGGTGATACGCCAATGTTTTGTTTAGGATTATTTTAGCAGGATGCTTACTAGGCAGGCATGATTCAGGTAGTGCACTTTTATGTAGTGCAGTATGGATGTTTGCTAGGCAGACATGATTCAGGTAGTCTGGGGTCATTTATAGAAGCAGGTTATCTGAAACATTACAAGCAATTGACATACATAGTATCTGGTGGGTTAGGGCACTATGCGACGCTGTGATGAGTGAGCTGTGGCCACTGTGCTGATCATAGAGCAACAGAGCAGAAACTACAGGTTAAGGTGATGTCCTCTCTTCCTAAATCCTCACATAATAAAGATTTGAATTGCAGTGTGTGATTATGGTTTTGTGATTGGTTAGTGCGACATTTGATACTGATTTGCTCCATGCATAAAGAGGTTCGAAATTCAGATTAACCTGCAAAACAATTTGATTAGGAATTCCCAAATTTAGTTAAAACTTATTTGAGTGGAAAGTTTCAGTTTGTTAGATTAGCTCTTTTTCATGCCTGTGAGAAGGAATTATGTGCATTCCCTAATATCGGTGGCCGCTTGCGTCCACGGTCATCAGACTATTTCCTCTTCCTTAACGCCATCAACTGAATATGCAGTTGCTCGACGTCTACGCCATGCTTATCTTCTCATAAGCGCCTCCCATTTCATCCCTATCGGCCTCTGAGATTACTGAAGGCTCCTGCTACATGAAGCATGAAGTGGGTGCTGGTCTCCATCTGCTTCTCTCCCTGGTACCATTTTATTTTATTTTTTGCAAGCTGGCCTTCATTGTTACCCTGGTGGTTGATCCATATGATGAATTGACTGTGTGATATGGCTTCGGTGTTGCTTCCATGCATTCTGACCTATCTCATGTTCTGTTTCATTTAGTGCCTCGGTTCGATTCAACACAAAAAATTAAGTGCTCAATTGTTAATAGTCTTTTAAAGTAATTACGCAATCCCTTTTCTTTTCCAGACGTGCAGGAATTTATGGTTGGCTTAAAAATTATAGCTGAATGGGCACACCATTAATGTTCACTGTGTACAAAAAACTGTGGTGGTTTTTTGAATTTTGTACATGATCCACCAAACAAACAAGGTAATCTGCATTGGTTATTTGGTATACTTGTGGAGCTTATTATAGATCAAGATATATGTGAACTAATAGCATTTTAATTAAAATTAGAATTTGTCCAGAGCACCATATTTTTATGAATATTTTTTTTTCTTGACCTAAGGCATAACTTTAGTGATCTGATCTTATGAATTGCTATACTGTCTAGGTTAGCTACCTTTATTAACTAGAAAACAATAGTCCATTCTAGCCATATTAATTAAGCCACATTTGAGTCAGGTGTATAACCTGAATCAAGGTGAATGAAAACATTTAACTGGAGTGCTGCGCAATAATATATGCAGAATTGACACAATTTAGATGGTTGGAGTTTAGGCATTCTGTGAAGTCCCCAATTTCATTGACCAGGCCTATTTGAAACATAAGGGGGGGGGGGGACATCTTATGGTACATCAAGTTGGTCCATTTTGTTCACACAGGATAACACTGCACTTAAAATATTTTTTTTCATATTATGGTTCAAGTGCAGATATTGTGGATTGCCATAACACTCACCTTCTAAGTGCATATTATAACGGAGATTTTTGAGTTGATGAATCGTTGTGAGTATGGAATTTTGATTCTACGTTCTTCTATGATTACCAGGCTCTGGAAGGATCTAATATGTGGTTTAGGAAAGGATGGGAGTGCTTGAACCTGGAAGCATCTCCTGCTCATTATGCTCTTAGGTGTTTTATTTCCGATGCTGTTACTATTGATACAACAGGGAAAGTCACATATTGTTTAAAATATTTATTGTGCTTAAAATACTATACTGTGTAATGTCCGAAATTTATATTCATGCGTTAGATGTTTCACTTTCACATGCACATGCACTTCTGTTGAATGTGTTGTTAAGTTCTCCTATGAACTGTTTCGCTGAGTGGTTTACATTACATTTCTTTCACAGGTGGTGATCATAGCATGATGGCAATCGAATTCCACCGTGTTGGTAGCATGCACTATATATTTTCCGGTTATACATCACAGAAGACAGAAAAGCCAGGTATGTTTCTTATGAGCCTGTATATATCACTTTACTAAAAGTTTTCTGGCCTCAAATTATTGAGGAACTTAGAGCTACCATTGAACAAATGTGCCCTGTTTCTTGCAGTGCTTTAATCTGGGTGCAACAACACATATTCTAACTGGTTTTGGGCTCAACTTTCTGTTATTATTAATTTACTAGAAAAAATCCCCGTGCGTTGCAACGGGTAAAAACGTTTTTTATACTATACATTATACTCCCTTGTTTTTAGACCGAATGCTTTCTTGTTTTTGGACCGAACGTTCATTCTTTCCCTCATTTTCAGATTTAGTCCTAGAGCAGTCCGCTGCTTCTATCTGCTTGGCCTCTCTCTTCGGCTCAGCCCACAAGTGGAGCTGTAGGCCCAGCTCGAACAGTCCTTTGCTTGGCCTATCTCCCTTCGGCTCAGCCCACAAGTGAAGCTGTAGGCCCAGCTCGAACAGTCCTGTGCCTGGCCTACCTCTCTTTGGCTCAGCCCGCAAGTGGAGCTGTAGGCCCAGCTCGAACAGTCCTGTGCCTGGCCTTCTCTTCGGCTCAGCCTGTAACATCTCGAACAGTCTCGTGCCCGCATGACGGAGCCGATCCTCCCACCAAATCCGGTAATTGACCAGCTCGAACAGTCCTGTGCCTGCCCTACCTCTCTTTGGCTCAGCCCGCAAGTGGAGCTGTAGGCCCAGCTCGAACAGTCCTGTGCTTGGCCTACCTCTCTTCGGCTCAGCCCGTAAGTGTAGCTGTAGGCCCATCTCGAACAGTCTCGTGCCCGTACCGTAGGGGTGAAAACGGTACGGAAACTTTCCGGATTCCAGGCCTGTTTTTGGAAACGGAATCAGCCGATCGAAATTTTTTTCGGAATTTCTCGAAAACGGAATCGAAAACGGAAATATTTTCTCGGAAACGGAATCGAATATGATAATAGCAGTTTCCGTCGGAACTCGGAATCGGTCGGAAAAATTCCGGAAAATTTGTCGGAATTTCCGAAGTTAAAAAGGCCCATGAAATCAATAGTCTATAATTCGTCCCCAAGTTTCCAGCCCAACCCAAATCGCGGCATCTACCCAAATAGTGGCTAACCCTATAGAGGAGAGAGACAGACACACGGCATCGCGAGACCGCGAGCGGTGGCAGAGCATCACGCTCCACCCACCGCCAGCGCCCCGCGCCACCCCTGGTCCGCCGTCCTCGGCTCCTCGCGACCTCGCCCCCACCATCTTCGCTGTCTCGTACCGCCGCCATCTCGCGGCGCTGTCCAGCCGTTTCGCGGCGCCGTCTCGCGGCGGCAGCGCCGTCCCGCCGTTTCGCCGCCGCTACCACCACTGACGACGACGCCACAGCCACACCGACGAGCCGACGACGCCTCGCCTCTGCGACTCGACAGCAGCCAGCAGCCCAGCGGCAGCAGCCAACAGCCCAGCGGCAGCAGCCAGCAGCCCAGCGACGAGCCGACGAGCCTAAACCATTGATTTGATTTCTTTTGTGCTGCAGATTTATGATGGAATCATCAAATGCAAGTAGCTATTTTGTGATTGAACTAAGTACTGTACTAATGGACTGATGTGTGTTGCTGTTTTGTGATGACTAATGATTGATGAACTATGTACTGATGATGGAGTGATAGCTCATAGCAGATTAGCAGTATAGCACTGAATAATAGTGTATACTGTATACCTTATACCATGGTCTTTTGCTGTATTTTTTTTAGAATATTTGTTATGCAAATTATATGAAGTTATAGAAGAATATATTTTGCTGTTGAGACGATTTCATATAATTGTGTTTTATGATGAATTGTTGACTGTTGAGACTTGAGAATTGGACTTGGCAAAAGTTTTAAGCTCAGTTTGAGGGGTTTTTGTATTCCGATAAATTTTCGTTACCGTATCCGCGCCGGTTCATTTTCGCTCCGTTTTCGGTTTCAATAATATTCGTTTCCGTTTTCGTTTTCGGGGTTTCCGATTCCGATTCCAAAAAAAAAAATGAAAACGAAAACGATAAAGATTGTTTCCATCCGTTTCCGTACCGTTTTCACCCCTACGTGCACGTACGATGACGGAGTCGATCCTCTGTCAAAAGCGGCCGAATCTTTCTCGATCTCCAAAATTGTTAGAGATTTTGATTCACTCGATCTCCTTTTTCGATTTTTTTAATCAAAGTCGAAGCAATCCGCAAAACTCGGAATAAAAAATGACAAACTAAAGGGATGAGGAAACGCATGGAGAGGCAAATCGATATAGTGGCGGCGCTAGGGTTCGGCCCGACAAAAAAAAACCACCGAAAAAATAGCGTGTTGGATTTTGTTAAAACTGGAAAAACGGTGAAAGAAAAAAAAGAAAAAAACAACGTAAAGAAAATAAAACGGAAAAATAAAATAAAACGGACAAAAAAACCAGGAAAAACGGTGAAAAAATAGCGACAAGAAAATAAAACGAAAAAAAGGAAACGGATAAAAATTAATTTGTCCTTTTCTATATTTTTTCTTGCCGTGCCGGGCTTTTTTTTTACAATCGTTTTACGGACGAAAAAACCGGGAAAAACGGTGAAAAAAATAGCGACAAGAAAATAAAACGAAAAAAGGAAACGGATAAAAATTAATTTTTGTCCTTTTCTATATTTTTTCTTGCCGTGCCGGGCATTTTTTTACAATCGTTTTTTTTCTGCCTTTTTTTGTCCGCTTTTTTAGCACGGATAGGAATCGGTCAGTTTTTTTTTTCTGCGCCTTCTTTTTTGGGGCCGGACTTTCTTAATTACAATCGAACTTTTTTTATCGCTTTTTTTTATTAACGGACGAAGGAAACATCTTATACTTTTTAAGTATTTTTAAGTAGTAGTAGTAGATAGTAGATTTGTACTTGATAGATTCTTTGCATAGGCTAAGAATCTAATCTAACCATTAATAGAAGTCATATAGATAGAACATCTTATTTCAGTTTCACACAGGGATGCCACTTTTGAACAGAAAAATAAAGATATATAGTTATCAATATGACTATTTCCTTTTCCTCAGCTAGATTCCATCAAAATGTAGCTATTTGCATAAGATATCTGGGATGCTTCAGGATAATGAAGGATAGGTTGCAGATATTCCCTTATTTGCTTCAGCTATACTTAAAATTTTCGCATCTGGCTAGAGGTTTGTCATTTGATGTTATCGCATTTTTCTAAGAGGGGTTATCATACCTTTTCCCTATATTTCACTAACAATAACATATCCATGTACATGCACTGTCTGTTGGGCCTAGAATGTGCTAAAAAAATTGGGATATGGCATTTCTTATTGTACAGTTGCATAAAGTGAAAATAGAAAAAAATTGTGAAAAAATTAGCACAACACCTCTTCACAAGGTAAATGTTCCCCTACTCTGTTTCAAGCTTAAGATGTATTTTCGTTACCTATTTAGGTATTCACCCTCTTGAGATGAGTTCTAAAATTTGTTTGTATATTTTTTCCTTCGATGTTACACATGATGCCAATATAGTATATATATGTAATCAATAAAATTATACATGATCCAATTTTTTATCTTCCTAGGCATATAAAATGATTAAGGCTACATCTTGAAGATATGGCAGCTTTAATGTATATACTTCTCCAAAACAAGTTTTCAGCCTTTTGTACTTAGAATGAAGTAGCACCATTAATTTTGATGTTTTGCAAAGTAAATTATGCCTTTTGGTAAGCATTTTTTATATGGTCAAGCAATCTTTGAAATGTAAAGTGCAGGTAATGCTGCATACCTAGGACTTGAAATAAATTCAGATTCAAAGTATTCACTTTTAGGTCCAAGATTAGATTTATCCAGATTCAAATTATCCAGTTTCTTTTAATAGTCACAGGAAACGGGGTCGGTGGCAGCGATCCTCGACCCGGGAACGCCGTCCCCGTCCCGAAAACATGGGGTCATTTTCGTCCCCACCTTGTAAAAAACTCTCTCAAGTAGCGTATCACGTTCCTCGACCCCGTTTCTCGATCCCATCGACCCAGGAACTTTGTTACTATACTGCTGCCATAACAATTAAAAGAAAAGAGAAAATTCAAATGTGTTTTCATCAGTTGACCTAGTGCTTGAAGAAAACTTGTTAAAAAAGTAAGGAAATCTTCGGGACAGTCATCTCATTTAGAAAATTGTAGTACATGAGAAAACTAATGTTCAAGAAACTTGAAAAAAGTTCTGGAGAAAAAAGAACTTACATACTTTTAGAAAAATGTTGTTTGTGCTGCCATAACAACTAAAAGAACAGAGAAAATTCAAATGTATTTTCATCAGTTGACCAGAAGCTGGTAACTTTAATTAGCCTAAGATTTGCAAGCCACATTTCAGTAGATTGGGAACGTGAAGGGCGCTCTTTATTTTTTTTTTTCAAAAGGGGATGCCTTTACTTAAAAGCTTTAATACATGATTGATTAAATATTGATGAATTGTTCGATATGATTTATTATAGTGATTCATGTTATTATGAGTAATAGTTAGTTTTGTTCTCATTTTTATAGGTTTATTGATTTTTCTTTTTCTTTTTACTTAAATTTCTTCAGTTTTCTTTTGAAAAACCGTGATAGTTGAAGTAATTTACTTATGGTTGCTATAAACACTACCGTAGTACCTAGACCATAGTGGTCGACACCGTCAAGTGGACAAGCGCTGGAAGGAAGGCCTGATGAGAAGATTGTAACGTCCCGCCTCCCCCAGACCAGGCCCACTTACATCTGATAATTTTTATAGGTCATAGACTGCCCTCACAGGGCCAACATATGTCTTTTCTGCACACTTTTGTCCTCACTCGTGAACATGTCTTTTCTGCACACTTTTGTCCTCACTCGTGTGCACCCGGGAAGAATTTTCCGGTCGATCACCCATCCCAAATTGCTCCAGGCCAAGCACGCTTAACCCTGGAGTTCTTTGGAGATTGGCTTCCGGAAAAGAAGTTGCAACTTGTTTATATGAGTATTCTATTAATCCTATTAAGCCCTAGGCCGGGATGTTACAAGGATATAATTGCTTTGTTGCAGATATGAAAGCTACATAGATGTGTACCATTGGGCCAAAAAAATCCCATTAACAAAAAGGTAAGTGTTGTTCTCTTCCACCTTGCTACTACCAATTGCTGTTGTTGAATACAAACATTTGCTACCACAAAATATTTTTTATTCATGTGATCTGATGTTATGGAGCCCACTTGGGTTGATGCTGAATTGTTGTACATGATTTTCTAGCCTTTTCTAATAACTAGATATGCTTGACTATAATTTGTTCTTGTTAATTCCATGGTATCATTCAACTTGAGTTAATGTGTCTGTGTCTACATATTATTCACCGCAAAATGATTTTTAGTCATCAAATCATGATTTGGTAGTACATGTGATTTGTTATATTGTACAAATCTGCGTGGTTTTGCAGTCAATTAACGTGTTCAATACACGTGGCTTGGAAGCTGAAACTAGATTCCATGGCTTACAACCCAGCTTTCTTGCCACACCATGTGAAGCTTGCCTTTACCTCTAACCATATTGAATTATCCCAGCATTTATATCTTAGGGTCAAAAATGCATTTCAACATGAAGGGATTATGATTTTTCACATTATTTTTAATTTCCATTCAATATACCATGGCATAATAATATAACAGTTGAAGTTTTTAGATAGTTGTACTGCTCGAGGACCCGTGGGAGTTGTTTGGTTGGGTTCAAATAAGTACAGTGTCTAAATTGATATGCAAAATCAATAGAGGGGAAATTCGTCTAAACCTTTTTGAAAGTTTTTGGTGTGGAAACTGGATTATTTTTTCAGGGAAGATATAACATTTTTTTAGGGAAGATGTTAGGTGACAGGTTATAAATATACGTCACTCGAAGGAATTTCTTGTGAATTTATGCTGTTGTTTCAGATTATCATAGACGTGTTGTGCGTATTGTGTTGATTAGTTAGCTCCTTGGCTGCATTTCAGTGTTCATTCCGAGTGTTTAGTTCCAGAGCACATTGCCTGATTCAAATTAAACAGAATGTTGCACACCTGTTCATGAGGTTTCCAAGGAACAAGTAAAGATCTTCTAATCACGCTAAGAGACTTAGAGATAATCATGCAGAAATATTAAGTTATAATTGTGTGATCTCAGAGTTACCATATTCATGCATGCCTTTCAGGGGGAGTGTAGGTATTAGCATAGGATATCTGGGATGCTTCAAGATGGACTTTACAATTGCTCCTTATGAAAAGAAAAATGAAGTCAATCAGTCTAGCAATTAATTTGGAGAAACTGACTCTTTTGCAAGCTATTTGAGAAGGCATCTATGGAAAATATAATGTTTTGCTGACCGGTTGTCATTTTACTTGTGTTTGGTCAAATGGTCAGGGACACTGGCTGGCATGTAGATGGAGGGTTCAAAACCGACACCATATGCTTTATCATCGATACTCAGGGTTTTGTATCTATATGATTTTGGTTTAGCACACATTTCTGATTATTGCACGTTATTAAACCATGTAAACAATGGATTACAAAATTTGTGTGCAGGCCCATCATCTAGAATATAGTCATTGGTGAGCAGACACTTACACTTAGGAAGGAATTAGGATAGGTGGATCACACACAGACACAGGGACACGATGCATGGATCTTGCAGCACAACACAGACAGGTTGCTACTTGTGCTCCTCGTCGAACGCATAGCCATGTTTGAGGTACTGGTCGATGAGGTTCTGCTCGTAGGCGTTCATCTTTTCATCGATGAACTTTCTGAGTTTGAGGCAGAACGTTGGGCCAGCTCCTCCTCGGTGTAGGCGTACTCCGGGTAGGTGTAGGGGTAGCTCATCATTTGTTTGATAACAACATTAGGCATCTTGTACTTGACCACCTTCTTCCCAGACTCCTCCAACCAGCACTCCATGGACCCCGGGACATTCCTCGACACCCAGAGAGGCCTCCTTCTTGAGGACCTCACTACCCTCACACGGGATCGAAGAAGACTTCCTCCTTGTTCCTGGCCGCCATCGCCCGCGCGCGATGGAGGCAGTTCTCTTCAAGAAGAAGAAAACAGGCAGGCAACAATGGCGGCAAGCGGATCGGAAGGAACGGCCAACGACCCAACTCGTGTCAGCCCACAACCGTTTTCAAGCCTTTTCAGCCCATCCCACCAATCTTAAAGCAACCGGAAAAGAATTACAAATATACTCCCATGCAGGCCCTTAATGGCTTAATCCTTGGGGGTTTTTTTTATCAATAAGCCATATAAACAATCAAATATATCGCCTTGATTTCACACGACTAAATGCTGCTATTGCTTCTTCTTGTTGGCTGCGCTGCTTCAATTCCTTCACAGCCGCATCATAGAAAGACAATCATAGCAAATTCATATGCAGACTTGTAGCAAGCTCATGTTAGCAAATCATCAGACTCAGTTCAATTTGTGCTCGATCGTATCAGAGAATCAGCATGGCACACTTGCTTATTCTGTATAATCATTTATGGTAATATTAATTATATTCATGACTTGACATGTGTGCATGTACAAACCATCCCAGCAGTTAAGCTTGGTGGTCCAATAGAAGGATGCTTAACAGTAAGCCTAAATTCATCTCATTTCCCCTTGGAAGAGATTTCAAGGTATAATAACGATTACTGAGTGGCACAATTGCCAACTAGTATATTATGATGCTTCTCAACTGAAGATTGCAAGCATCATCGGACACGACGTAAGTACTGTTACCACAATACACGATATAAGTAAGCACTGTTACCACAATACAATGTATAGACAGGAAAATAGTAAGCGCCTCATCTTTAGCTGCTATCGTTCATGTTGTTAATAGTTTCAAGGGCTTTTGGAGGCACCATAGAAAAGGGATATGAAATTGAAGCAATGAAACTATGAAAAGAGTTAAGAGTAAAACTCAGCAATTGTACAAATGCACTAGGAATACAAAGATGAATCACCATGCTTGTTTCAGACAAGTATTTTCACTCTAAAAAAAATCAACAGCCTATTAGTCAAGTTCTTATGCTCCACAACTAAGAAATACAGTATCTTACAGCACAAAAAGCTTAATCCTCTATAGCTTCAAATTCACAGCTCATAGTTTTTATACGCATATAGTCAGCTAAAGAACACAGGAAAATAATATTCATTCAACAGTTGACAGCTAAAGAGCACCCAGAGAAAACATGTATTGTGATACAGGCATATAGCTTCATAGGCATTCAGAACAGTTAACAAAAGATACAGGCATATATAGCTTAAATGTGTTATAACTACCATGTAAAGAGAAAAAAAAAATAACAGCAATAATGGAGTTGCGTCCCATAAACATGAAATAAAACTGTCAACTGCAGTCAGATGTAGCTTTTTTCTGCTGACAGAAATTCAAGCATGTGTAGTTTTACAGCGACAAAAAACACAGGGGATACATACACCCTGGGACATCATCAACCTCTAGGGGTTCAGGAAGGAAACTAGAACAGAAGCAAAATTAACCAAAAGTTAGGCCCTAGCCAGCCAATCTTCTTGCATTGAAGTTGCATCATGTCCAGCAATGGCTTGATAAGGACTTCCGCTGCAAAATAGAGACGATTTTCTGTATATCATTCCATGAAATTAAATATACTAGACTTTTAGGTTCCATAGATGCGGCAATGAACTTACAACCAGCAAAAATGCATCTAAAAAGTAGGTGATAGATAAAAACAGTAATAACATAGAGACGATTTTGTGTATATCATTTCATGAAACTAGACTTTAGCGTTCCATAGATGCGGCAACGAACATATAATCAGCAAAAATGCAATTAAAAAGTAGGTGATTGATAAAAACAGTAATATACCTCATAAATTGAGGAACTTGGATAGCTTAGAAGTTAGAATAAATGTCCCAACTGAAGTGCCTGCAGTTGACCCCTGTTATACAGCTCCAACTGCAGATACGGGACAACCAATGGGAACCGGACATGACATGCATACTCTGAGTCCACAGCATTATAGCCCAAAATCAGGCTCCTCCATGGATCCATCCTGTGAGATGTCCTATTTCTCAGAAAATCAAAGAAGAACAGAGTTTCAATTAAGGCGATCTGATCAGGGGTAAGCGATTTCTGTCCTCGAATAGGAGTTAGACCCAGTGCATGTAAGAATTCCCTCTGACGTTTGTTGAGGCATGTCTGAGATGGTTTGTCAGCTGGTACAATACGGCCGTCAGGGTTGAAATCATAAGGCTTTTTGAGGATACGGTTGGTCTTGACTTTACTCTCCCAAACATCGGCATATGGAAGGTTTGTTAGGATAGCCCTAAGATCATCTGGTGGCATCACAAATCTGATATGGTCATACATTGACTTGAAAAACAGTGACACATTAGCTAGGGATACCAATGACCCATGAAAATGAAATATCTCTCTCTTGTCAAACTCATGAAGGATCAAGTTTAGCAGGTGCTGTATATCTTCAGGCACACTTCCGTCTTCAGATAGAAAGAGATTCCTGATAATCTGATGAGCACACAAATAGTTGTTTCTTAGAAGGTCCATCTCTAACTATACACGTGAAATGTTCTTGAACTTAACTTTTCCCGTGGGACTCACAAAGATGTTTGAAATGTTTAAATCCAAAAAACACAAATTTCTCAACTCATTTGTCCTTAGTCCTTTCAGCATAGTTCTGATTACTTTCTTACATGACTCTGTTGCAACCAGATAAGTCACACTTGGATTAGTTTCCCCAAATGAACGAAACTGATACGAATCAGAAGTCACCATTGGTCTAATATTCAGATAAGACTCCAATGGGATGCAATCATCAAAATACACTTCAGAGGTATCTAACACATATCTATCATATGACACGTAGGATAAGGCAGCTGTGAAAAAGAAAAGAAAGCAAACATTACTTCAATGTTTTGACAACCTAAAAGGACAGGGAAAATGCAAAGGCAATTACCATTATGAATGGGGTTGTCCATGTCTTCAGGTGAAAAACCTGGAACCAAGTCAAGGGGACCTGGATTGTTTGCAGTGGCCATGGAAAAGCTCAATAATGGCAGAAAACCTACAAGCCTGAAAAGAAAGCATGGACATGAAAACAACAGCACTAAAATGCAACCTAGTTGCTACCTATGACCGTCCCCATATTTTATGAACCAATAGAAGTGAAATGGGAAAATCACAGATAGAGAATATACACTACAGATATTAGCTATCTGTCACTAAACAATCCAACATGACTTGCATAGGTTATCTTCTTCCTATCAACATTAGTCATGAATCTATTATTAAAAAAGCCTACCGAAAGGATAAATCATGTATTACCTACAAAAACAACTGCTACTTTTAATAGAAGGGATAATTTGTACTATGTGGTCATCAGCTACAAAAGGCTCACATATATAAGAAATCAGCTATCATGTAGTATCCAGATAAACCAACCTGTTGTAGGCCAGTAAGCAGATGTCAAAGCATAGATACACAAATTCAAGATCAACACAAGGAAAAAAAAACTGAGGCAACATCCCAAGGCTCAGCCACTTGATGACTACATGATGGGGAAGAAAGCAAAACACATAGGAGGCTGGGTTAACTTAACCAAACAACTCAGAACATAGTGGGAGATAAGTCCATAAATGATAAATCTCTGAAACGAAATGAAGCTTTAGATGTAGAAGAATGCAAGTTAGAAACAAACTAGGGGATCAATCCAAATGCGTTTTGAAAACAATATGCTTCAGATGCAGAAGAGCTCAGAGACATGCAGGGAGTTATGTTAGTTAACCAAATAACAGATACGAAGTGATCAGTACTAACGGATCAGTCCATGCATCTCTCAAACAAAATGCAGCATTGAGATAGAGTTGCAACAGCGATTTCCTTTCTCTATTCAATTCACACCAGAATCCCAGCATAAAAATTATCTGCAGCTTGCCTTCCAAAATCAGTCTCAGATTGTAAGAATCGTGCGTGTCAAATGAATTTGTGCAATTCTCTGTTCCCAAAATTCAGAAATAATGCCAGTTCAAACAGATTTACAATTGTGCAGAAATTAATAAGGAACGCACAAAGACAGAACAGGATAAAGCAACAGGTGCAACCAACAGCCCATAATTTCTCAAAGCAACAGCCAACAGGAGCCAAGTTCAGGTATTGGTTTGTTGCTAACTCATTAGGATCAACACTGAAGAATTCATAACACGCACAGAGATTTTATAAACCAAACAAGACGGCAGGATACCATCAGCATGATCCAGAAGAAAACATAACGTGCAGGGAATCGGGTTTAATTGAACCAAACATCTCAGAACGCACTGGGAGAACAGTTCATACATCTGTGAAGCGAAATACTTCAGATGTGAAAAGAAGGTATATCAGAAATACAAGGAGGATCAGTCAACATGCATATATGAGATGAAATGCTTCAAATCCAAAATATTTCAGCCACATGCAGGAAGTTCGGCAATTAATCAACCAAACTACAGACAGCATACCATGGGATCAGATTCAAACTAACATATCAGCCCATTCATCTCTGAAATGAAATGGAGCATTCAAATAAAGTTACAGACACCAGAATCAAAGCAAAATGCCCACCGCAATGTTGTCATGTTCAGGGAGGAAGCACCATCGCTACAACGGGTGCTTCGACTCTGTTGAGGACGCTACGCTCTGGGCAGAGAGAATGAAAACACAGGAACGACAGGTGGTTACGGTCTGGAAAAGCTGTTTCTCTAATCCCCTTTCTATGATGTAATGATATTATGTTCGTTGCATCTGCTCCATCCAATACAAATTCATGAACAGGAAAACATCCCCTATCGATCAAGCACTGAAGTGTTGCAAATCTGCAACCGAATCCCACCAATGAACCACATGCCGAGTAAAGAACGCCGCAATACACACATCTGAACCCGCGGATTCTAAATTCGTACGAGAACTCAAATCACCACAAAAAGGCTCATGCCCATGCTACTGTACAGATTCATCTTTGCTACTCTATTGATCCACGACACTAGGTGCTCCGTTGCCAAAAATCAACATATAAAATGACAAAAACCAACATATAAAATGAGACAGCACAGTACACACCGAGGGATTCAAAATAGTGACATAAAAAAGCATGGGAAAAAACCTCGCTCAAATGGACGAAGTGGCTCCAGAAAAAGTGCGGTGGCGAGTGAGTGGAATCAGGGCGACGGAGACGGCGAGTGGAATCCAGCGATGACGACAGAAATCGCCCTCCTCTCCGCCTGGCACAGACAAAACGAGAAAATGAAAAAAAAAAAAGAGGAAGATGTGGGAGGGAGGGAGGGATGTTTACCTACACAGGTAGGTTTGGGGATCTCGATCTACGAGGAAGGCTTGTCGCCGGACCAGGGAAATGGCTGCGTAGGCATCGGGTCGACGAGGTGAAGATAATAAATCTGGAACGAGAGGTTTTGGGAAGTGACGGCGGAAGCAGGACCCTAAGCTACGGTTTCCCATCGTCGAATTTATAGACAGGGCGCTAGACGGGCCAGGCCGTGATGAGTGGTCACAGGTTGGGCCAGCCCGGAAACTTGCTAGGGCAGATATAAATGTCGAGTAAGTTCACTTTAGGTCCCTCATCTTGATGCTGAGGCCCTGTTTAGATGCTGGCAAAAATTTTACAGCATGTCACATTGAACGTTTGAACACATGTATGAAATATTAAATATAGATAAAAAATAACTAATACACAGTTTACGTGTAAATTGCGAGACGAATTTTTTAAGCCTAATTATTTCATGATTTGACAATGTGGTGCTACAGTAAATATTTGCTAATGACGGATTAATTAGACTTGATAAATTCGTCTCATAGTTTACCGGCGGATTTTGTAATTTGCTTTATTATTATTAGTATATGTTTTATACTTTAAATATGTGTCCGTATATCTGATACGGCACGCTAAAACTTTACACCCTTGATCTAAACACCCCATGAGTTTAAATTACATCCTAAATCGTAAAACCGAGTATTTCAAAACGGATGCTAATATAGTTCTAAGGCAGGATTGAATACGGCTTTGACTGATATGGAGCTGACGTGACACAATAATGAAAAAAAAACATTGGAAGCCACACGTAAGTGAAATTAAATAGCATAGCGAGAGAAAAATACTGCATAACGTGATACTGTATTGAGCCTTAGGTAGGGATGAAAGCGGAGCGGATAAATACTGCATAACGTGATACTGTATTGAGCCTTAGGTAGGGATGAAAGCGGAGCGGATAAATACTGCATAACGTGATACTGTATTGAGCCTTAGGTAGGGATGAAGGCCCTTTTTGTTTCAACTTATGATTATTATAATCTAGATTAATAAGCCAGATTACTATAAGCTGGCATGGAATAAGCTGTGAGTTGTTTATTTGTCTGGATTATTGAAGACATGGATTATTGGGTTTGAATGGCTAAAGTCTATAATGTCCTCAGCTATCTGTTCGGTTGATGGCATAGGTGGGTAATTTTTCTCAAGTATTTAGGGGTAGTGGGTCTTTAGCCACTTAATAATCTGAAAAAAGCTCCTCTAGAGCAGCTTATCAGATTATAATAATCTGGCTTATAGATTATAATAATCTACTATAATAATATACTTGTTTGTTTCAGCTTACTCCTAATAAGCTATATTATAATAATCCTAAGCTGAATCAAACAGGGCCGAAAGCGGAGCGGATACGAACAGATAATGCTCGTACCATATTCATTTCATGTTTTTTTACCGGATAAAAAACAAATACGGATTATCTCAAATACGAATAAGTATCGAATATAATCGGACATGAATACGGAAACAAGTTTTTTTTAATACGAAAACTAACTCAACTTCTAATAGAAACAAATATGAACATATATAATTAGCTTATTTTATATAAATGCCGTATAATTTATAAATATTTTTTTTAAAATTTAAATAATATTAATCGTGTGGACTAGTGTTAAGAGATAAACTACTATTAAAATCAAAAAAAATATATATTGAAGGTTATAGAGTTATAAAGAAATAGGGTATGTCTCATGGCTTCTGCGGATATCCGAATAGCACTGCTCATCGCATATCCAAATTATTATCCGTATCAATCGACATTTGATATCGCGACTACGGTATTTGCATAGTATAGGGATCGTTAGTACCAGATATATGCGAGATTGAGGTAAAAAGATAGAGACAAGGATTTTTGTACAGGTTCGGACCTCTTATCTTATAGTTAATAGCCCTACTCCTGTTGGCCGAAGTCAGTGTTACTCTTATTCATCGTAATCACATAAGTACAATGTATGGGGATAAACTATGTAGCTGTCGTCGAACTGGCGGCCTGTAAACCACCACTAGTCAGCGGCGGACAAACCCCTGAATGTTAATGTTAACTTTAATCGAATATCACGTTAACATCCAAATGAATATCTTTTACTGTGATTCCAAACAAACAATTAACTTATATTTCTAAGACATATATTCCAACGCAACATGTTTAAGTCGTAAATTTTGATACCGAGCAACTTTTATAAGATAATGGGGTAGGAACAATTTGCACATGCCTGCAGCGAAGTTAGGGTCTGGCATTCGTTCCTGCCGCGGCGGAAGAGGACGTTGCGCTTGTGGTCCATGGAGTCTCGCACGGCGACCACGCCGTAGACGCCGAGCGGCCACCGGAGGCCGCCGGTGATCTGGGTCACCTTCACCGTGAAGACCTGCATTGTTTCCATAGGCTGCGCAGAAGGGGGCAGCACTGGAATGTCTGTGTTTGGCATAGGAGGGAGATCCGCTGCCCAATTTTTCCCCCCACAAAACAAACAAAAAATCAATCAATTTGCTCCACGGTTGAACTAATCGCATCAAGTTTTTTTTGGAACTAATCGCATCAAGTCGCCAAGAAATTCAATTCAAGCAGAGAATTCAAGAAGAGGCATACTCTCGTCCTCGAAGGTGGCGCCATTGGTGCCGTAGGAACGGGCCCAGCTCTGGCGGTAGGCGTCCAAGGGATTCGGAAGGGGTTCGTCGTAGTACTCGTCGTCGTCGTCGTCATTCTCCATCGCCATGGCGCGGCGGCGGGCACTGTCGTGGTGATCCTCCGACGGCGTCTTGGCGGCGTCGCCGCCGCCGTTAGAAGCTCTCTCCTCCTCCGTGGGCTTCTCCAGATCCGCCCTCTTGTGGCCGAGCTCGCCGCTCGCACCCTCCGCTTCCATATCCACCTCCATTACCGCCGCCGCCGCACGCCGCCGGCGGGTTTAGGGTTTGTCTCGTCCTCACTCCTCACTCTGCTTCCTTGTTTTCTCTTTCTTTTTCTTTTTTGGGCCTCCTAAAGTTGACGGGCTTTGGCTTAAGCCCACCCAGCCGAAGCCGAATCAAAGATTTTTGGAACAAGTTTATTTTGCCTCCCTCTCTTTTGCTCCTTGTCGAATCGCATCCCTCGACCACAGAACCGGGTATAACGTCTCCCTCTCGTATATCAAAACCGGTGAAAATTGTCTCATTTATTGGATTGGGAAGCGGTTTCGTCCGACGTGGCAAATTGATACGCTGAACCCACTTATGAGCGGCCTCTACCTCATCCCATCTTCTCTCACACCTCTCCCCCCTCTCTCATCTCTTTCGTCCTCTCTCTCACCTTCCATCAGCAATAGACCGGGCGGCGGCGACGGTACCAAGCTTTGCGGCGCGAGGGAGAGGAGCTTGCCAGACAGCCGCACATGGAAGGAGGAGCTCGTCGGCCGGTCGTGCCCGTGGAGAGGACCTGGCCGGCAGGGGTGCACATGAGGAGGAGATCGCAACCGTACGTTCGCACACATGAAGGAGCTCCCAGCGAGTCGTGCGTGGGGAGAAGAGTCGTCGGCTGGCCATGCGCAGGGAAGGAGCTTGCCATCCAGCACCGCGCGGGGAGAGAAGCTCCCGGCCGGCCGTGCATATGGAGAGGAGTCGTTGACCGGTTGCGCGCGGCGGAGTTGCTCGCCCGCCGGCCACACGGGGGTGGGGAGGGGGGGGAGCTCGCCGACCGGCCGTGTGCTGAGGAGGAGGTCCCGGCCGGCCACGCGCGGGAGAGGAGCTCGCTGGCCAGCCGTGCACGGGGAGATAGTTGTTGGCCAACCATGCGTGGGGGGAGCAGCTCGATTGCCGGTCACGCCCGGGGAGAGGTGTCGTCGGCCGGCCACGCGGCGGGGAAGGAGCTCGCCAACTGGCGCCGCGCAGGGAGATGATTTCCCAGCTAGCCGCGCACGCGAAGAGGAGTCGTCGGCCGGCCACCGTGATCCCCCTCGGCCGTGGTACCGTTTGCAGCGCCCAAGCACGTGGCTGTCCACCCCAGACCTACCAGAGAAAGAGATAAGGAAGAAGAGAAGGTTAAGATGGTTGACAGGTAGGGCCTACTGTTTTTTATTTCTACCATTATCACTTACATGTGGGACCGTTTTCTATTTTCAACTCCTTTAATGACTAGGTGCCACGTCAGCACACTTAGATCAAATCAACTTGCCACATCAGCAAAAGCCGGTTCAAAAACCACTAAAGGAGTTAATTTGTACCAGTTTTTAAAGTTGGGGGACATGTTATACCCGGTTTTGAGGTTGAGGGATGTGATTCAACCAAGAGCAAGAGTTGAGGGAGGAAAAATAGACTTATTTCAAGATTTTTACAAAATTTATTAAGGAATAAGTTCATTGGAGGTCCCTCAACAAAATTTAATTTTTTTTACAAATTTTACAAATTAGGATTTTTTGAGTTTACTTAACCATAAAACGAGAAATGTATACCTCTAAACTCATACAAACCGTACAATCAAGGTCCTATAGCAGTATATATAGGTGGCTTGACTGACGTGGCATTCTAGTCGAGAAAAAAAAGTCCACATGTAAGTGTGATGAAAAAAAAAAAGAGATCCACATATCTTATTTCTTCTCGTTTTTTCCCTTTTCTTTTCTATCTTCTCTTCTCTTTTCCTCTCCAATCTTCTCGACGCTGAACCGCAGCCGGCGGCTGGCGGCAGATGGCCCGGCCACTGCCCACTCCACTCCGCCGGCCACACGCTCACCCGCCGCCGTCCGCCACGTGCTCGCCCGCTTGCTCCAGCCGCACGCCGCCGCTCCGCTCCGCCGACCGCGCGCTCGCCCGCCGCTTGCTCTTGTTTCAGAGTACAGTCTACATGTACTTACTGAATATCCATGCCAGAGTGTTGGCTCATCATCGTTTTTCGTTTCTTGAAAACCTGTGCAGATGGAGAATCGATGGCGATGACATTCCGATGGAAACACATAGTAGCTTAAAGCCTTGTCTTCAGATGGTGATCCTTGACCCTTCACTTTGAGGTCAATCTCAAATAAGGGGTTATCCAATAGAAGAATTGCACGGCTAGGACCTGTGAGTTCCAATGCTGTAGTTCATATGAGTTTGATCAGTAAAATCCAAAATGCAATGTTAATTAACACGTGGATAGGAGGAAATGGGTAAATTTGCTTGCAATCGAATCACTACACAATTAGGATTAGAACACCTTGCAGATGTGCGAGTGCGAGCAAGATAGAGAGTACTTGAGCATTGAAATGTTCATTGCCTGATGTTTCTGCTTTCAAATCCGAGTACTCGAGCTCGTCGGTCAGCAGGTTCGCGTAAGCGACCCGCCGATCGAGTAGACGGCCAAGTGGCAACCCCTCTGGTTCCAAGCAACCCAGGAAAAGAGCTGCACCGAGGAGCCCGCAAACTAGGCAACCCAAGCTGCAACAGGCGGCCATAACTTACTCGGATACTCCTTCTGTCAAAAAAAAAAAAACTTAACCTCTGTCTAGATTTGTTGTAGATTATGTCTCATCCACGTATTAGGTTAAGTTTTTTTGGACGGGGGGATTAGTAGGCAACCCCAAGCTACGCAACCCAACCCAACCTTGGATGGGAAGCGGCCTCTGTCCCTTGGGATTAGGGGGTGTTTGGATCCAGGGACTGAACTTTAGTCCTTGTCATATCGGATGTTTGGACACTAACCACAAGCAATGGGAGTCCTCACCGCACATTGTACGCCTACATGTATGCAAACAAAATTAGTGGAGGAAAACGATCATACGCCCCACCCACCTAACAAAACCATTCCTTTAGAAAACCGGTGAAAATTAGGAAAAAATAAAAACCAAAACTTTGTCTACCAAAAAAAACATGGCTTTAACTTTCATTTTTAATCCCATATCTCCCTCCATTTCAAGATGTATGGCGCCGCTGACTTCTTGCGTAACATTCGACCATTCGTCTTATTAAAAATATATAAATATTATTTATTTTGTTGTTATCAAATAAACTATAATCTTAACTTATACTTTTATATATTTGTATTCAATTTTTAAATTAAACAAATGATTAAACATTATGAAAAAAGTCAACGACATCATACATTTAAAAAATGAGGTAGTATCATGACTTTGCGGTTTTTCTATAGAACACTGCACAAGGGAAATGCACTTTGTAAATCAGCTCATGAACACTACACCTATCCTAATATTCATTTATGATTGAATAGTAGAGAGAAACCGTGTGAAAGTTCGGAAATACCCCTAGACTCACATGTCAAGTCTCTCATCTCTCTATTTCTCTCGAGTTCTATTTCTTTGCTCTTCTCGCTATCGCAGGAGGCCGGCGGGGCGAGTCGGGGTGTGATGAGCTTAAAGGCGGTGGGCTGTGGTTGGCGGTGATTGGGGAAGGAAATGGGGAGGCTTCGCCTCGCCTCGCTTCCCAAATCTCACAAACTAAAAGCTAACGGCACTAACTCATGGACCGAAAAGGAAGAAATTAACGCGGGTTTGTGCCGTGTAGATGTTTAGTACCAAAAAGACTGAGTGGAGGTCTTCTGCAGTACTGCACTACTCACTGACATGTGGGTCCCATAGACCGAGCAATGCTGCACTTAGTAAGTTCTTGATCGGTTAATCCCCATGAGGGAGGGACTAAAGGAGATTTATTCAACACCTATTATGGTGTGAAATTATTCCCTCTTAATTCCTTCCAATCCTTTTCAATTCCCTCCAAACCGAACCAGCCTAAATGACGGTATTAAGTATACATTGAATTTTTTTTCTAATAAGGAAAAAGTATGCATTGAATTTTCTCTATTTTTGAAACGGAGGAAATAATTGATATAGGAGAAGGTGAAGAAGCAGATCCTCGGACACCTCACTCCCCTTCCCAACCGGCAAACCCTACTTTTCCGGCGGCGGCGGCGGTGATGGAGTCCGGCCAGTCTGGTGACGGGGCTAGCCACGGCCACACGAGTACGGTGGTGGAGACTGCCAAGGAGGAAGCGCTCGCCGGCGGCTACGATGAGGAGGAGGAGGACTGCACACCGCTACCTAATGGGCTCATATGCTCGCGGCAGAATTGGGAAACGATGTACGGCAAATTCGGTGCCTTCGAGGACGAGAGTAAGTGGATTTCTCTGATATATATATATATATATATATATATGTATGTATATATATGTGTATATATATATATGTATGTATGTATATATTCTCTCTTTGGCTCTTTGGATTCGCTAGCCTGATTCAAAATCAATCTAATTTCTTCTATCTTCATTGTGCACCGCCCTCTCATTTGTGATTTTTGACACAATCATTTGACAGAAATAATGAACGGACTTAGCAATCTTGTATGTTGTAGATGCACTGCACGCACATATATTAATCTTATAGATGAACACTTTTCAATGTATTGGGATGCCCAACCACACAAACCTAGTTGGGGCAGTCATATTTTGCAATTTGCATTTCTTTCCTGGGTCTTGGGTTTGAAGGCTTGAAGGGTGGCCATGGACAGTTATAAGAACAGAGTGAATTTTGGGAACCAGGAGCCATTGGAAGGAAGCAGATTGTAAAAAAAAAAAAGAAGTTAACTCATATGTATATTTTCTTACTCACATTTGTCATTTGGTTGTCAATTTCTGCTCCAGTCCAATAATCACTCGATGAATTTGTGTGTCCAGCGGATGCTTCTCCAATGAGGAACACGGATAGGCCAGTGCCACCATATTATCTGCCAATTAGCATGATGCAATTCTTCTCAGTGAAGGTGATCGAGATCATGGGAGGTCTCCAATGGCCACTCCACGTCTATGGTATCGTTGCTACGCGTGACTCACAAGATAACAAGAGGAACTTCTTGTTTCGTTGTGATAGAGAGCACTGCCAGACCCTTGCCTCACCACAGGTATGTGCATTGTGTAGCCCTTCATTATTTCTGGTCCATTTCATTTTGTTTTAGTTTTATTTGTCGTCAGTCATGAATCAAGTGGGTGCATTATCATTGGTAGTTAACCAATTTACTGCTACCAAAAGCTAAATAGAGGGAACCCATGTTTTCCAAAGCTTTCTTACTGTTCCTGTTATGAAATTTTGGGGATGATCTCATCCTTAACCTAGCACTTAGCAGCAATGAGTTACAGCCATGAGTTATTCTTTTTTGGAAAGAGATGCAATCATTACTTCAGTCCACATTAACAACTACAGTTTTTACTACCCATCTTGCTGCATGGTGACATGTTTCTTACAAACCGTTGGATTGAAGTCATGCGCAGTATCTTTGCAGGTGACACAGCCTATCAAAGATTATGAAACATGTTGATCTGATTGCCCCTCTTTCTGTCGCCCATGCGTGCAGGATTCATGTTTGAGACTTACACGTCCTAGTCGAGCTATTGTAATAGTGAACCCTGTAGTTGTTGAGGTTGACTTGAAAGTGAAGGGCAGCAGAGGACCCCCATCTGAAGACAAGGTTTTAAGCGAGCATGCTTTTGTTCACAACCACACTGGTCATAGGATTAAACCTGGCTTTCCTCATAGACAGCTGGAATCAACAGAGGACAGCACGATGGAGTTTGTGTTTGCACATCTGCAGAGTGCAGTGGAGGCCACCATCACGGTTGGAGTCGTTGAAGGATCGCCTGATTTCAGGGCTCGTTTTACTGCTCGAACTGCTGGGATTGATGAGGATGTGTTGCTTCTTGACTTTCAGGATGGTAAGGGCCTCTTTAGTTCGCGAACTGAAATTTTTTGCGTGTCACATCGGATATACGGACACACATTTGAATTATTTAACGTAGACTAATAACAAAAACAAATTACAGATTTCGCCTGGAAACTGCGAGACGAATTTATTAAGCCTAATTAATCCGTCATTAGCAAATGTTTACTGTAGCACCACATTGTCAAATCATGGCGCAATTAGGCTTAAAAGATTCGTCTCGCAATTTACACGCAATCTGTGTAATTATTTTTTTTCTATATTTAATACTCCATGTATATGTCCAAATATTCGATGTAACTGGGTGAAAATTCTTTGTTTGGGAACTAAACAGGGCCTAAGGTGGTGGTCGATGATGATGGGTTCGTCGTGCTCCGGCGACGTGTTGTTTCTGTTGAAGGGACAGGGAAGCTGATTCTCCGGATGGAGGCTACAGATCACGGTGGCGATGACACGGCTGTTGTTAAGGAAGAAATCTTCTGTGCTAGAAAGACATCAAGGAGCCAAAGTTACTTCATGCTTGGGTTTTGTAAGCTGTCGATCATCATCGCCTGGTCGTTACTTCCATAGATGTAGCGCCAGTTTAAGTCCTTGCGTAATTGTGTGTATTGTGTACTAGTAGTACTGCTTTGACTAAGCCAGATTGGTGTGACTCTGGGTTCTTACTAAAGAGCATCTCCAAAAGAGCAAATCAGGTGAAGAAAAAGATAGGAGTCGATATTCATCTGATACTATCTTGGTAAAGAAAAAGATAGGAATAGGAGACTATGCATTCATTATAGGCAATTAAATGCTAAGAACAAATACTCATTCTTATTATAAAAAGACCTGCTAGATAAACTCCATAGTAATGCCTTTTGGTCTCACAAAGCCCCAGCAACATCTCATGTTCTCATGAATAAGGTGTTGGCTCCTATCTTGAGAAAAGATATGCTAGTATCTTTTGATGACATTCTAAGACCATAGAAGAACATGTGATACATGCATTTTGGACATTTTAAGGTCTAACTAGGGTTTTTTTTTTTGCATAATCAAGTAAATGTGTGTTCAGTCAACAGCAAGTAGAATACCGGGGCTACATTATTAGCTATTAATCGAAGCTGTATAACTTTGACCAGAACTCACTAATGTCACTCAGTTGAGAGGCTTTCTGGTTTAGTTGGCTATTATAGAAGATTTATCAAAGTTATGGAGTGATCTAATTGCATATCTACCATCGCAAAAGATTGGATTCGCGAATGCGAGCATCAGGTGGCGGCGGTGGCGATTCCTGTACTAGGCAACAAAACGAGCGGCAAGCGTAGGCGGCAGTTCCTCTTGGGGGCAGACAGAAGGCAACCAGAGGGAAAGTTTGCTACATGGAACTCCTCTATTTGTTGCTGACAATTTGATTCGTATGATTGTATCATCCGGCTGGATCGATTTTTTTCTGTCATCCCTCCTGAGATTGATTCCTCTTTCGCCGGAATCAATTTCCGTTGATTCATGCCATGTAATTTGCATTCATCACTGCTAATTGGGACGATGACAAAGGAGATTAATCTTGGATGATTTTGCTATTTTTTTTAATTGCTGGTGCCCATGACGTGCAGTTGTTGCCGTCCACCGATCGTTGCCGTCGAGCATCTTCGGCGCATGAAGGAGGAAGAAGAGGAGCCAGGGTATTCTTGCGAAGTCGTTTTGGTTGAGTGTGGTATTTTCTGAAGCATACTTAAGTTATGGTACCGTAGCGAATCTTTCTTTTTCGATGGTAGAAATATAATTTTTTGATTGTGAGAAAACAGAAGCAATGTCTGAACGTAGTTTCACAGTTAGCCGTGCTCCTCCCAACAAGCTATTTCAGATTTCTTGTTTCCTGACAGCATTCCGAAATGAGAAGGGGAATCATTTCAACATTTGTTCTTGTTTTGCAGAAACAGAGGTGCAGAGTGGGAGGTGCTGCAATAATATAATGCACACCCCAAATTAAGGAGAAACTAAATCACGATCACACACGTCAATGGTCCAACCTTTTCACTATCAACAAGAGTCCACATTTCACCATTCATTATCATCACAGTGCTTTCGCTCAAAAAATTAACACGGTCCAAAATAAGCATCCGCAGTGCACGGTACAGAAGTACAAACTGGGTTTAGATCCTATTTAAGAGAGTTTCTAGCTGCTGCAGCTTCTTTCACAGTCATAAATTTCTCTAAACAGTTCGGTTTTTAGTTCAGATTCTAAAAAGCTAAACAAGTGACAATCACCTCTAGCTTACCTTAATTAGTTCGGACTTAATTTAGAGCACATGATAATGCCCACACATTCACTAATATTACTAATTAAGAATTCATTTGCTATTTTTATTACGAGTAAATTGCATTAACGGTACATAAACTTGTCAGGTGCGTGTAATTTAGTGTATGAATTTGTAAAATGCTTATTTTGGTGCATGAACTTGTTTGGTACGTGCAAACTAAGACTAAAATGGCACGATAAGATTGATTTTTCTATGTTGACCATTATAAATTACAAATTAGTAGATGACTAACGTGTACGTAGTAGAAATGTTATATTTGTAAACTTAGATACCATTTTATCTTTCTTTATTTCTATCCCTTGCATTATTACTCGGTTTTTTTATGCAATCATTATGTCTTATTATATATTTATCCTTCTTAGACTAATGTTTACACAGAGTTTAAATCAACAACAGAATCAGCAAAATTAACCTTATAGTGCGATGTTGACCTTGTTCGCACGCACCAAGTTCATGCACCAAAACGAGCGTTTTACAAGTTCATGTACTAGATTACACCCACCTGACAAATTCATGTACCGCCGATGCAATTTACTCATTACCATAGGAAGTTAGTGTAACACATCTATGGAAGGGAAGCACCGACCATGAAGTGACCTCCAATTATCAAGGTGAGGCATAGCCCTGATGATGCTCACCTGCTTGGGTGCAATGCAAGTTGCGCGCGCAGAGGCTACCTCAACCCAGGTTCACAATCCCGATACTAGATCAAAATCCGCTCACGACCAGTATCATTGGATCCATTGATAAACTAACAAAAAATCGATGAAGTACGGATAGAATTTGTCAAAAAATAAAGAATAAAATAAAATTCGGTTGTTGATTTGGACATTTTGATTTGTGTACATATCTCAAAAACTTTTCATCATCACATTACATATCTCAAATTATTATATATGGACACATCACAAATTGTGTACGTACATTTAGGTCGTATCTCAAATTTTTCTAATACACGTTCAAATCATGTACGCATTCTTGAGATATTCCAAATTTTATACACATTCGGAAACTACTACTCCTTTTTTTTCACATTTTCTTTATATGTAGTTTTTCTTTAGCCCATCAAAGACACATGCTACAACAGTCAGGGGTATATATCATTTTTTTTTAAAAAAAAACATACATGTCTATTGTTCAGAAAGCAAAAGGTGAGAGAAATTTAAATAGAAGAGAATACTACCTGTTCTTTTTTCTCATAAAGATAAAGATTTTACCTTGGTTTCCATTTGGTTTCCATTAGCACGCTTTTCCAACTACAAAACATCGTTTTGTATGAAAACTTTCTATATAAAAGTTGTTTTAAAATAACAACATAACACTTTTTCAAATTTGTAATAATTAAAACTTAATTAATCATGTGATAATAACTTTCTCGTTTTGCATGCCTGCTTTTAATCTTTATCTTTAGAAGATTAGACGATCAGTCCCATTCGTTTCCTCTATAAAAACTGGATACAAATTTGATACTTTTGGTACGCTTTTCAAACTGCTAAACGGTACATTTTGTGTAAAAACTTTGTGTAAAAACTTTCTATATGAAAGTTATTCTAAAATATCAAATTAATCTATTTTTTAAGTTTGTAATAATTAAAACTCAATTAATCACACGTTATTATCACCTCATTTTACGTGAAACAATCTCCATCTGGATGTTGGAGATTTAAACACCACCGATGTTGGAGATGGATGCGGGGTCGGTACAGCATAGCAGAGGACGATCTGCACTGCACGAGGAAGCATAGCAACCAAGTGAAGAAATCAAACTTCCACACATAAACTTAGGAAAATTGAGATGCATATTAATATGGGCATGAAGATGAGATGGGATCAAAGGAACAGATCAACAGAAACCGAATGCGAGGCTTGATAGAGCTTATAAGGGCCAGACCAATGTGAAGCCTGAGAAAATCTGGGTTAATTTGGCCCGTGCAAACCCATTTTACAAGTATAGCCGAAGACATGCAAACACACGATCAGAAGTTTGCTCCTCTAATACACTAAGTATTTTCCTCTTTCATCATAGGGTATAACAGTACAGTATATTCGACCACAAAATTTTGCAAATTTCAACCATGGATACCCGGAAGAGAAGACGGCCAAGATAAAGCTATACTCCTAACAACGCGCTGTTACATGTCACGCAAGATAACGCTGCACTCCTAGGAACTTGGGAAGTTAAGTTTGTGCCCTATCAGAATTCTGAAGACTGCCAATGCTCCAGCAAAATGTTGATGTGGCAGAAGATTCTCAGGTGTTGCGCTATACTTTTTGCCGTTTCGACTGCGACTGCTTCATCCACTCGATGCACTCCTCCGTGGTTCCCCTTGGATAAGCAAGCTGCCACTTCAACAGTCGTTGTTGCTACCAGAACGAAGGAAAAATGTGTTAAAATGTGTTCAGGAACTAGAACAATTCAGACATAGTCGATTAGTGTCAGGTATACCCATTTTCCGATAAGTGGACCTCCCTTGACCTGCATAATCCCCATAATGGCCTTCCCATCAAGCAACGGTTTCATCTTCCATACGCCATCAAGCTCTGGAGAAGAGGTAGTAAGATATAAATCAGAAAATCTTAACAAGGATATGAATAAGTTGGTTTTCACATTGAGGTGTTCAGACAGTAATACAACATCATGTAGAAAGTCATAAGGAAGTCGGCAGTCATCAGTTGATTCTTTACCCAGTTCAGTTATTAAACGTTCAGCTCTTGTGTATTTTTCTTTCCTTTGATGTAATTCGTCTGGCTGGCCGAGAGAATCACCACCACTGCTAACCTCCGGGTAGGTAAGAGTGCAGATAAACAGTGCCACACGCCAAAAGTCCTTTATCTCCCGAAGTATAAGCCCTGTAACTCTCGAAGTCACAATTTTTAGATTACTAGGCAAATTAAATTCCCAAATTAAGCAACTGGCACACAAAAATAGACAGTAAATACTAACCAATATAAATTATTTTCAAATTTTAAAATCAAACTCTCTGCTGACCTGCCAAAACACGTTTAACTGAGTCTGTTGGGATCTCAAGGTATTCATCATCCAATTTCTCTTTCACAGTTGTCAGATTTTCATTCGACTCAAGGAGATTAATTAATTCAGCAAACTTTTCACTTGCAGCATGTACGTTGACAACCTTCAAGTGCAGAACAGATTATAAGTTGATTTATTTTCTCACCGTACAAAGTAACGGGAATAATATTCGAGGAAAAAAATAGCAGTAATAAGCTAAAAAGGACGATGAGGCCTGCTCAGGAAATTGTACCGTGTCAGCATCACTAGCTTTTAACTTCAGAGAGTCACGAATAATATAGTTAGTGACAGGAATCTGTAGATGATGCAACAATCTTGTCAGGATACTTGCTACAAAACAATACAATACAAAAGAAAGTGGTGATTAAATAGTTGTTTGGTTAGTAAAATGGTTCACTGCTAATAATTGTTGTAGGCTCTGTTCTGATCTTCTAGCCCATTTTTTACATTAAGTTGAATATAGCTGTGGCAGTTAAAACAAGCACCAGCTATTTCCTCACACAAAGATATTGTTTAATAGCCACGGTTCGTCAGCAACCAACCTCAAAAGAATTTCAAGCACAGTAAAGCTAATTAACAGAAAACTCAGGGATATGTGGCATTTGAAATAAGATCTGATTATCTAGATGCTACAAACCAGTTAAATCTACAATTTGCCAACTGGTTTTACTGGAGAACATAAATTAACAGTCATAGGTAACCAATGCTGGCATTGTACAATTGTACAGAAATTAATCTAAGAACTACTCTACATATTCAGCTCAGTCCGTAGAAACAAAACTATGGCTACATATGTATCTAAATGGTCACAATATACTCTCTTCACTCTTTGACAGCCACACAAACAACCTGACATCTTATCAAAACTTAGGATGGACTTCCAGGCAAATCTAAGCACTACCTCATAATATTCAGCATCTATACTTCTATACTCCTTTAAAAAGACTCCAATGGTGGTGGCAGTGAATCTGCCATTCCACCTACTCCCATTGAACTTTTACATATTACCCTTTGAACTTCTTGATATTATATAACAGCTAAATCTAAATGGATAACCACATATAAATTAAAGTAAGGCCAGTCTTCCCTATAAAAAAAGGAAGGTACGAAATTTCATGAACAATATACTTTTATTTATTTTATAAAATATTATAAAATGTTTTCGATTGTAGCAAAGCACAGGCATTTAGCTAATACCTAAAAAAAATCTTAACCATGATGCACAAAAACTGCTCTCAAGAAATTCTAGTACTTCACACTGCAAAATACAAGTGCACCCACAAGTAAACTAAAAGTTGAAAAAAAATTTTGCTAGTACAAAAATGAACGAACTTGATGAACTTACTGTTCAGTCTGTACAAAAAAATATGGCCATGATGCATCTAGCCTGCACTCTCCTACAGGGGCAGACAACCCAGGTCCCAGGCCACCTGGGCCATGGCCTGGGTGGCCTAAGTCTAAAGCCCATGGAAGCCTATGTAATTTCACCATGTATTCACTGTGGGGGCCAATATACACCATGGGTTGCCCGAGGCCTGGAGAAATGCTGGGTTCGCCCCATCTCTCCTGCTAACCTAGTAGGAAGCAAGTCTAGCTATAACATCCTTGTAGAAAAGGGAGATGATTTGTTTAACCAAAGTAGATTAAGCTGACATAATTTACCTGCTTAAAAAGTTAAAAGCATTTACATAGGAGAAAAGTGTGGAGGATGCATGAGTAAGAATTTAGACATTACCTTCTTCGACTTTTTATCCAAATATATTGTATTCCGAACAGGAGTGAATAGTGCACTATAAAAGCAAAGCCTTCGGTGCTCATCCTAAACACAATCACAGATCTTAATGTTAGGAAAGCAAAGATACACCAATGTATAGCAAATTGTTTAATTCGGTTTAGCCATAACATGGAAAGTGTAACATAGGAACCAATCACAGAAATAAGATGGGACTATAGTGAAAAGTTTAGTGTCATAGGTCCTCTGAATAATAATAACTATTATTTTTTACTCCAAAACTTAATGGTTCAATCAGGTGTACAAATTTCTGTAAGTTCTCTACGTCATTTATTCCACCAAAGATTAAGGGTGACTATGGTTTGTTAATTATTTGCAGTGAAGTTATTGAAGTACCATTTTGACCATAAAGCAATTTTTGTGTGTGTGTGTGTGTGTGTGTGTGAGAGAGAGAGAGAGAGAGAGAGAGAGAGGTTGTTTGACTTAATGGTGTGTGCTTAACAAAGAAAAGGACACATTCTGAAGTTTCTCACACCTGTGACTTGGAATCAGAACCACCACTGAACACAGAGCAGCCAATAGAATGAGCAAGATTCCATGCAACTTCAATATGTGAAACACAAAGCCTGCATACAAATATAAGATTAGGAGATAAAACTGTCAAGTGAAGCACACATGCTAATGGAAATAACTAGAAGAAGCTCTACAGGTACAGATGTCTGAAATGTAATTGTGTGGCCCTTTAGTAGAATGAATTCAAAACATATAGTAGATATATGTTATAGCAAGAACACACCGGTCACATTTGTCAGGAACTGGAGGGTCGGGCTTCTCAGGAAAAGCAAAGACAACATAAAATAACCCCAAATCACGAATATAACACATTGCATTAACAGGATGTTTGTCTGACATCATAAGATCTACCTGCACGAAATACAAGCAGATTAAATTGGTGATAATGGGCGTTCTATTATGTTACTCAATACATATTGAATGATGATGTCTGGTTAGTTTTACGTTCATGAAGAAAGAAAAGAGGAATTGTAGGTTGGCTATAAGTAGGACCAAAACCAAACCTCATGACCGATGCGCTCTTTGCTAATCTTGCTACCAAGTTCAGACTTCACCTTTTCATCAGAAGCAGCATCTTTCAAATCTTCAGTTAATGTAAAGTTGAATCTAGCAGCTGTGAGAGATATGCATTAGTATATGCAAAAGAAATGCAATGTTCCATGCACGCTATTCAATGATAAATCTATAAACAAGGTATCCAGTTCAATTATCAGTAGACAATTACATGTCTACTGATATCATGCCTATAATTATCAAGCTCTTATATGCAAAGAAAATTCAAATATCATGATTCGTGCACATGATAACATAAGCATATAAAGTGAATCTAAACTGGCTATTGATGAACATTCAGCAAAGAGTATCTAACTTGAAACAGAAAAGCAATTCTGGAGTTTTCAGCGGCCAATTTGCCCAGTACGAATGCAATTAAATATGAGATGTTATTTACTTTTAGGAAAATAAACTTGTCATGAATAAATCTGTAATCTGAAAGTATATTTGTGATGATAATGATGATAACACCATCAAGTCCTAAAAAGCCAACAACAATGGTATAGCTTAGCATAAAATTAGCAATGGAAATATTGTATATCAATTAAAAGGATGTTTTACCAAATCGGATTGCTCGAAGAACTCTAAGGGGGTCATCCAAGAAGGTAGCTTTGGCAGGTAAAGGAGTAACAATAAGACCCTTTTTCAGATCTTCAATACCTTCATGGAATATGAAATCAACATGATTACAAACAGCATGAACATTTGAAAAAGGTTATGTATATCTAAAAGCTTCTATGTTAGGATCCAACAACCAAGCTCACCTCTTCCGGTTAAATCTTCCACTGTGTTAGTGTTGATATTGAAGAATAAACTGTCCAAGTTTGAATATAGAAAGAGTTTACTAGACAACTCAACATTGTAGCAATAAAAGCATTACTTTAAATGCAGAGCAGAACTGATCTGAAAACAAATACCTATTTATTGTTAGGTCCCTACGGAATGCATCTTCTTTGGCTGTACCAATCTCCTGCGTATTGAAAAAAATGTCATAGCTAAGAGGGAGATCAGAGTTAAAAACATGAATAACAGAATAAGCAAGAAAGAATTATAGATTGCTCCCAAAAATGCTAATGGTTATTTAGGACATCTGAGTCAACAAATGTACCATTCCCTAGTACTATACCCATATAAAGCCACACCAAAAAGACACATGTCAATGCAAATTTAACTAAAAACTCAGATAGTCAGTACATGCAAATATATAATGGAAATATGAACATAACAGCATATACACAATTCTGGAAAAAAAAACAATGCTTGATATGTGTGCATACCACGGTAGGAATCCGACTGTTTTCAGCATATTTTTCAGACCTCAAGTTGACAAAGTCAATCCAAATGTCGAATATAAGCATCCTTGCAGTTTCCAAGTGCTTTGATTGATCAGGATTGCTGAAAGAAATTACGAAACATCACGATCCCATGACAGCATGCATCTGGCATTATACAAATGCCAATATGACAAAGCATGATAAACTTAAGGTACAGAAAGTATTCATAATTTTCTTGCACTAAAGGTCATGATACTCTATGAGAAGGTTATTTGTTTCACAAATTCAACTGAGAATATTTTGTAGGACTAACTCAAACCAACATGAAACTTATAATGGCAAAAAGGTCGTGGAATTTATTTGATAAACTGTGTGCTGATGTGCTCTGTGATCTCAGTGAATTAATTGCTGCTGCTGAGCTTGACCAAATAAGTGATAAAAACAAACTGAGATAACAGTAATAGGATATACTCGCTGGGAATAAAATTATAAAGATTGCATACCACTGAATAACGCCAATTCCTTTCTGTTCCTCACCCAATAATTCTGAATACTCATTTACTTTCTCGCAGAAATTCTGGCCCGTCATATTATCAAGTGCAATATCAATGTCAGTGGAGTCTTTCCCCAATAGCTGACGATTATATGAAAAGAGAAAGGTTGAGTCAGCAAAACTACTCAACAATATATTCTTATTAGAGATGAGCTGCAAATGACAACAGTAGTGCAAATCCTTGTTTTTCAAAGCAGGGATCTACCTGCATCTCCTTTGACTGTTTGTCATACAATGCAGTATCCAATATCCATCATGCAAACCTTGAATGTGTAATACAACATTCACATAGCACACATCCAATAAGACCCAAATTATGCATATCAACAAGGAAATATTCACTTCTCTGCTCTTAAAGGAAGATGCCTGTAAATTACACTATGCCATGTGCAGGTGCACTATTTGCATCTAAAATTTCCAACTAAATGCAGTGGAAGCACATGTCTCCCGCTTACAGACTAGAAGAAGCCAAGACCAACAAAACAAGTTGATTGAGCCATTCCCTGAGCCCATCAGCCTGACAATCCCCACAATTCACAGGCAGTCACCTAATTTCTCCTGTCAGGAACCCTAAACATAGCCATACAAGGAACTCTCCACAGGAAACACTAATTTGAAACTATAACAGCCAAAAATCCACTGATTTTTTTTTATAAAAAAAATGTCAATGACATAGCAAAACAATGTCTTCAAAATGCCCAGGAAAAAACCCCTAAAACTTACATGACAAAGCACACATTCCAGTACCTAAACAAACTAGTATCGAGCTCTTCAAAGTTAAAATTCGAAGGGCCACAAACCCCAAAAGCCCTAAACCAAGTTTCCCAAGATTTTTTTTCTCCAAAATGGTTTGATACAATCACTACTTCTCGTACTGTTCTCCATGTACTCTACTGACAATGCGGAAAAGGAGATGTGTCCACCTTTTCTCAAAAAAAAAAAGGGAAGGGGGGGGAACTCACCTTGTCCCTGACCCAGCCGCCGGCGACGCGGAGCTGGGTGCCGAGGCCGAAGTGGCGGACGACATCGAGCAGGCGACGGAAGATCCGCTCCTCCTTCTCCGTCAGCTCCACGCCCTCCCTCACCTCCACCACGCACCGCTGCTGCTGCTGCTGCGGCGTCGGCGGAGACACCGCCGCCATGCCCGAGAAGCCGGAGGAAGCGCAGGCTCGGGCGGGTAAGCCGGAGGAACCGAAGGCTCTAGATGGGATCGCTGAGACGAGCGGCGGAGGCCAACCGCGAAGGAGGCGGCGGCGGCGGAGGAGGAGAGGGGAGCAGCTGCGGCGGCGGAGGAGAGGGAGGAGGAGGAGGCCGCGGAGGCGAAGAGACATGGGCGGCGAGCGATTTGCGGTTGCCAGCCGCCGCCTGTTCGGCTCTGCTTCTTGTGGGCCGTCTGTGTTTGGGCCCTTTTGTGTGGGCCGGTCGTTTTCTGGTGGCTGGTTCGTTGGGCCGTGATTCCAGTGGGCCTACTGCTTGCGAGCTGTGCTTATACGCTTTAGGGCATGTTCGGTAAATCTCCAACTCGCTTCAGGAGCTTGGACTGGAGTAGAGTAGCAACCTAACTCCGCTCGTGTTTCATGTGGAACTGAAATTTTTTGGCTGGGCTAATTGGAGTTGTACCAAATAGACCCAAACTATTCCATAACTCCACTCTATACCTAACTCCTGTAGTTAAATTTAGGAGTTAAACTCTACCAAACAGGCCCTAACCACCTGAGCCCTTATTCGTTTTGTTTAATTGTTTTTGCAGAAGACGGTAGTACAGGGGTTCGCATCCTCTGCCATTAGGAGGTAAATGGCAGAGGGGAACAGTAAAACGTGAGTAGCGCTACAGTGTTTTGCCATTGCTACAGTACCGAACAGTAAAAATCACTGTTCGGTTATTTTATTGGAATTACTGTATCGATTGATCTCGTACGTCCACGCTTGATCCGACGGATGTAAGTGGCTAATGGCATGGATCACTGTAGCCCTATGCCATTCCAGTTGGAATGGCAGATGATACGAACCCGTAGTACAGGCTGAGGTAGCCTATGAAACATGACAGGAAAGCTTCTGGCGCCAAAACGGTATAGCCCATTTCTCTGAATTTCTGAACCACGAAATGCTGTACCTGCCTGTCGAACAATTTCTGAATATTGTTTTTTTAGGAATACGCAAGGAGCGCATTTTTTTTCATTAAGAGAAATAAAAGTTATTTACAATGAAAAATGAAAAACAAGCACGGGACTGATACTGGAGACTAGCGATCTAACGGGATATCTCGCGCTAGATTTGGCTACCACGACCTCGCAGAGATAATATGGAAGGGACCCCTGCATTTGCCGACTTCCAAAGTACGGCTTCTTCCACCATTACTTTCGCTACTTCGATCCAAGACTTGGACTGCTGATTGAAGATCCGTTTATTTCGCTCCTTCCAAATCGACCAGGCCACCAGCGTTGCAATGGTGTCAAAGCCCCGGCGATGTTGCTCTCTCAATTTCATCCGGCTTCCACAGAGCCAGAGGTGAAAGGATGGTTCGTTGATGGGTAGACAATCTGAATATTGTTTTGGTGTTGATCAGTCACTGCAAGTTAGGCACAGGCAAGAATGCCAAACCTTCATCATCCTTAACAATTGTGGTTCGCAAGCCCGGTGACGACGGCCCAGGAGCAGGCAGCGCTTCATCAGTGGCAGAACTACCTTATTATACTAGTCAGAACCCCACGCGTTGCCGCGGGGAGCTTAAGCAAAACAAAATATTTAACATATGAACAAACATAAAGATTTCTGATGGGAAAATTTTTCTATACAGAACACCTATAATTTACATAGACAAAAGTGTATTCGAGAAATATTCCATCCTATAAACCTAGAAGATAAATACCTAAGTAGAAAAAACATGGAGGTGACATGATTTTAATTGGAAGTACAAACATGACAAAGTATGACAAATACAGGTGATTGGCTGCAAGTCTATGATGAACAATGGACTATCTATGCTCAATTGGCTGTTAACCTAGGTAGCTTGATTCCATCTATGATTTTATTACCAGTATTGACTCTCTTACTATGTGACGTTGAGTTAAAAGACAGATCAGATTTCTTGCAAACTCATCATCACTGACATCAATTTGTAGCCAGCACACTCTGAATAATCGACAAATATAAGAATTAATCTTAATGATTTGTTTTTGATATGGTGTATAATACAAATAAAGAGCATCTTCACATGATTCTTCGTGAACTAAAGCATCAGATGAATTTAGAATAAGAAATGTCATATATGAAGGGCAATATGTACTTTTATGAATGATAATTTCATCCTTGAATAGAGCAATAGATCATTTACAAACAAATAGAATGTCAACATGTATATGAGATGCTCTTTTTTTTTCATCTGTGGATCATTGTGGAAATGGAAACCATGATATTAAAGGTAATATTCATGGCAAGGATATTGCTTGTAAGATTTGACTGTGTTTAAGAAGGAATTTACCTTCGGAAGTAAAGATGGAATAACACGTGCAGAGCCGTAGGATATTGTATGATTTGAATGTAAAGTCTGATTAACTTGTCAGTAATTTTGCATAGCTGGCATCACAACCATCAAGCTGCAACATTTGTATCAAGACATAACTTAACAGTTAGCACATTTGAATGTTGCGATCCAAAAAGAAAAATAATGCAAAAGCTTTTGTATGAGATAAATATGAGTAAATCCAATGTATAAATTGCAACAGAGCATCTCCTATGTATGATTTATGAGCCTTTTTACCATTCAACATTTGGTATCTCGAGGTACGACAAAGTGTTGGATGGCAAAATTGCTCATGATTTATGGCACATGAAAATGAATTGATGTATGTATGTATATATATATATATGTATATGTATATGTATATGTATATGTATATGTATATGTATATATATATATAGATAAATTAACTGGTGCTACATGGAGTATAGGCTCCAACAGAATCCACCGTGTACGATGCTTTGAGATCCGTGCTACTTGAAACCGGAGTGTTAGACATAGTAACGGGTTAAACCCGATTAGACCTTTGTATCCTCATGATTTGCATGCAGCGTGTGCACGACACGATGAGAATCCCTTTCCATATAAGAGCAAACATGCATGTACTACCTCTCAAAAAAAAAACATGCATGTACTAATTTTCTGGTGATTGCATGATAATTTGTTTCCATATGATTGCGTGATTATTTATTTCCATATTTGAGATAACATTGAATTGATCCACAAATTTCGATGTAAATCCACTAATTGCGTTGTAATTGATTTAATTATTTCCATCATACCGATTAGTACTTTCCATTTTTTGTGTACATATAAAATGATGGAGATGACACACTCCAGTCGACTCAATGCTACTACACCGATGGCCGGACGTCGGCGAGCTTATTCGTCGCCAAGCTATTGCACCACCGGCCTGACGTGGCCGACATCTTCTTAATTCGTAGCGGGCTGCTGGTCGTTTGCGAGATTCGTCAACACACAACCAGGTCTCCGACGCCAATCTGTTGCTTTTTTTTTTGCGCCGCCGATCGTCCGTGACTCTCAAGCTCGTTCCTCGCCATGAAAATTTTTTAAGGTACCTTATGTATGTATCGATGATTTTTCGTTTTCAAAGGTATTTTACTGATCTGGGAGCGTAACATATGTTCTGTCGCGCTTCCGTGTTGTACGTAGCTTCGTCGCCACGCGCGGCTCGCCGCCGCCGGTCGTCTTTGAGATTCGTCGTCACCGCCGCCGGCATCGGTCATCCACGATCGCGCAGCCTTGTCATCGTGTGCTTCGTCGCCATGCACCGCCATCACCAGTCGTCGGCGAGGTTCGTCACCACTGTCGGCGCCGGTCGTCCACGATATGATGTTCGTCGTTAACCCCGTTACTTTCAATTTGAATTATTTGATTCATATGTATGTATGTATATATATGTATATGTATATATATGTATATATGTATATGTATATGTATGTATATGTATATATATATATGTATATATATATACATATATATGTATATATATATATATACATATATATGTATATATATATATAGTAGTACTCATTTTCCAAAAATACAGCTAGCCACCGCGTGATGTGTACTTACGAGACTTTTGAATTTGACCAACACTATATCTTAGCCTCTTTGTTTCAACTTAAAAACTATTATAGTTTAGATTATTTAGTCAAATTACTATAAGTTGTATTATAATAAGATATCGTATAATAAGTATGAGGTATTTGTTTCTCTGGATTATTGGAGACATGGATTATTGGGTTTTGAAAAGCTAATGTCTATAATGACCTCAGCTATTTTGGATGCCTTGATCATCCTTTTGTCACCATATACAACAAATACATAATTTGAAATAGCTAAAAAATATTACCATATATTAATAAATAAAACATTCATGCATATTTTTTTTACAATAGGCTGAACACAAAATTATTATCTCTTAGCCAAGAGAGTATAGGGTTGGAGCTTGGGGAAGGATTCACGCGTGGGGTGGGGTGGGGTGGGGGGCTTGGGGAAGGATTCGCACGTGACTGGGGAGAGAGGAAGCAGATGTGCGTGCGCTTGAGGGAGAGAGGAAGCGGATGTGCTCGACCTGTTGGGTTTGATGGCGCTAGTTGGTAATTTGTATAAAATTTTTAGGGGTGGTGGGTCTTTAACCACCCAATAATCTGAAAAAAGCATGTTTAGAGGAGATTGCCAGATTATACTAATCTGGCTTATAGATTATAATAATCTATCATAATAATCTACATGTTTATTTCTGATTACGGATAATAATATAGACTATAATAATCCAAGCTAAAACAAATCAGGCTGACGGTTCATAATTAACAAATAAAGGATATACTCTAGCATAAAATTATAAAATTAGATTTACTTTTCGTAAATATATGTTTGCTACAAATAATTATCATTGGGTCGGTATCTTTACCACAAGTTGCAATCTACTACGTCATATAAAAAAAATTGTTAACATGTCGTATCATCATTTTTGTGAAGTGTACGTATTTACGGGCTGACTTTTGAATTTGACCAACATTATCATTTAGACGGTCCATAATTGACAAATTGTTAACGACCAAATTTGATAAATTTATGTCGGATTTGGAGTTAAGGCCGAAGCGGATTTGGGAGGAAATCGTTAATGGAAACAGGGTATGATTCGGCTTCGGAACCGCATCTGCTACAGTGTGCATCGGCAGTTACTGAATCGGATAAGGCAAGCCGATGTAGTTCATTCCGGCAAGGTGATATTGGAATCATTGTCGGATTGAGTTGATATGCTTCATGATGATTGCCACGTGCGGATCGAGTCCGAAGAAGGCAGTTGTATCTATTAATTAGGAATAGTTTGTTAGTAGGAAAGTGTGTTTAGTGTCCTATAAGTACTTTATGTTTTCCTTTTATCTTTAAGAAAGTTTCTTTCTTGTCCGATAAAGACTTGTATCAACCCATGTGTATAAATATGTACACCCGGGGTCTATGTAATCTATCTTCACAATCAATACAATTCGGCGCATCGCCACCTTTTACCTTTTCTACTTTATTTTATCGTCCGGGGGAACTTGGCACCTGACGCGAGGCTGCATCGGTGTTCGATCTCCGGCTAAGGGGTAAGTCCAATGTTCCGCCGGCCCAGGCAATAGTATCGTTTACGTCGGCGTCGTTCAAGGCTGCATCAGTACATTCGACCTCTTGGATTGCTCTGGTTTGGATGATATATTGCCTACCTATTTATCATATGTCTTTGTTAATCTAGTATTAGAATATCAATTTAGCTCTATCGGCTGCTTCTCGTTTTAGGGTTTCTGCCGGTATCGACTAAATCGCGTTGCTAGATTAGATTAGATTAGACATCTACCACCCTGAAAACTCAGTCAACGGCTTTATTGTCTAGATATTATGTTTCTTTTTATACTTAGTGCTACATCAGTTAAGTTTGATCTACTAAGTCATGCTTAGAACCCATAATATCTAGCCTGCTTCTTGATTGCCAATAAGGGTTTCATTGGGGTTTCAGCCGGTGAGTTATCTGGACGTTGCATCGGCTCATAAGGATTGCGTATACATATAAGTTGGATTTAGCCGATGACAACAAAGGTTTCACTGTTTAATCTAATCTTGTGAATTTCATGACATCGGACCTCCAGCCTGTCGGTGATATGGGCCCGGGGGTATCCCAGCTAGAGGGAGGAGGCCGCCCTCAAACCCACGTGGCTCCCCCCGAGGGGGGTCGAGCCCAGGGTGAAGCGGCGGCTGCCCCCTCCCTGCTTGGGGTCGAGCTGTCCCGACCCCCTCCACGTATCAGCCCACGTGTACAGGGTTAGGTGGGTGCGCTTAACGCCCACCTAACCACATTTAAAGCGGTCTATGCAGCCACGCCATGCCGCATTTAATGCGGTGTGCTGCGCATCTAACCGGTCGAATGACCGATGGGACGGTGACTATATACCATCGCCCTGTCAGTGTGTCAGGCGGCGCGCAACGTGCTCCATCCTATCCCATCATTATGATGAGGGGCTTCACAGCCTCTTATCCCGGTCAGAGCTGGTCCAACCACTCTGAACTGACCCGGGTATCTGTTTCCTGGTGTGAACAGGAACCTGGAAGTCCTCAACCATTAAACGGCGAATGACAAGGACGCCCCGCATGATCTGATAGACCCCACGCAGCAGCCGACGCGCAGATAGCTTCTGGGCTAAGGCACAAGACATGTAATTAAGATAGAGATTATTTTCCCTTCTCCCTAGGTAGCACTCGCAGCATATGTGGGATCCCCTTAGAGTATAAAAGGAGGACCATGCCTAGCGAGAGAGGGGATCGGATTCTGGATCCCCAAACTAAAGCTTCTCTAACCCTAGCTTGTACTTGGGAGATTAAGAGGCTTTGCAAGCATAGAAGAATCATCATACACACAGGAGTAGGGTATTACGCTTCATAGCGGCCCGAACCTATATAAATCCCTTAGGTCTCTTTTGTCTCGGAAAACCTTAGATCTCACCCGCTCCCCCGGCCGAACTCACAAAGGGGGGTCTCACGACCTCTCGCTAGAGAGGATCACTCCTCGACACAGCCGATGTGTGCTTTAACCTTCGGATCGATGATTATTTATCATATCATTATTTTATTACATCATCATCAGTCGATTACCTTTATATCATTATCTACATTGGACGTATAGCCGATTGCTCAAAACCCTATCGCTACCGGCTGGTATCGGCATCGGCTATCGGCTGGAACTACTCCATCGGCTTGTCAGCCGATCGGCTGTTTTGATCTACTATTTGTATATCTTGTCAGTTGCAGGATCAAACTGACTGGTATGCCTGCATCTCATCAAGATTTGGACCTGCACAGGAGCTAAGCAGATCTCTCAGGCCGGTGTGTTCGATTTTTTCGTCAACACAAATTGAAAATTATGCTCTCGCATAAAATTATAAAATTAGATTTAGTTCCCATAAATATATGTTTGTTGCAAATCATTGTCATCGAGTTGGTATCGATACCTTGTATGCCCGCCGTCGTAAAATATAAAGGATTTTGCATAGAGGAGATATTTCCAAGAACTATAAATCTACTCTAAAATTTCACATCTGTCCAAACTGAACGGGGGGAGTAAGATATAACCCATTATTTTTATAAAATAATAACATAAACATGTCACATCGTTATCTTTAGCGATTTAGCGATTTGTTCGATAACTGACTGATATATGGAGCATTATACTCCCTCCGTCCCATTTTAATTGCAACCATAAATTTACGTGTCCAACTTTAATCGTCCGTCTTATTTTAAGTTTTTTCATAATTAGTATTTTTACTGTTATGAGGTGATAAAATATGAACTTTATATGTGACTTATGTTTTTTAAATTTTTCAAAAATTTTTTAAATAAGATGGACAATCAAAGTTGTACACAAAAAATCATGGTTGCATTTAAAATGGGACGGCGGGAGTAAATTACTAGCAGCAAGCAGTAGATCGAGTGATTAATTAAGCATTTACTCCGTAATTTATTGATTTAATTAACTAACTAATTAATCAAGCACGTCATCGTAATTAATCAACTAGCAACGAGCGCACGCACCGTCATCCTGATCTCCGTCCTTGGTTTGGTTTTGCTCCGCGGCGTGTGGGGCTTGTCGTCGGAGAAGACCCACAGCCGCCTCACCGTTCCGTCGAAGCTGTACCTCGAGCTGTTCTTCACGTCGTACGGCCACTGCAGCTGGAAGTTCCTCTCGCCCAGCCTCACCGCCGTGAAGCCGTCCGTCGGGTCGGCCGCCGCCGGCGACGACGGCGCCGCCGCCGCCGCCATGGCCACCGCCAACACCACCAGACACCAAGCACAGGAGGAGGAAGAAGCCATATTAATTTGTAGCTTCAGTTGCTTTGGAATTTGGTAGGAGGTTTCTGCAGTTTATATAGAGCTCGGATGGTGGGGATTAATTTGTGATGCCCCTTACGTTCGAGAGGCCCTTTTAAAATTTTCTATTTCCTCGTTTTTCATGCGCCCATTAAGACTCATAGTACTAAATAGTAAGTGTGCTTTCTCAAAATAATTATAAAAAATATTCTGAAAAATTATAGTATTAATTTATTTTAAAGTTATTTTAACTAATAATTAATTAACCTCAGTCCCTGGCAGCTTGGGACATGGTATGCAAACCCAAGAATAAAGGAGGAGTTCTGGGAGTCATTGACCTTGAATACCAAAACATTACTCTTCTAATGAAACATCTTGACAAATTCTTCAACAAGCACGAGCTCCTATGGGTAAAGCTTATCTGGACCAAATATTATCTCAACGCTGACCTGCCCCCTCATGCTTGCAAAGAAACAGGGTCCTTTTGATGGAAAGATATTTTCAGACTAATTCCTATGTTCAGAGCAATCACGACAATAACAATTCAAAGTGGAGACACGGCTCTTTTCTAGAAAGATAACTGGAATTGGACAGGCAACTCCTTGGAACAACAATTTGCCACTCTTTTCTCCTTTGTTGCAAAAGAAGATATCTCAGTCTTTGGTTTTCTATCAGAACAAAATTTAGAAAACCTGCTACACACACCTTTATCTACCCAAGCAATGCAGGAGGGGCAAACAATCCAGTCCAATCTCAATTGGGTTTCCCTTAATAGCTCAGAAGACACTTGGACATACAAATGGAACAGTCCCCTTTATCGGACGAAAGTGGTTTACTCCCTGTTCTTTGCTCATATCACACCTGATCTGCCTCTCTCTCTCATTAGGAAGAGCAAGTGTACCCTGAAGCTAAAGGTGTTTTTAGGCTACTTCTTGTGGATCGTCTCAACACAAAGGAACTTCTTTACAGGAAAAATCTATTTGTCAGCACTGGGCCCAACTGTGTTCTATGCCCTCTATCAATCATTGAAGATTTCAAACATCTCTTCTTCACTTGCCCCTTTGCCATCAATTGCTAGAACTATCTTGGAATCAACTGGCTCACAAACCAGGACTTCATGATCATGATAATCTCTGCATGAAGAAGTTTCGGCCACCCCTTTTTTTATAGAAACCATTGTTGTGGATCTTTGGAATATTTGGAAAAGAAGCAATGATTTCATTTACAGCAGCTGTCAGCCTTCTTTCCACACTTGGAAATCTCTTTTTAGAGAAGATTTTACTCTACTTTTGCATAGAGTAAAAGCTCAGGACCGACCCTTCTGACTGTTTTCCCGTAAAAAAAAAGAAAAAGAGTTAAAACCTTGTGTTAGAACACAACCTAAAGTTGTAATGTTGTGGCATCTCCGTAAGTTTATAAGCGAAAGCCCAGCCTATTTAGGCACCATGGAGTTCAAGTTCGCCGAGATCGTCAATGCAGTGGAGGCAACCATCCAGGTTCGAGTCACCGAAGGATCAAGGGACTTCAGAGCACGGTTCTTCGTTCGCACAGCGGAGCATCGATGAAGATTTCGTGCTACTTAATTGATTCTAAGGACGAGAAGAATGTCATCGTTGACGATGATGATGATGGCCTCATCTTGTTTCAGCGATCTGTTGCAGTGGTGGAGAATAGGGGGAATTGAGGCTGTTCATGATGAGGTTGAAGAAGGTGGTGGTGCTACTGCTAGCTAGTCCGGTGACCATGGAGTACCCGTTCAATCCTAGGACAGCTTTGAGGAGCAAGCTAGGGTGGGTTTGACCTTGGTTTTTGCAAGATGGATATCACGGTTGCTACTTGATTGGTCTATGCTTCCATAGCTTAATTTACCATGCATGCAGTGACGAACCCTGAATAAAAATTACCGAGGGTTCAATACATATTAATTATTTAATTATTGATTAATATATTAATTAATATAATGTAATTTAGATAGGATTTGAATAATCTATCCAGGGTCCTGTGACTCCGCCGGGTAGTATAACGTAGACACGCCCCTGCGTGCATGGCTGATGCTCGATGCAAAGCGAGTTAGGAGTAACAGGTCGAAGTAATTGATCGTGTGTGCTTTTGCATGTAGTAACTTAATGAAATGTATGGACATCTTGTGACCCTAATGTGAATATTAAGTAATATGACTTTTTGAGTTTTGGGGCGTAGTGATTTTGTGAACTGTCGATGATGGGGCGTAGTGTCTATTTTGTTTCTCATTTTCCCAATAGTTTTGACGACCATGAAAAAAACTTATAAAAAAAACTGGATAATTAGTTTGTTTTAATTATGCCTACAACTACAATTACATTATCATAATCAACCGCAGTATAAAAGTACTCCTAATCAATTACAATATGGCATGTAATCTCTATATTTGCTAGATTAGCATTCAAATCATGTGTTGCCTTGTCTACAGATAAACTTCTTCTCTCCAACCCATTCCTCTATGGGTCTGTTTGGCCCAACTCTAAACTTCGGCAAATAGTTTCAGCTCCACCTAAAATAGAAACGGAGCAGAGTGGAGCGCTCTCACAAAATAAATTAGGGAGATGGAGCTGGGCTGGGTTTAAACAGCTTCACAACTACACTACAGACTTAACTCCTGAAGCTAAATTTAGAAGTTAGAGCTAGCTTTACCAAACAGTCCCTATATATACCCCTCAAGAATCAATAGAAATCCACCGAATTCCTCCACTGTTTTGAAGAACCTCTCTATATATATACCCCTCAAGATTCAATAATACAGCCTCAGGATTTACTCCCGGAAGTGCTAATGGGCGATCGATCGCCCGACGACAAGGGTAGCGATCGATCCCGCTTCCCCCTCCCTCCCTTCACCTGGTTTCCTTTTTTGGCACCGCATTACTTTTCTATTTTAGTAAATTTATGCACCTAAAGTTTATACACCTCAAGTTTACACATCTAAAGTTTATACACCTCAAGTTTACATATCTAAAGTTTAGAGATCAAAAGTTTATATATCCGATTCAAATTTGAATTTGAATTCAAATATTTTTTTTATATATAGTATTTCTATACATCTAAAGTTTATAGACCTGAAGTTTATAGACCCAAAGTTTATAAGTCAAAAGTTTACATACCCGATTCAAATTTGAATTTAAATTATATCAGGATTCAAATTTGAATTTGAATTCAAATATTTTCTATATATAGTATTTTTATGCATCTAAAGTTTATACACTTAAAGTTTATAGACCCAAAGTTTATAAGTCAAAAGTTTACATACCCGATTCAAATTTGAATTTGAATTATATCCATTCAAATTTGAATTTGAATTCAAATATTTTCTATATATGGTATTTCTATGCATCTAAAGTTTATACACCTAAAGTTTATAGACCCAAAGTTTATAAGTCAAAAGTTTACATACCCGATTCAAATTTGAATTTAAATTCAAATATTAGTTTATAGACCCAAAGTTTATAGGTCAAAAGTTTACATACCCATTTCAAATTTGAATTTGAATTTGAATTTGAATTTAAATATTAGTTTATAGACCCAAAGTTTATAAGTAAAAAATTTACATACCCATTTGAAATTTGAATTTTAATTTAAATTTGTATGGTGTAGTAGTAAGAGAAGAAGGGGAGGTAAATTAGTAAGGGGGAGGGGCGGGTGATCGCTTGGGAAGTTGGGAGGGGAGGGAGCGATCACCCGCTCATTAGGAGTACTCATTTACTCCCTCCGTCCCATAAAAAACCAACCTAATATCAGATGTGACATATTTTAGTACTACGAATCTGGACATACATATATTCAAATTCATCGTACTAAAATATATCACATCAGATTCTAGATTCGTTTTTAATGAGACGGCGGGAGTAGGTAGCAACATGGGTGGAAGAGACCACAACGGCAAGGACAAGAAGACGAAAGAGGAGGACGCCAACTCATGGGTAAATCAGTTGTCTACATTTCCATCACACTCTTGTCACAGAATCAGAATGATTATTCTATTTTCACCTATTAACATTGAAATGTTTTTAATTTGTCTGTTTGTTTGTTTGCAGAAGACAATAGCATAGGTTGAGGTAGCCTGTGAACATGACAAGAAAGCTTGTGGAGCCAAAAATGTAAGCCCATTTCTCTGAATTTCTGAGCCATGGAATGTTGTGCATGTTGAACAATGTCTGAATATTGTCTTGGTGTTGATCAGTCAGTGCAGCGCAAGTTAGGCACAGGGCAAGAATGCCAAACCTTGATCTTCCGTAACAATTGTTGTTCGCAAGCCCGGTGACGACGGCCCAGGTGGCCCAGGAGCAGGCAGCGCTGCAGCAGTAGCAGAACTACCCAATTGACTGAGTGATTTGATGTGGCATCGATCTTAGTTAGAGAGATCCATGCACTTATGAATAAGAACTTTATATAAGGATTGTCGAAACAAGATTTCGGTAAGATTTCGGTAATACTAGAAGGGATGGCAATTAAGTTAGAAAAGTGAATGGATCAGGAGACAGAGAATTTATACAGGTTCAGATCATCTCAATGAGAAGTAATACCTACTCCTGTCCGGAAAAATATTCCACCGAGTTTGTTATTAATCTGATGATCTGGGAGAAACGTTATGCCCCTAAGAGCATCCGGACCCCTCCTTATATAGGGGAAGGAGACGAGATTACAACATACAACCTATAACCCTTAATTACTTGATACACAAATTAACATAATACCCGAGTCATTTCCTAAACATAATCTATCTACATGATATATCCCTTATAAACCAATCGGATATCCATATTATGCGGGTATATGATACCCATAATCTCCACAAGAATTGGATTAGTTGAATTGTTAAGAAGAATTGGATGTGATTTTAGATTTGATGCAAAGCTACGTACTGGCCTATTACTAGTAGTATGAGGTATCAATTTAATCCCTTGATATGCTCGACATTTAATAGATCATGTCTGAACTTTCTAAGGGCAACGACAATAATATAGCCGATTGCCTACTATAAAAATCTCCAACTCAACTAGAGTAAGCACTACAGACAACGTTTTTAATAATTGTCTCTACCACTTACTCAAAAATATTATTATTTTATCTATCTTTGTGGGCCTAATTTTTATCTTTGTTCCACTGTATTTATGGTGAGCCTAGGGATGAAGCATACTGCTGGCTGCATGAGCCTTGGCGCCCGTGCATCATCGTCGATTATTTAGTCGACGACTTCCTTCTCTCTCCTGCTTTCTCTCTCCTCCACCTCATATTTCTCTTTCTCTGACGTATGCAGGCTAATAGACGGCTTCCCTAGCCTTATTGCACTTGCCCTAAGTGAACTCTCTGGATGCGTTGTGGTACTTGATAATTAAGGTGTGTGTTGATGTGATTAATTACCAAGAAACTAATGTAATTTACTGTTAGGAATACACACACATAAAGAACCAAGAGGTATGTAGTGACAATTGACAACTGACAATGATATGTAACTGAATAAAATGTAAAAGTATTATATTTGGTTGAGTGCCAAATTTTATTTTTCATCACTTGCGGCTAGGTTAACGGAAGTGAGCCCCATGGCACTCTTTATTCTAACTCACCTGACCCGCTTGACTTACGGTCAACAATTCACCAAAGTGGACCATACTTAACTATATTCTTTCCAACAAGGGTCCCTTCCAACAAAGTATATATAATGCGGATAAAACACTCTCACTTAACACTAGTTTTATTAGAAAAAACTCCCTTTCGTTTCTAAATTCTTGAAAATAGACACTATTCATATTTAAATAACCACTCGTGCTTTTTGCTAAAAGAAAAAAAATACAAATATCTAAAAAGATGATGTACTTTAAACGTAACTTACGTAAGAAGTTATGTTTATATCGTAGATTAACCATTTAAAAATTATTAGTGGCCAAACTCGTAATAGTAGCTTGCCAACAAAAAAGATACTTAGATAGAAAGAGTAAGAATTTATCCATCGGTCGTTAAATAAGTATAATTTTAACTAGTCAAAGACATTAAACAAAAGATTTAAAAAAACTATGCACTTTATTAATATGGAGAGAAAGTAAGGAGATGGAGAAAATAATAAGAGAGATTACTATTGATTCAATGGCTAAAAACAAGATTAAAAAGATGAATTAGTAGTGTTAGAAGAGTTCTACTCCACATTAAAACTACATATTTAAGGATAAATCTTGAGACTAACATTATATTTATTCAGGAACATAGGGAGTATATTCTTAACAATAGATAGTACACATAAATGTATTATCACATAATTAAGTACTTTTCTTAATGCAAAGATATCATATATACGTACACTCAATATATAGATGAAACAAAATTGACATACACAACCATACATATAGGCATGTGCATAGTACTCCACGCATGTAAGAACACAAGTAGAGACATGCGTGTTTACACAATGTCCAGTTATAATTTACTCCAAGTACTATCTCCATCTTAAAATATAATAACTTTATACCCGATAGATTTGACACAATCTAATATTATTGAATCTAGATAGATTTATTCATAACATCAATTTATGTCTAATTTCGATACTAGGTTACTATGTCTTGTTGAGGATGCTGATGCCTTTCCAGCGAGACTCCATGCGGTTGGACGGGTTCGTCTGCATGTACACGCCGAACTTGAAGTAGTGCGAGTCGCCACCCTTGCCGGCGACGCGGAGCCTCTCCCGGCCATCAATGAAGACGGTGAGCTGGGAGGCGGCGACGTCGTGGATGACATTGAGGCGGAACCAGCGGTCGTAGATGTTGGTCTCCACCACCTGCTGGTGGTAGTACCAAAGGTCGCCGCCATAGACGTGGAGCATGAGGGTGGTGGCGGTCCCGCCACCGAACACCTGCATGATGGACACGCCGGTGGTGCCGGAGGGGACGTAACCGGTGCCCTCGAATTGCCACACCCCTGACGAGTAGTCATAACCCTGCATGCAATTAATTAATGTATTGTCCAAATCAAATCACTTTTAGATTCCTCGTTAATTTATTTGGATGTGATTATCTATAGTACCTTCATCCCAGAATAATTACTCCCTCTATCCCATAATATAAGACGTGCTCACATTCTAAGGTTTAACTTTGACCACTAATTATTGTAATATAAATTAAATTTTATTTGCTAAATTAATACCATTGGATTGACATTTAAATTTACTTTAAGATAGTTATAATTTTGTTACAATAAACCTTATAGTATATGAGAATTATAAGTCAAAAATTAGTTTTGAAGATTGTGCCAAATTTGACCATGTCTTATATTATGGGATGGAGGGAATATATTTTACCATTTAAATTTTATCTAAAAATATTGTATTTGTAATAAGGTGAAACTTATCCAATTAGTTTGACGGAGATATCATGTCTTCTGCCCTCCCTTTTTTATATCCCCATGTGTCTTACCTTTAGTTCTATGTATGTAGAGTTATTATGATCATTTGTGTGTACTGATAATATGTCTGAATTTTCAAAAAAAAATTATTATTTTTTGGGACAAAGGGATTATGGTCTTATGCTTATATGACGTGGTTGAAGTTTGATGTTTAAATTAATCAAACTAAAACAATTATGATGAAATTAATCAGTAGTTCTGCTCTTTTTTTCCCTAATAATTTACCACTACACCTCATAAAAATTACTTAACTCAAATCATACAATTTTTTTTCTATTCAAACTTTATTAAGTTTGACCAAATTTATAGAACAATTTAGCAACGTCTAAAACATCAAATTCATTTTATTAAATCTAGCATGGAATATATTTAATTTAATAATATATTTGTTTTGTGTTGAAAATGCTAATATATTTTTCTATAAACTTGATCAAAGTTAAATAAGTTTGACACGACTTATAATATTAAAAGGATGGAGTAGTATAAATGGAGTGGAATAGCTAGTGAGTACTTCCTCCGTCCCAAAGAAAAGCAATATAGGAGGGGTCACACCTCTTAGTACAATGATTCTGGATAAACCCCTCCTGCTACAACGAAACCCCTCACATCTCCTCTTAGATTGCCTAGTCAACTAGTGGTATTCATTTTTCCAACGAAACCCCTCACATCCCCTCTTAGATTGTCTAGTCAACTAGTGGTATTCATTTTTCCAAAAATATAGGTAGCTATCACGTGAAGTATACGTATGGGCAGACTTTTGAATTTGACCAACATTATCTTTTAGACACAAATTAATGAAAACAATATAAATTATATAATTAGATTTATCTCCATAAATACGTGTTTTCATGTCCCATCTCGTCATCTCTATCGATGTGTTCGATGACTGGACTGATTTAGAGCATTATTATTACATAAATTACTGTAGCAGAAAGTAGTAGACTGAGTGATTATTAATCATTTTATTAATTTATTGAAGCTAACTAATTAATTAATGAATTAATCAAGCACGCCATTATGATAATACGCACCGTCATCCTGATCTCCGTCCTTGGGTTGGTTCCGCTCTGCGGCTTGAAGGGCTTGTCGTCGGAGAAGACCCACAGCCGCCTCACCGTGCCGTCGAAGCTGTACCTCGAGCTGCTCTCCACGTCGTACGGCCACTGCAGCTGGAAGTTGCCATCGCCCAGGCTCACCGCCGTGAACCCGTCCCTCGGGTCGGCCGCCGCCGCCGCCGCCAACACCACGCACGCCGCTACAACCCACCAAGAAGAAGCAGCCATGTTTGTAGCTTGTGTGTGTGTGTGTCGGTTGCTTTGGGAATTGGGGTGATTTGGAAGAGGTTTATGTGGTTTATATAGAGCTCGGAGGGAAGCAGCTCCTATGACCTGGGGCATTATTAAAGAAGCCTCATCGAGTTCGGATGGGTGGGGATTAGAGATCCCATCGTTTCGCCAAATAAGTCAAAGCAAAAAATTTAAATTTGGTATTGATTTTAAGATATTTTCTACGTAATTTTTTTATTATTGATTTTTAAGTCGCTACGAAAAAATATATATAAAAGTTTTACATATAAATTATTTTTTAATCTCTAATAAGCCGTTTTGGTTTATCAGGGAATATGGGCAACTAATCAGGCTCTTAATATATGACACACCTTTTTTTTAATTATATGGTACAACGCAGACACTCACAACGCACGCACACTTACCCCTATGAACATACGCACGTAAACCCTACCTCTATAAGCATCTTTGAAGACTAAGCCGGCAAATCCTTGAGATTGACGAAGTCACCACAGGCGCTCACCGTCGACGGGTATGTCGCCTACCACTGAAAGCACAACGCCGTTAAATCCTACAAAATTCGCTCCCATGAAGAGTCGAACTAGAGTAATTGAAATAAATAACACAGTGGAGTCTACTTGTTCACACTTTGATCAATAATAATTTCTAAACTATTTTATTTTATATGTTAAAAATCATATCGCTATATTCATTTTGTATCATGATTTTGTAATTAATATGTAGAGTTTAGAGGCTATTTCTAGAATTCTTTGTTGGAAAATAGTGATAAAAGCGTAGATGTGCAGTTTAGTCAACATTTTGGATTATTAAAACCAGTAGTAATATTGTTAAGTACGGAGAATTCCTTCTTAAAAAAGATTATGGAGAATTACCACAAGTGGTAAATATGTTTAGTCCCCAGTGTCCTTTTCATGACATAAAAAAGTTCTATACCATATTTTAAGCTTTAAGTTGTCTATAGTAAGAGAAAAAACATAGACGATTGGTTGTTTCCATCAGTTTTAGTGCATTCTTATACTATATTGGCAATCAAAACCAGTCAAGCACGAAAGTAGGTCATAATTGGTGATAGGTTGTTAAAATCATCATCCTGAATCGAAATGAGAAATTCTAACCATGATCACAATTATATAATCGTATATATAAAAATCATAAAATTATATATTTTACTTATGTAGAATCTTACAATCAAAGCATCTTAATTAGAATCGTAAAATCGTATTAAAGAATTGAGATTGGCTAGCTAGGTTTCTAATTAGGACAGCTTCATTTTTGCTTTGTTTTACCCTGTCTCCATGGATTTGGTCTATGGTCATGTTTTTTAACACTTCGTTGTACGCTTCGCTAAGCGCTTGCTTCTGAACATCGGAATTACCTTCCGATCTGAACATGCTCGTCAGTGACAACGAACCGTCGATCATCTGTACCGTGCGGACAACTTCTTGTTTCTTTTTGGGGTAAAAGAGCTACTAGTATTTTTTTGAAATCTATTTGGCATGGACAGCATGTGTGTAACTTTAAAATTAAATATTTTATTTCAAAAGTATGTACTCCCTCCGTCCCTAAATATTTGACGCTGTTGACTTTTTTAAATATGTTTGACCGTTCGTCTTATTTAAAAAATTTAAGTAATTAATAATTCTTTTCTTATTATCTGATTCATTGTTAATACTACTACTACTCAAGTTTTTAAATAATATTCACAAAAGTTCTTGAATAAGACGAACGGTCAAACATACTTTAAAAAGTCAACGGCATCAATATTTAGGGACGGAGGGAGTATGTGCCAACAAAGACTTTTCGGGTCAAATATATCGGAACAATTTATTTATTTATTTATTTATGCATTAGTTCCATCCAAAGTTCACGGGTGTCGCATACAGAGTTGAAGATGCAATTTCAGTGTTGTCTGAAGTTCACAAGCTGATGAAATGACGATAATAATGGAGGAGAAATCTCTCTGCTTGACTGCTTCTGTTCGGTAACCGACTTCATCCTACGCTGAGTTTGAAAGAGAGAATAGTATTGAGGTTTTTCTGGCACCGAAATCAAGGTGAGTCATTAGCATATGATTAATTAAGTATTAGCTATTATAAATTTAAAAATAGATTTATCTATTTTAGAAAATAAAATACACCTTTTAATAATTTAAAAATCGTGCTATCGAAAAAAGATAGAGTAGCGCGCTCCAACTTATCTTTAGAAGTCAAGCCAAGTACCAAGCCTCTGGCTGTGTTCGGACAGCTTGGTTCCCAATGTTAACGCGCGGAAAACGAAACGGTTCATTAGCGCGTGATTAATTAAGTATTAACTATTTTTTTAAAAAATAGATTAATTTAATTTTTTTAAGCAACTTTTGTATAGAAACTTTTTTTTAAAAAATACACCGCCTAATAGTTTGAGAAGCGTGTGTGTATAAAAAAAGGAAGAGGGGTTGGGAAGAAGGGGTGCCCAACACAGCCTAGCTCCAACCAAACATAACAGTAACTGATAGCTGGATGCCTGGAAACATCTGAAACTGTGAAACATCCACATCTTGCATCTGCAGAATCACGAGCACAAGTCGCCGCAAGCTTGTGTATGTACACACACACCTAGATAAACTTGAATTTCTAAGCGATAAGACAAGATCGCAATTCGCAAGCCATATTCAGGCCCTATTTTGTTTAGGTTTATAAGCCAACTTATAAGCCGAAAAGTCTAAGCCTAAACAAACAAGCAGCTTATTTTTGTTTAGTTTTTTTAAGCCATAAGCCACTCTAACACTATTAAACCAAAAGCTAGGTTGGAGAAGCTTTTTTGGCTTATGTGAGGTTGATGTATGACTCCACTACTAAACTTAGGACATTAAATCCACCGGCTTATAAATCATATAAGCCAATAAACCTAAGCCTAATAAAAGAGTGGCCTCAGTCAGCTGTCAATTGAGAAGGATGATACAGGTGTGTTGAAAAATTGTGCAGGTTGGTCAATCATCATCAACCCGGCTGCTAACAATATTCAGCTTACAAATTAGCAGTCAATAGTCTCACTAGCAGGCAGAGAGATGGCAAAGGCTCCATTTTCTAGGGTCTATGTTTGAACTGCTGTGTCACTTTGAAGATGAGATGAGATAATTCATAGATGAAGATAGTATCATGGTATTGGTTCAGCTAATATTCAGCTTACGGATTTTGCCTGTGAAGTGAAACGGTTGAAATTTGATAGCTAGTATTCTTCAAGCGTATCATGATATTGCTTCCTTTCTACGCCCTGTTTGGGAAACTTGGTTTGTAGCAACCAGGGTTTACAATTCCGACAGGCTTTTCCGTTTCGGGCACTGGTGGAATTCGGAATTTCGCGAAATCCGGTGGAAAACCGGTAAATTCTGAACAAATTTCATAAACCAAAATTTGAATACAAATTCCCTAAGTTTACCGACAAATTTTCGAAAACCGATCAGTTTTGGCGAAATTCCGATCGAAATCATCGAAATTTCGATCAGTAATTTGTTTTCCTTTTTTTAATTCTTTATTCTTTTCTTTTCTGATGTAAGTTTCAGTAAATACACATAATACATAATGTTTTTCGAAAATTTATATCTCAATAAGTTATATGAATATCATAGTATTTATAAGATTTTATTTGATTTTATTTTTTTTTATGAATTCAAATTTGAATTTGGATGAAACTTCTCGAAATCTTAAACGGTTTATACTTTCGAGCCTCATCGAAACATCAAAATTTCGCGAAATCCTGTCGGAAATGTAAACCCTGGTAGCAACAGAATCTGAATGAAAATCTAAGCGTGGAGGAAAAAGCCTTTCAGGAAGAGCTTCCTCGTTCAGAATTGCTAGGGCTTGCAGGTTCAGAATTCAGAACGCTTGGGAAGTGTGAACTGGGGAAGGAAGGTTTTCTTTGCTGAAATTAGAATCAGGAGAGGAGATGACACGATGACAGAACCCAAGTGCACGCATGTTCTCTATAACTGTTTTTTTAAAAAATTACATATTACAACGCAGACACTCACAACACACACACTCATCCCTATAAATGCACGCAAGCAAACCCTACCTCTATGAGCATCTTCGAAGACTGGGCTGACAAATCCTAGAGATTGACGAAGTCACCACAGACGTCTCACTGTCGACAGGTACATCGCTTACCACTGAAAGCACAAAGCCGTTAAATCCTGGAACCTAGGACCTAAGGTGTAACTGTTTTTTTAGTGTTAGGCTGTGTTTAGTTCCACACCAAAATTGAAAGTTTTGAGAAATTGAAATAATGTGATGGAAAAGTTGAAAGTTTGTGTGGATAAGAAAGTTCGATGTGACGGAAAAGTTAAAAGTTTAAAGAAAAAAGTTGAAATCTAAATAGGGCCTTACACGTATATGTACAACTCATATACAGCTAGAGACACGCCACTATATAAATCAATCAAAAGAGAGCATATTTATATGCACTGCGACCGTTTACAACCGTTGATCCGTTGATCAAATTCAGTCGTACGTAAGTAAGACAATTAAGTTATATGCATAGCACTTTCCTAATTTTTTTTATTTCAGGATGTTTTTGCGATTGCAGTCATTCCTTGTTTTGTAATTGTGATTTCAGAATCTTAGGACAAATCTAGCAACAGACATGGTCAGGTTCTTTCTTTTGGACCTTGCATTTATAAAATACAAAAAAAACACACCATCACCATGTTGCATCGCACACGACCGTTCTTTGATCGTTTTAAACTCTTACAATAACGAACCAGCACATTTTTTAGAGCACCCGCAATGATAAAGTAAGGTGCTATCTATAAAATATGTACATCTCAGCAATAGACTAGATTAATCGTATACCACCTCAATAGTATATCTACACATGGGTTTCTATAGCTCTCTAATCAATTGTCTCGTTTTTCTCTATAGATTATTTCCAGGTTAATAGATAGTTTTGCTCTCTCTCTTCATTTAATCTCTTCCAAGTAGGAAAATATGCTGACATGGATCTCTTGTAGAGAGCCTATAAATAACCATTGTGGGTGCCCTTAAGGATAAATGCCCACTGAACCCCAAAAAGCGCAAGCAATATAGGAATAAAATCCTATATGTAGTAAGGATTTCCCACACTTAGCAAACAAGTAAGCTGCAATTTTCTTCCATAACAAAATTAACTGTGCTACAGTGAGGATACAGCAAAACTATAGTAATATTCTAAGAAATTGAAACATCAAAATTGATGGCTGCTGGTGCCAGATGTTTTCTGGAGAACTTGTCTGCTCCTTTGAGCCCCCCTTGTGAGATGAACACGTTTTCGAGGCTTTGTGTTAGCAGGGCTTCCTCAGCATGCACAGGGAGTTTTTCTGGTAAGTTTTACGAGCCACCGAGGTCAACTTGTTTCTCGTGAGTTTCACAAGCTACCGAGGTCAACTTTCTGGAAGTGCTAATTTAAATTGATGATTCAAGACCTCTTCTTCTTAGACTCAGATTTCTCTCCATCATTTCCTTTCCTTTTTGATTTCTTCATTTCTTTGCGCTTCTCTTGCTTGTCAGCCTTTGTCTTGTTGGATTTCACACTGATAACACCGCTTGCGGAAATCTTTCCTCCGTTCAGCGCCTTCTCAATCTCATCGTCATCGGCATCAATTGCATACTTTTGCAGAAACTTTGGGTCCACATCATCCTCATCTATTGCTCTTCTTTGTTCCTATATTTGCCCAAGATAAGGTTAGCAAAGAAACCACAACTTTGGCATGCAAATGCAACCTTTTTTTTTATTCGTGTTTAAATGTGTCACGATATTGTCCACATCTAATAATGGTGCTCAAATAATTTAGGTGTTTTCTGTACGAGACATATGGCCAGTTTTAATATTTTAATCGTGCAGAAACTGCACTTGAACTCATAAAATATTTCAACATCCTCATTACTCCTCAGTGGACGACTCAGGATTTTAAGTATGCAACGCATTACTGTATCTAAACTCTAAAGAAAACATACCTTTACTTCCCTGGCTGCTTCATCAAGGTCCTCATCCAATGATTTAAGAGGAGCTGTATCAATCTGGAAGTAGTAGTCAGACATAGCAGCTATTATGAGATTATGGCCATGCACAAAATTTTATCTAACTACACCATGAGCATTGCTTCCATGCCCACCAATGAACAATGCCAAATCTGGAAGTGCAACTATTACGTGTCAATACTAAGTTGACAAAAGGAAACAAAATATGGTTGCTTACTTCCTTTAGTCGTGGTAATGTTGCTTCAATTTCTTTTCCTGCAATATTATGAAGGTAACCGTATAACTTCTTCATTGTCTTGATGAAGTTTGATAGAACCTGTTCCCTCTCTATCCCCAGTTCTTCCTGTCAACAGAAAAACCAAAAGAATAAGACATGCCATCTCGATGAATTTTAATTCCAAGTATTTTGAATTTGCTTGGGATCAACTTGAGCTAACCTTTGTAGCACCTATGTCTTTGTCTTGTAGTCCCATACAGAACAAAACAGCTGCTTGGGCACCATGTAGTGTAACAGGAAGCTTCTCTGAAAAATACTGGTGTGCAAGAATAGGGACAAGGTCCAGAATCTACAAAAATAACAGAAAAAGGTGAAAATTGGAAGTGTTTCAATGTAGCTTTATAACACAACTTGTATTCATATAAAGGCAAATGACAACATCTGAACTTCTAACCTGATTGAGAAAATGCTTTCATGAGATGGAATTTAATAAACGAAAAGGAGAGAAGATAACCTTCTCTGATCATAGCAACAAAAGCTACATTTGCAGAAGTGAACGGTAATAAAATCATAAGGAGGCAGTGATTTGCAGAGTAGCTGTGCAGGTATTAAATATTTCCAGAAATCTGAAAGTTGCTGAGTGATCTATAACAATGTAGAACCCCAATTTGCATCCCTACCAAACCTGGGCCTAGAAATTTTGCCTTGAACAAGTGGAATCAAACTAAAGATCCTTCATAAATTTCTTACCAGATGATAATCGACCAAATTGTTAGAATATGCTTCCAGCCGCTTCATATCATGTGGTGATAGCATATCTCCCAATATCTTTGAGGTAATATTGGTATAATAGTCTGAGGGTTCGTGATCTGAAAAATCAATCTTGGAAGCCAATACACTGGGAATACACAGCCAATAATTAGAACATCACCAAATTTCTTTCCCATGAAAAAAAATTTGAAACTTCAATATACCTCATTGCAAGCTTAAAATTGAGATGCCGGAAAGATGTTCCTAAGAGACGCCTGAATCTTTGTCTGAAATCTGGGCACATTGTTCCAAAATTTAGCTAATGCACCAAAAAAATCAAGCAAAAGGCAAAATCTGAACCGTAAACCTTCCGTCAGATTTGCTGTGTACAGTTAAGAAATCAAGCAGCTTCAGTTTGAAATGCATTAGATGAGGAAACAGAACTCATGATTTTGTACCTTGATAAAATGGATCCAAAAATCCACATTTGCTTGACTCATTAACTTCAATGTCATCGCTATTTAAGGGCCTCAAGACCATACAAGTATGCTCACCAGTCACAGCACTCTGAAGAATAGATGGAGGAAACATAAGAAGCTACTACAAAAGAAGAACTGCAGAGGTGAAGAACAACAAATAGATCAGATTAGATCATTACAGGAATTTGGCCCACATAGAATGGATAGAAGTTGTGCTTCCGCCAAAAACGGAAAAGCTCTTGTGTAAGTCCAAAAGATACACCAAGATAATGGAGCTTTTCAGGACGACGTTCGCGAAGATGGACAAGGAGTGGTGGGAGATTTGCCCTAGGCTTTACGGTCTCTTCTAGTAGAGAAGCCTGCAATAGTAATATACAAAACTGTAAGGTAGAGACTTGTGGTCAAGCAAAATAATATTGTTTGGTCACAATATATTAATTCAAATAATATGGTAGGCAAACAGAGGCTTGCATCACAATGTACATAATAAAAGCTGCTGTGCTATGTGCAGAAATAAAAAAGAACTACTATCTAAAAATATTACACCATGCTTATTTTGTTCAAAGTTTGCAAATTTAAAACTGTTCATACATTAAAATATGTAGTATGAAAACCATACAATATAGTTCTAATTGTAGAGCTATTTCAAACTGTTGCACAATAAGATATCAAATGGGCATAATAAATAGTTGTTCAAATGAACCTTCTCTGCAGCCTCAGTGATCCTGACTTCAGGCTCTTCATTTTCCTCCTCATCCTCAGCAAATAGAGTCATTTGCCCTTCATAGTACCTTTCAAACCAAATAAATAAATGTCAGTAATTGAGTATGGGTAAACAAATCCTTGTGAAAAAATTACTAATTAAATTGCCAGTAAGATTAGACAAGTCCGTTCCCTATATCTACCATCATTAATCATCAAATACCAGTTTCAGCCAAAAAAAAAACAGAAGAGCATCAACAGATACTACAATCCACAGCACCCATAACCCCTAGTTGGGGTAAAGAAGAGAAATGCATACCTTGTCAAAAGGTCCACAGCAGCTGAACCATATCCAAGCTGCATTGACAAAGGAGAATATTTAGAGTGTGGAGAGTGATGTTAACACGTGCATAACAGAGTTCTATAAAGGCAATAAACCTCACCCTCACAGCACTTGGATGGACAGCAATTCGTACAATCCGAGCTCCTGAGAGACTTGGAAACACGTTGTCTTGAAACTGTTCACAAAATTTCCATGGTATTTGATCACCAGAAGGTGACCGACCCTCACTTAGGCTTTTCATAGCTGATTTTCGAGATATTTGACCTTCCAAACAGACCTGAAGATCACAAACAAGTATATTTACAAGAAAGGTCAACATCTTGAAATGTTGTGGCGGTTGTATTCAGTAGGAACTACCCTTTAAATTTTCAGTCTAGATTGTTCATATCATCTGAAGATGGGCATCAGTGGAAGTGAAGTGGAGAAGTTAAATTTTAACAAGAGTTAAGTACTGAATTTAACAACCACGTGAATAAATTAGTTCAATCAAGGAAAGGTTCAGCTTCCAGCAAAGCTAAAAATGTATTCAGCAAACAATGCATAGTAAGAACAATGAGTTGAAGCTAAAGATATGAAGTAATAGATTTTTTTTGTAGGGAATGGGAATTAGTTTTAAATTAAAAGAACTTTTAAAAAACATAAAGCCTGAGCCCTACAGATCAGTCGTTAAAAAGTTGAACCAGATTTGCATAATGTGGTGTGCACATATAATGAGTTATTACACCAGGGCCAACACATGAAGCTTGAGCACATTCTGATGAGGTAAAAAATAAACAATGCAAAACTCACTAAAAGGTTCACAATTGAAAGTAAACAGTAAGCTATGAAACATTGCAGTGTCTTTACATTGTCAACTAAAAACTGAAGTTGGATGTTTTCCAAAATAGCATAGCACCGGAGTGTTGCCGCAGATGACAAATACATATATGATGAGATAAAAAAATAAAAATGCAAAAAAATCCCTTAAATTAAAATAAGTATACAGACGACCACATGAGATCATTTCAAGCGGGAGCAGGTGCAGAACATACTCACTCCATTCTTTTTTACTTGTCATTTAGGGCATTGGCATGGTCCAATGCATATCATTTATTTTGCCTTTTCTAATGATATATCCATAAAAACATATTGAAAATATAACTACAGAATAATATTTCATTAAAAAAATGCTAATATCTTATTTACATATGAAACCTTAATGTTTTTTGTGTATATTAGTGAGTTAAGATTACTAGGTTTGACTGCATGGATCCTAAGATGACATCTATTTCTGAATGATGGGAGTACCATCAAACTGAACTTCCCTTTTTTATAACAGTATGGGCAGATATGGTGATTCCTATGGCAAATTGACTCAACAACATCAAATAGATTGATAAACGCTGAATAGTACAATAGCAAATTAAGATGTATGTAATTTTTGTTACTGGTGCATGGCATTAGGATGCATTTCTACAATTATGTAAGAAACTTTAATGTTGTTCGGCTACACCGCAATTAGAGAATCATATATTTCACACTTTTGGCTACTGTGCAAGCAAAGAATCAGCATATGGCCATCATTAAGAGAAAATTTCAAAATAAAATACTAAGAAGATCAAGCAGGAAGCAGTTTAGAACCTGGACTACACATAGAATATCCGGGAGCTGATTTTTAGACTCATCGACTGGGCCTAGAAAATAAAGAACATAAGTTAGTACTTAGTACAGCCTGACAGTGTTGCCATGGTGAACAGTTGGGAATGCTGGGCAATTAGTCCCTACCAAGCAATACAAATAGGTGATGAGCCGGCGCATCAGCCATTAGTTGCAAGTCATTGGGTGAATTTTTGTAATGGGAAGCAACATAAAGTGCCATCATCCGCTGAAATATTAAGGAATTATGATAAGCATCCATTCATGAATAAGGAAAAAAGAGCATTTCTAATCCATACCTGTAAAAATATCTCACTCTCCTTATGATATGAGAAAAGTGTGTCTCGGTTGACATAATAAAGATCACATTCTTTTGGATGAGGTAGCCTAAAGAAAACCATAAATTGTTTCAGACATGCAAGTAACTTGGAAGAATACAAAATGCAATTTAGATGATGCTCACCTACTGATATTGGGGATGGAGTTCGCAAGATCCAAACAAAGTAAATCATTAAGCCAGCTCTCAATAGGATCACCAGATGCATACCTAATGGACTCATTTAATTCAATTTTCTTAAAAAGCCTACCTACAAACCAAAACAAAACACAAAATAAGTGTAAAACATCCAAAAATCCAAGGTTCTTCAAAAGAAGTGCATTAAACATAAGAACCTCTGTTTTAGATGAAAGTAAGAAGACTCTTACTTGAATTGGGTCCATTATTTGGAGCAGATGGCTGGCTTTGGGATTCCAACTGCTGTAGGAGCTTCAAAGACAAGGATCGCCCAGTTCCTTCGTACCTTCAATACAAAAACATCCAGAATGATTACAACCATGATTTTCAGTGTTATCTCATTTCGAAAGGAAAGCAAACATACCCATTGACAGTGGATGATAGGAAAACAAGGTATGGACCAAGCAAGGACTTAACAATTGGCAATGGAATAGCAGCAGCTTCATCAATGACAAGGAGCTCAACTTGAGAAAGCTTCCCATGATCATGTGGTTTCAGATACTGCAACATTAAAAACAGTTGAACTGGGTTGATTGATATCAAGCAAAATATTGCTCAATGTGGGAATAAGCTAGTAAAAATTATGTCTGGGAAACAACAAACTATAAATACAATTTTCAAGGTATGAACCTTAATTGAATTTATCAATGATCATCAAACACACTTTATTGAATGATCTACAAACAAAGAACATTATCACGAAAACAATAATGGTATATTATATATATGTTTTATGAACTACAGAGGATACAGCTCATGTGAAGAAGACCACCCAACAATCTACCCAGAATAACGTAAACTTTGCCATTGTGAGATTTTTACATAAAATCTCAGGAAGGACCAGTATGCATTAAAAAAGTACCAGTCCTAATTAAATTTTGTATCATATATGCTGCGTTTGTGTACCTTCACAGGCAAGTAATAGTAATAACAAGGACATAAGTTTTTCAATCTTCTGCAGCATTTAATAGACTGGATTATTGAATGTGATATTTATAGCAGATAACAACATCAGCCTTTGGTCAAAGGTAAGTTGGGACTAGGCTAAGGATGAAACCTAAGTAGAAACAAATGAGCTAAAAGGGGGGAATAGCTAAAAAGGCAAAAGATTAAGCTAGTTAACAAAAAGCATTCCAGCTCATGGTTCTAGCATATGAATAGCTACTTTCCACAAACTCCTACCCAAAGCCAGTTCTTTCGACACCATGTCTTCTTTTAACTGGTTCCTCCCATGACAGTTTTACATAACCCATGCCTCCTTGTATTTTTGAAATGGTTTCGAGTGCACTACAGACTAGTTCTTCAGGGGGGGCTCCATGGTATGCCAAACCACCACAAGCGATGTTGGACAAGCTTCTCCCCAATCAGTGCCACTCCTACCCTACCATGTTTACAATAATTTCTAATTCAATCCGTCCCTGTATGACCACAAATCCACCATAGCATACAAATCTCTGCTACAATCAACTTCTGGATGTGTTTTCATATTATAACCAGACATAAGGTAAGCAAAGAACTATGGTAAGCAAAAATAGCATAATCTCAAAGTACCAAGTCAACTACCATAATATTGGCATGGCCATAAGATAATGTGCATTTTAAATCCACCAAAAGTTTAGTCCTCCCAAACAGGATACTAAAGGTTTCTAGGGAAGCTAAAGGATCCCTTTGCTCATACAGTTTGAACTTTGAAGCCCCTTTCCACCAACATCTGATAAGTGATAAGTCTAAACAGAACAGAAAGAACCTTTGGGTGGAAGTAGTAACTGTCTACCTGGATCGTCTGACGATGCTGCTTGTAGACATTTATTTGAATAGTTGCCTTCTTGAGTTCTGGATCTGCACTCTTCACCACATCATAATGCAAATGCTCCTGAAAGGGGTGAAATGATACATACATTAACTGCATAATACAGAATTAAACTTTTTAACTCCAAGACTAGACTAGACAGACACCTTGTACTCCAGTGCATTCATTCCCTTGCACACAAAATCAAACAGTGTTTTTAGGTTCTCTGGACTTGGGGCTGTGACAAATATGTTTGAATACCTAGAAAGACAAAAGATTAGAATTAATCACGGAGAACGCAACAGATAATTAACTTTAATTGAGTTGAGCATTACCCAGCAGCAATGGCTCCAGCAATAGCAAGACCAAGGGCAGCTGATTTCCCGCGTCCGCGAGCAGCAAGCAAGGCAACTGTGCTCCTCAGGGACTTGTCCAAAATAGAGTCAAGGAAATTGATCACAGCTTTACCCTGTACATAACTCTTAAGTTTCAGCATGCTGCAAAATGAAAGATTTCATGTGTAAGGTAAACTAAAACAGGATAGGCACTAAACAGTACCTGATCCATCGTGAAGCACTTTCCAATTAAAGGACCAACTGGAAAGTCTTCACGGAATTGATCTTTTAGATCTTTCAACTCTCTCTCCCTTTCTGACAGTCCCTCAGAATCCTAAACATATGTTAAAATATATATGACATAGCAGAATAAGATGGCCTGGTTGAAACAACCAGAATATCCAAGAGATTCATAAAAAAGGGGAACAACTCAGCAGGAGCATTCATAAGATCAAAAGGCACCATCAGCATGAGTAGACAAGACGAGTTATATGGAAAAAAAAAGAGAGAGAGAGAAATTAAGCACACATACCTCATTGTTCGTAACTGGTTGTATAAATTTCATGTGAGAGGATATAGGCAAAATGTTGAGTTCGTCATCCATGACGACACATGATTTGCAAGACGCTATGGATAGCAAGAACCTCTCGTTGAACCTAGCAGCAGCCTGGGTATGCGACTCTGTCCGGAATCTTTCATGGACATCCTGTTGGAGCAGGAACAACTCAACTTAGTCAAGTTATCTCAGCACCGAAGCTAAGATGTAGCATGTAAACCAAAATTGTCCCAAGTTTATTGATAGAAATGGGATCATGTATGTATGCATGAGAGAACAAGAGAAGCAGAAGGTCCAACAGAGAATTGAGCTCACCATGACCATTGTATAAAGACTGGTGAGAGAGGAAAGGGAGCGGAGCAGCAGGATGATCAAACCACCACCCTCAACCGTCTCGATGGTCCTCGCGAGTAGGTTGGGCGTGAGCGCCTCAAAATCCTGCGGCGCCAACAAACACCATATCAGTACAGGGGAATTACACTACACCACACCACAGCAGCACCAAAAAGGAGAAAAACCAAGCTAAGCTTGATGTTAGACAGACAGACCTGCAGGATGCACATGCCGAATGTGTTGCCAAGAACCCTCTCGGAGTCCTTGTAGAGGCAGTAGGTGATGTCAGACGTCTCCAAGAAGAGCGAGAAGGGGTCGGCCTTCTCGGGGTCCATGAGCCCCCTCTGCATGAGCTTCTTGATCTGCTTGGCCCGCTTCTTCTTGTGGCTACACAAAGCATTCCATACAGGTAACTGGAACGGCATTGCTCACACATCTCCAATTCAATTCAACAATCAATCAATCGGTGCAGCAACCAATCGAGTACTCGAATCGAATCTTAAGCTAAGCGAATATGGTAGAGTAGGGATGGGTAAGGAACCTGCTGATCTCGAGCTTGTCGCGGTAGCACCAGAGGACGGAGGGGCGGGACTTGACGCGGGACTTGGCGAGCATGTAGTTGAGGTTGACGATCTGGTCGCGCGACTTGTCGCCGACGATGACGAACATGGACCGCTGCCGCTCCCGCACGCCGTTCTCGATCAGCGTCCGGATGCGCTCGTCCACCTTCTTCCTCATCCTCGCCCTCCTCTCCTCTTCCCCGCCGCCGGGCCGGTCTCGTGTGGTCACAGGAGATGAGAGCGCGCGACGGATAGCGCGGGGCGGACGGCGGCGGAGGCGGGCTAGAGGAAGGAAGGCGCCGGCGGAGGGTGGTGCGGCGAGGCGCGGAGGCGCGTACGAGGTACGAGTGATGGAGAGGAGGAGGTCCGGAAGCGTGGGGATTTAGGGTTTAAGACATAGATGGGCCTTTCATGGGCTCAAACTTGAATCTACGGAGATAGGAGATGCTGATAACTTTTTCTATAAATTTAGGGTAAATTTAATTAAATCTTTATTAGGACTTTGACTAGTAAATTTAATTAAATCTAAATTTGGCTGTGCTCTTCTCCCTCCTTTCCCAACTAACCTCCCTCTTTTTACCGTCTGCACGCTGCTAAACGTTGTATTTTTTGCAAAAGAATTTCTGTAGAAAAATTGTTTTACAAAATCATATTAATCCATTTTTTAAAAAAAAATTAATACTTAATTAATTATGTTTCATGAGTCGTACGTGCGCGTGGATGAGTTCCTAACTTATGGTGCCGAACTCATGATGAAACGGAGGGAGTAATAATCTAATGCATACCGACACTGAAAAGGAGCCCTAATCGAACTCATACAATTCTTAACCAGAACAAACAAACTCCAATACCACAACACAGTCCATCTTGCCTTGCATGAACGAATTTAGCTGTGCAGACTAAAGTTCTCTGCACTCTGGAACTCTACTGTAGTAGCATCTACACAAAATAAGCGCAGAGCTTACTCTATTGTAGCCTCTCCATAGAATTGGTTAGGCATTAAGCAGCATACACATTTTCTAGTTAATGCTGATTCTGTATTATCACATTTCTTCAAGACATCAGTATGACAGATGGTCATAAAGACCGTATAATATTAGCGATATAATGTGCATTCATACCTTTTTTTTTTCCTACAAACATGAATCCCTAACTACTGTATACATCTCTCAACTCTGGAGACAAAAAGAAATTCAAAAAACGCAAAAGAAACAAAGTGTGTTATGACAACAATATCAAACTATTTTCTTCTGATATCCGAGCACTTCATCTTCATTGACATACCAACTAGGTACATGTCCTGCATTTGAGTTCAAGTCATTTGATTATCGTCAAAAGTATAGCCACAAAAATATCACCTCGTAGTACGAAAGTTTTATCAGACTATGTTAACAACAAAGTGAACATTAGTATGCAAGTCAGGATACTAACCAGTCTATCACAATTCACAATGCATCTGCATTTCTACCACCTCTCTTACTAACTAGTTCACAAAGTCGGCAAGGCAGTGTGTCAAGGCTCATTTCACGCGACCTTCCAAAGTTACCCAGGGTACCACACCTCCTCCATGCATGGTATTCTGCATAGGCTACGGGATCATTTGCAACAGCTTTCACATATGATGCCAACTCACGGAGTGAGCTGAATTTTGAGGCATCTATAATAGAATTGGGAGGAATGAAGTCCCAGACATTGGGTGCCCCGAAGTATATTGGCACTGACCCAGCCTCCAAGGCATAGAACAATTTCTCGGTCACATAGCTTTCTGTCTTAGTATTCTCAATTGCAAGAACAAACTTGTAATGTGACATTGCGCAGTGAAGATGATCCCACCAGTGTGGTTTTCCATTATCATTGGTTGAACAAACTGGATACATGGATAATGCCATGTCAGGACCATCAACATTATTCAAGCATTTCCCGAAAGAGTGGTGCGGAACCAATGACAGGAAATCTTTTGCAACCTTGTCTCTATGAGGAAGACACCTTGAAGATGACCAGTAAATAAGTGCATCCTGACACCATACAGGAGATCAGACATTGAGATGATTAAATAAACTTTTTTTAAAAAAAAAAAAGTACTACTACAGCAGAACTGATTGTGTCTCAGAGTGTGCAAAAATAACAAAGCAATAGACATCCACAATTTCATATTTACAAAAAGCATTCAGGTATACCGGTAAGTAACAGGAGCACCTTAGCCCCCGCTGAGTTATGTTGTTAACTTGTTTTGAACACTACACACAATCGGATCTTGTTGGCAGTTGAAAATTGTATGAAGTTTAAAATAAAAATATGAGAAAAAATGAAATACAGAAAAAAAAAAGTATCGAAGGGAACAGCTCGACCTAAATGTGTGAGGTTGTGCAGCTGTGGTGCACTGGTGCCTGCTAAAGTCTTAATATTATACTTCTACAGTCAACTACGCACACTTAATCCTATCATGCTATGATGAGCAGTGAGCTAGCAGAGTCAGGAACAATGATGTCATGCGCCATGTTTACATAATATATTATTGGCAATACGCAATGAATGGAAAGTTAAGCATCATGTTGGGCTTACATTTCTCTTTTCAGTTGATACATGGTAACTTCGGCTAGTGTGGAATGATTTTCCAGCATATGTTACTTGCACATCATCTTTAGCATGGTAACCTATAAAAATGTCCTCGAAACCAGTTGGTTTCCTAGCAGCCTCCAGATCCAGATATACACGAAGAGGCAGGCCTTTCATTCTCTGCAAAACATGTTCAAGAATATGTTAAACTTGGAAATCAGAAAGATGTTAACATTTACTTTGTTTAAAACAGCATCCTTACATAAGTAATGAAATACAGTATCCTCAGGAAAAAGAGAACTAAACTACTAACGGAAATGGTATGTAATGGTTAGTAAAAAAACCAATTGTATTTGATTCCATGATTAAGTTTTGTCAGAATTGTAAGCCTGTAACTCATGCCACTCAATACTGGCACTATATATGTGAATCCACAAATATTTTCGTGGAGACTCTTCATGCTGTTTTCGACAAGATGAAACTAACAATCATTGGGTTTTTTTATTGTATGGTGGCTATATGTGCCTAGGCAGTTGTTGGCACTTCCATTTGGGCCAGGCAGGTCAACGGCTAGAGTCTTTTAGGAAATATATGTGGTGCATTAGACATCATTTGCCATATGGCTACAAGGTTCATTAGCACGACATACAACCATTTGCTGGGTAATAAGGAAGCATCAAAACTGAGCATGTCTTCGGAATAAGATGATCTGATCTCCTGCTGAGGACATTGTGCTTTTTCATTCCTGGAATTTTGGACAGGCCTTCAGGGAGCGAATGTCAAAGAAGTGATGAAGGCAGGGGCTGCAACACAGCCAACACTACAGGATGAACCACTTCGGTGGCATGAGGCTCCTAAACACCAAGCCCAAAACGAAAACAGAGAGGAATACCATGCTGTTGCTTCTGACTTTATGAGAGAAGGGAACATCAACCAAATGTTGCTGATTTCACGTAACCTGGATACCATACAAGATTACTCCGTTCATCATGTGTTTGAGGGATAACTCTGGGAGAATGAACAGCAATATGTCCATATTTCAATAGTTAGCAACGCAATCCAAGAGTACGCAATATTTACAAACTAAGGGTGCTTTTGGATCAGTGAGACGCATTGCCTAGCCAGCAAAAAATAACTGCCTGCGGCTATAGCCCACGCAACAAGCGACCTGTTTCAAGTCTAGCTGAGGATGTATGACCCTCTGAAAACTACCAAGTTATTACTTGGCAATGCCACTAAGATACAAAAGCAGAAAAGGGGGCAAGCAATCTATAGGAATTAAAAAAAACTGGCACAATTAAGTAAGGTTGTTTCTCTAACTGATAGTACTTCCAGATATGCATTAACACTCGAAGAATTTTATTAAGGCCTTGTTCGGTTTGGAGGGGATTGAAGAGGATTGGAGGGGATTGAGGGGGAATAATTTCACACCACAGTAGGTGTGGAATAAATCCTCTCCAATCCCTCTCTCATGGGGATTAACCGAACATGACCTAAGGAACTTGTTAGTCCAGCTGAACTATCATCACACTCGAGCATTGCCCTTTTACACCTATAACACTGAAAGTGAAAAATTGCATTCGCGAATTCTTCAATTCCGCCACACAACCCTTACCAGATAAAGAAGTGTATGAATTTGTCCATAATTAACAGGAAAGTATGGAATTCACAGGAATTGACCAGCGAAGTGAGAATCCCAGTGGCTACCTGCGGCGGCGGCGTGGCGCCCTCGAAGAGCAGCGCGTCGGGCCGGTCGACGGCGGCGGCGGACTTGCTCCACACGCAGCTCACCCCGCACCGGCACGTGTACACCCCGTCGAGCGCGTCGGGGATCCACGTCCACCCCTTGACGAGCACCCCGACGTGGCGCGTCCTCACGCCCTCGCACCTCCCGCCGCCGCCGCCGCCCCACCCGGCCCCGCCGGTGATCGACGCGGCCGCCGCCGCGGTCGAGTTGGCGCCGTACCCGGGCGCCCCCACGGCGTCGAGCTTGGCGCGGATGCGCGGGCACCCGACGGCGGCGTCCCAGTCGGCGAAGGCCGAGAGAAGCGACGTGAACGGCGACCGCTCGCGGGTGCCGACGGCGTCCAGCGCCGTGGCGAAGAGCGGCGGCGCCGGCGCGGCGGAGTAGGAGGAGATGGACGGGAGCTCGAAGTAGCCGGAGACGAGGAGGAGGAGGATGACGGCGGAGGCCAGCATCGGGGCCATGTAGTTGATCCGCTTCGGGAAGAGCATCGAGGTGGCGCGCCCCTCCTCCTCCTCCGGAAGCTTCTGGAAGCTTCGCCTCCTCGCCGGAGCGCGAGATCTCGGTCTCGGAGGAGGGGGAGGCGATAGGTAGGAGGATTCAGGATTAGGTGGAGTGGAATTAAAAGTTTTTCGAGGGGCTCTTTTGGAAAAGATGTCAGTTCGCGTATCGGAGGTTTATTTCAGCTACGGTGTTTTTTGCGATTAGGTCCTTGGAAGTTTGAGATTTTACAGTGGAAAGGGTGGGAGGTTGTCGCCGGCGGCTGCCGGTCGTTTACCAGGTGAGAATTACGATGGTGTTGACTTTGACCATAGATGGGCTGGGCCCTGCATTGAAAGGCCAGGCGGCCCAGGCCCAACGCCAAAATGTAGGAGTATTATTTTTTAGATTTTTCATAAACCTCCATCCATTTCAAGGTTGACCTCACTTGACAACTTCTAACTTGTAGCCAATGTTTGGAAATGGGTTTGGGATATGATTTCCCACTCCCAAAGAGTAAGTTTCAATTTTAGCCATCCATTCATCTCACCCCATTTCATCCTATCCCTCTATTCATTTTTATTTCTCAATCCCACCTCTCATAAGTCATAACCCATTTTCCAAACACACATGTAGAGAGAGTTGTACGAATTTATGCCTCTCCCTTCCCAATTCCTCTACCAAAATCCTTTTATACTATTTTTCCCCGTAGTTTGCAGAAAATCATCAAATGCAGAAATGTTTGCAACATCATCTGCATAACTATCTTAATAAAGAAGTGCATATAAGATGGTACAAGATGGGAAGAACAACTTCTTCCACTTTAGATAACACAATGCTATTACACCATGAAATACATACGTCATATATATATATATATATATATATATATGATCATATGCAACTCGCTACGCATCATGTGCACCTTCACTTGTCACCATTCTCCTCCTGATGATCACCCGCGAATTGCTCGGATGGCAGCAGCATCGCGAGCGAAGCATCCAACTGCCCGAATCCGAAATCCATGGCGCCGAAGCTTCCCGCGGAGAAGAACTCATCCCCACCACCGGAGCCGGACCCGACGCCGGCGATCCCTTTGACGTCAAGAAACTCATTGCCGCCGCCGCCGCCCCACGTGAACTCCGGCTCCTCCTGCTTGTGGCGGCGGCGACCCGACGTCGGCGGCGGCGGGGGAGGGGGGAGAGCGGGGGCGTGGCCCTGGAAGAGGGCGACGTGGGCGAAGAGCTTGTCCTTGCGGGAGAAGCTGGTGCCGCAGGAGCAGAGCCAGCGGTCGCGGCCGCAGTGCTTCTCGTGGGTCTTGAGGTCGGCCATGACGGAGAAGCGCTTGGCGCCGCAGCGGCCGCAGACATGGCGCTTCTCGCAGTGGCTCCGCTTGTAGTGGTTCTTCACGCACAGGATCGTCTTCAGCGGCTGGAAGCTCGCGTGCATCCGGTTCCGCTTGCACCCGGCGTGCGGGCACGAGTACCTCCTCTCCGGCTGCGGCGGCTGCTCCTCCCCCTCCGGCGGCGGCGGCGGCTTCGCCAGCGCCGCCGCGCTCTTGTACTCGTCGCCGTGCCCGCGCATGTGCATCCGCAGGTTCGCGTCGCGCTTGAACCCCTTGCCGCAGATGCCGCAGAAGTGCGTGTGCGGCGCCAGGATCTCGTCCTCCTCCAGCTGCAGCACCTCGTACTTCTCCTCCTCCGCCGCCGCCGCCGGATTCTCCCTCGCATCCTGCTCGTCGCCGGCAGCGCCGACGCATTCGTCCATGGCGCCGCCGTTAGTCCATACCTTGAAGAGCTCGTCGTAGTCGGGGCTACCCATCTGCTCCTCCTCATCTTCCCTGTTCGTCTCGTTATTACGAGCCGAGCTGGAGCTCTCGCCGGCGGCGAGGCTGACCGCTTGTGCGGCTCCGGCCGCGGCGGCGGGCGGCGGGGTGGTGCGGCTGAGGAACGAGGAGTTCTTGAGCGACGGGAGGAGGCTGCCGGCGGTGGAGATGAGCTGGACGATGAGGCATGTCAGGTCGGCGTTGACAAGCTGCTGCTCCGGCGTCGCCGCCGACGACGACGAGGCGCGGCGGCCGGCCATGGATCGGATGACGTCCTTGACCTGCCGGATCTTCTCCTCGATGAAGGTGAGGTTGTCCAGCATCGTGTCCGGGCTCCAGTCCATGTGCTGGATGCTAACCGACGGCAGCAGCTGCTGCGGCGGCGGCGGCGCCATGCCGAGGAGAGCGTCATCCGCCATGAACGGGTAGAAGAGAGGATTCATGGAGGTCAGGTTCGCAGCCTGATCGCGCATCGTGTTCGTCATCTGGTCGCGATCCATTGCAAGCTTCTGAATAATCTCGCGTGATCTTTATTAGGAAAAGAGATGGCGCCTCTGAAATCTGCAGAGGAAGAGGAATCAAGATCGTTAGCCAGTTCAAAGATTGTTCTTGTTTTTTTTCCCCCAAGAAACTATTTGATGTTATTTTTGAGTTGGTTGAAAAGTCAAGAAACTGGGAACTAATTAGTAGTAGTAATCTACTAGATTATCAAGTGATGCAAGATTTGCAATCTGCTCCATCCTTTTCACTGACACAGTCAGCAATGCTAAAATGAAGTTTAAATCGATTTTTTTTCCCATAAATTACTTGATCAAGGTTCTTCTCTGAACGAATATGCTACGAATTAAAAGATACTACCAGCTTTGATCATTTTCAGAATCACTAATTTATTACTAACACAAGACAGGAGAAACCAACATCCTTTTTTTTTCCTAAGAACAAAGAAAAAATTTTGCAACTACTGCAGGCTGCAGGAACAAGATATCTTAAGAACCAAAAGTCTCCTTCTTAGTTCAGAATAACCTAACAATTCACCTAAACTTAACTAGTTAACCGTAAACCCTGAAGAAATTTCTACAAGAACAATAAGGAAAAGCCTTAGATCCAAGAACACCCTCTCTATCCTCCCAAGATCGCAGAAAACAGGGGAAACTTATATCCATCCAAAGTTCCAAACCATAATAACCTAGAACGAAACTGTCAACTGTACAAGAAGAAGCCAAAACAAAATCACCAGCAAGATGGTTCCAATCCAGCATCAAGCCAAAACAGAAGAAGCTTACAAGTTGCTGATCAGAGATCACATACCCAATCAAATCAAGCAGGGGGAATCACTCCCAGCTCGTCGCCATGGACGCCTAGCCGTGTCTCCACACCAAGAACAGCAGAACAGGAGAGGAGAGGCGAGCGAGAAAGCTAGAGGAGATCGAAGGAAGCATCCGGGAAGCTGGGGGAGCTAGCTAAGGCGTGAGCTGTAGGTCAAATTAATTTGGGGGTGGGATGGGCTCCCGATTCCAAGATCAGGATCGAGAGAGGAGGGGGACGGATCGGTCGTCGATTGCCCATCATCCTATCTTAGTTTAGTCGGCTGTCAGTGACTAATAGCGAGGGAAATTGTTTGATTAGTCGCCTCGAGTCTCGGTTCACTCTGCTCGAGCAGTTGAGCTTGAGCTAGACCTCTCTGATTGTGGGTGTCGCAGCCTGATTTGCTTGCCGTCTCTTTGGTTGGCAGTAACGCAGGTGCTTAGCACATGGGAGCACTTGTTTATATCAGCTTGATTATACTATGGTTTAGTGGAGGGTAGATCAGGCCTTTGCGTGTGATTGTATTTGTTTTCAGACGGGGTCCTCTCCGTAGGGTTTGCAATATCGCACGGTTACACCACGGTTATTGTGCGGTAACCTTCTTTCCGGTTTTTTAAACTTTATGATTCGTAACCTCCGGTTTTCGCGGTAATCGTGATACTATTGGGTAGAGATAATCCTCACCAATATGGTAGTAAAGGAAAGTCTGCCTCTCCACTATTATGTGGCCACCGAGAACTGATATAGAACTGAAAGAAAAATATGAGATTATTTTTAAGGGCACATTTGAAATGCAGGATTATAGAAATATATTAACATTCATGTACGATAGCCAATCTATAGGATTTTGCACAGTCCATTTCTTTGTTTTAAATGACCTTATACAAATATTTCCCAAGAAATGAAATCCTTCAGATTTTCTTTTAGGGCCCCTTTGAAACGCAGGATAGGAAAAACACAGGAATAGGAAAAACGTAGGAATTGAAGTTGTATGTTTTTCCAATCCTACAGAAATTGAAAACACAAGAAATGGAGAGAGGAGCCCTTTGATTATACCACAGGATAAACTCAACAAAGGAAAGTTTCACAAGAGGTCTAATCTCTTGCTTATTTTCCTATGGAATTGATCATAGGAATGCAATCCTATGGAAGTTTTCTTATCCTCTCCCTATGAATCAAAGGGCTCTATAGGAATAAATCCTTAGGAAAATGAATCCTCCAAAATTCCTTTGCTAATCCTCCATTTTAAAGGGGCCCTTAAATCCTTTCAATCTCAAGGAGCCCTAAGATGTTGGTGTTTTTGTTACCTTATTTTTGTTGGAAATTTAGTGAGGTTCACTGATGTATCAATGGCCTTTACTAGGTTTAGCACTTATATTTACTTTACGCCATGCTATATATTGTACAAAGTTCCAGTTAGCATTGTTCCAGTTAGCATCATGATATACATCATCAAACATATAGAAATTTCATTAAACCTCACAAAATCAAAATGAAACTTCATGAAACATGATCTATATTTGTTAAGTCTGGTATGTCTCGCTCATGTTTTTGTGATATTTCCCTCTGATTATATGAAATAACCTAGTGCAAAAGTAAAACTTATTTCCAAATACACTAGTATAAAGTGAAAGTATACACTAGACCCCATGCAAAGTGAAACTAGATACACTATACCCAATGTAAAGTGCAATTTGATCTTAATGTATGTTAGAAGAGACACATTCGTAGGTGTGCGAGTAAACAGTACATGTGTGTATTTTGTGCAATTGAAAAAGAATATAAATCATTACAACAACAGAACAGTTTTGTTTATATGTACTTATGTTTGACATATTCCTTGGCTGTCAACTCCACACTGAGATTTATGCAACCTTCATGGCACAGGCAAAGTTTGCACATGGGCTGGTAGGCCTATAGATGTGGGGTAAGGAAGAAAGGGTGAATTGTAAGAGTTAGATAAAAAGAATTTGCTGGTGGTCAGTACATGTAGGGCACATGGAACTTAAGAAAATTTTGGTACACACTCCTGATTTTATAGTGTAATGTTTAAAATTTAGCGTAAATATACTTTAGAAAATTTACAAACTGTTTTGGACTTTTGACATGAGCCCGATGTCTTTTGCTGCTTTGACAACTTGCAGCAGCAACTATGACTACTAATGTTCAAGCGTACACATATTAGAACCAATATGTACATATATTAGAACATAGTGAACTATTAACCTATTTGATTTTAAAATTTAAAATGATTAGATATTATCCCGAGAGCAGTACATCAAGTCTCAGAAAAATACAACCACCAAAGCCAACCTACCTGCAGCAATCTACATGCAGTTGCTACCTCAAATTGCATATTGTGCAAATGTAGGACAACTAGGTCTTGCTAAAAGTGCTTTTTTTATGGTTGTGGATTGTAATCAAAGACGTGCTTAAAAAAAGAGTGAGACTTGTTATACCCATGGTTTTTATCACTTAAAAAGATATGAGAATGACGGCAATACTAAAATAACAGAAGAAAAGTACGGTGTTATTGAATGAACCATAAACATAAACTCTCAGTGTAAAATATCCCAAACAAAAATGTTATGCATCTAGAAAGTATATTTTAGGTCAAGAGATTCGTTACATGGCTACAAGGTCACAAATTAGTTACAGCCTTACAGGTCTCATGTATCATCGTTTTGTGTTTTTTTTACAATGAACGGACTTACCTATTGGATAGGGTGGGTCGGTCGGTCCAGCTATAACCTGTGTCATCTTACACACCAGAACCTCTTCTAGCACTGAGCCATCCATATTAACCACCGTCTACTAACCCATAAACAACCCATCAAATTAATATTTTACTCCAGACTAGAAATGAGGCAAATTGCTCGTCTCTTCGTCCCGAGCCATCGACTATTCATTCGTCTTCATCACCTGTTGCTTGATACTTGTTCCTTCGCAGTATCGATGATTGTGCTAGTATACATGTGTTGACGATGTATTGTGCACAGGCCCATCCGCCCATGGCCCGAAGCCCTAGCCAGCAACATGTTAGTGGGTTATGTATGGCTAAGCGACTCTATAATTGCATTCTATTTTTCTTTTTTGTCTTTGATGTTCTTTTGTACCTTAATTTATTGATTGCACTCTTGTTCTCACACGGTTGCAAAATATGAAACAGTATGTGTTATATTCCATTATTTTTTTCAAGCATATCTGTTATATCTTTATTTTAGATTTAGAGCTATGTCCGCCGACCATTTATCATGGCGTGCACCGTATCTCCCGTTATTTTGTGAAGCAACCCACGCAATCCCGCTTCCAAACCGCGAAGGCGTAAATCCTCAATTTCCCGTCTTCGAAGCGATATTTCCACTCCACTCCACGCAATCACCGTCCACCTGCCTCGCCGCGCGCCACGCGCGGGAACCGGACGAACACCCACCTCCCACCGCCCACCGCCCACCGCCGCGCCGGCCATGGCTCCCCTCCTCCTCCTCCTCCCCCCACTCCGCCTCCTCCCCGCCACCCTCCTCCGCGCCACAAGCCGCCCGGCGTCGCCAAGGCGCGGCCTCTCCTACTCCTACCCCAGGCGCGTCGCCGCCGTCCTGCGACAATGCCGCGCCGCGGCGCCGCCTCCGCCTGCTCCTCCGGATGCCGTGCCCCGGTGGCACGCGGCGCTCGCGGCTGCGGCGGGGCTGTACCCGGCGTACGTGACGGCCGGCGCCGCGGTGGCCGTGGCGCGGCCCGATGCGTTCCGGTGGTTCGTCGCGCTGGCGCCGGGGTCGTACACGTTCGCCCTGGGACTCATCATGCTCGCCATGGGCCTCACCCTCGAGCTCCGGGAGTTCTTGGCTCTCCTCCGCGAGAGGCCCCTCTCCGTAAGCACCCCACCCCACCCTGCAAATTTTGGCACTAAATATTTCTCCATTTCTAGGTGTACAATTCCATGGCAATCTTTCAAATTTCAATTGTGTCCTTGAATCCAAGATCCCAAAATTGTGACTGATCCAAAGGAAATAAATTGTGTGTTTTGGCCGCTGTAGATATTGTTTGGTTGTGCTGCACAGTACACCATAATGCCTGCCTTTGGAGCAATTGTTAGCCGGGTGCTGGGGCTCTCTCCACCAATATCAGTGGGACTAATTCTGCTAGGATGCTGTCCTGGAGGAACTGCTTCCAATGTGGTAAGATTCTCAAACTTGCTCAGAGAATATGCCCCATTTGAGATGGATCCTCGACTGGATTATTGCCGCGAACTGTCTACTTTATTGTGGAGATAAATTAAACATTTTGAGAAATAAACTTAACAAAATAATTTAGAACAAGTGGTCTAAGCAATGTAGTAGAATTTGTTTTTAAAGAAAATGTATTTTTAGAGGCGTGAAGCCAGGGGCGGACCCAGCCCAGAGGCAAGGCCCGGACCGGCCTATAGTATTTGTTTTCATAATATTAGCCCATGGGATATTGGGCTTTCAACCCCAGGCCCCGTGCCATGGCCTAGGGTGCCCGGGGTCGGGGTCCGCCCCTGCATATAGCAAATAATACATGGCTCGACTATGAGTCTATGACCCGTTTTGTACTGAAGGGGAATTAAGGATCAACACTTCAACAGACACATAGTAGTGTAAATCAAGAATTCAAATGTGCATATTATTTGAATGTTCGAGTGTTCTAGCAATTTCACAGTGCCACAGTCCAATGTTGAATTTTAAATTTCCAACTAGGATTAAGATCAAGTGTGCTTTATGAAGGTATATCGACTATTTAAACGATTGATTCCAACAGTTAACATATGTTTTCTGAGTGCCAAGAAACACACAATTATCTAGAGCACCAAGTTATTTTTGGTGGTTCCTTTAGGTTATTTCTACATAAGACGTTCTGTTATTTTACTTTATCTTCTTGGCTTTATGAACCCTGAGCTCTCCAAGTATATGCTGTGTGAGTCAAATATGCATGATTAAACAAAGGGTCTCTCATTCAAGATAAAATCATGATGGTTGGAGGCAGAGTATCCCACATAGGTTGTCCATGTATGTGGATGATGTAGTTATGTTCTTCCTAGCAATATTCGGGGAAGCGTCGGGTCTAAATACCAAGTTCGCAAAATTCTCGGTGTTTCTGAGCTGCCTAGTGTGGAATTGCCCCTGTGCTGTTCATGATTCCCATGTACCTTGGGTTGCCTCTGTATGAAAAGGCACACAAATATTTTGCATGCTGAAAAAATCATTTGTACCTGGATTTTCTTTGTTATGTATTGACCTAGTTCTTCCATATAGTGGTTCAGGTGACTTTAGTTGCTAAAGGTGATGTTCCACTATCAATCGTCATGACTGTGTGCAGCACTCTTGGTGCAGTGTTCCTTACTCCACTGTTAACAAAAATTCTTGCTGGTGCTTATGTTCCAGTGGACGCGGTGAAGCTTTCCTTAAGTACTCTGCAGGTGAAATTTATGATACCACTGTTCATTGTAGAATTTGAATTAGCTTTTATCTGACATTCTCTTTTCTGGTTTAGGTGGTTGTTGCTCCAATTCTATTAGGTTCCTCTATACAAAGTGCATTCCCATCAGTAGTTAAATTTGTTACTCCTTTTGCCCCTCTTCTAGCGGTCTTAACTTCATCACTTCTGGCGTGCAGGTTTGAGTTCTTGTAACATGTTATGTTATTGGATTTTGAATAGCTGAAACAGCACGCATTTTTAGTTTTTTTTACCATTTTTTTATTCTTATGGACAGCGTGTTCTCTGAGAACTTTGTACGGCTGAGATCAACAATTGCTGATGCATCATATGGGAATGGAGGCCTGTTTTCTGGGGATATTGGGGTTGTGATGCTGTCTGTCTTCTTGCTGCACTGTGCTGGTTTTGTTGTCGGGTGAGCACTGGACTGTTTGCTATAGTTATTTTTTTATATGAAGGAATTACATTGGTTGTGTGAATAGTAGAAATTTTTGTTTAAGAAAAACTGTAAGGGAACAAATCGTGATGTTTCATCCTTCCATTAATTCAACCAAAATGTTATGGATGCTTGTAGTAGTTAGTATCTATCATCCAGATTTCTGATTGTTTACATAATTTTACCACGCATAGGTACACGACAGCAGCTATAGGTGGTTTCAAGGAAAGACAAAGGAGAGCGATATCCATTGAGGTATGCAGTCTGATCGCTAAAGCTACTACTAGTAATTTATCATCGTCAGAAATGCAGAACATAGCATTCCAAAGCTACCAATTTTCTATCATCATTAAACGTGGAGTCTTATTAAAATATATGAAATCACACTTCCATTTAGAAAATCAGATGGTTTAAATTGCTTCGGAGAGATCAACACTAAACGTAACAATATCTAGCCATTATCAACACTGAGTTACTAACCATAAAAATATCTAACCATTTGTTATAATTTAAACAGTTGCATTCCCCACAGTGTAAGTTTATTTCTCATACTACCTTTAAATATGTAGCATTACAAAACAATACTATTACTATGGCCTTGATCATATTTATTTGGTCTTTGTTCAGTTTATAACTGGCATGAATATAATTTGTTTCTGGATAGTTTTCTCCAGGATGATGAATATTATGCCTTTTTGGATTGCAGGTAGGGATGCAGAATTCATCCTTAGGAGTAGTATTAGCAACTGCACATTTCTCCTCTTCCTTGGTCGCCTTGCCAGCTGCACTCTCCGCTGTCATCATGAACATAATGGGTAGCACATTAGGTCTTGTATGGCAATTTATGACACCGCCTGATTCGAAGAACGAAAACCGTTGACTCGCGTGATGTATGACCTGCTCCTACTTTGTGTGGTTAATCTCCTGTCATAGTCTGCTGTAAGAAACATTAGAAACGTTAAAACCATGCCGTGTATATCCTCAACTTTCAGCCCTTCCTGATGTCAACTTGTCAAGTAGGGATTGTACATAGTTTTGGAATGTTGATTTTCTGAACTTTTGCTGATATACAGTCTAAAATGCACATGTGGCCAAATCCGGAACACTCAATTGTTGTCTCGAGGAATAAACGAATAATGCAAAGAATTTGGTAATGTATGCTGTGACAAAAAAAAAAAAGAGGGAAAAAGGAACAAAGCTCTGAGTCCTCTGCCAAAAAAAAACAGGGACCACTCTGAATCATGTAGCATGTGATTCTGTACAATATTATGCTTTGAGACAGCCATATGCCATCAGTTTTAAATCCATGTATGGTTGTCAATGCACTAGGAAGCAGGGTGCAATGGCACTGGTCAAGGACATGTACCAGCATTCATGCTACTTATGATAGATTATCACCAAACATTGCATCACCCCACATGGAGATGTTGTTGGTTGGTGAGGTTCAAGGAACCCTTGGAGCACATCTCTATCTTGTTTTTATGTTTCCACACACAACTTTAGATATGTTTAGTCTGTATATGTTGAGCTGAGATAACTCTACTGGAACAGCTGCAGAAATTTTATTTACATTTTAATATCAGAATGATTTTCCTTTTTTTAATCCATGTTAGTGGCTAGCAACTTTGCATGATAATTGATATGGTCAGATTTGAAAGGAAGCTCCAGGGCACATGTTGTCCAGAAGAAGCTAATCATGTGTTGAATGAGTCATAAGGTTTTTACAGGTCAGATTCTATCGAACATTTCTAGGTGAAACTCAAAATATGAAAAAGTATGCAAAGGAATATCAATACCACCTCCGTCCCAAAACGTTACTACCTAGTAATAGATGCTCATGTCCAGATTCGTAGTATAGGATGTGTCACATATAGTAGTACTAGATAACAACATTTCATTTTGAGACAAGTATAGTAGCTGGGATGGGATGACCTGATGACAGTCTTTTACTTGCCTTTTCACTCTGTGTCACTGATGGGATCATGTGCAGAAAGGAGTTTAGCATTCATTGGTTTGGTCCAACTTGTGAAAAATGAACGGATGCATGACAAATCTTTGTATAGTGTATCCCAATAAATCCATCACTCTACTGTTCCCATTAAAAATGAATAATTTAAAATAAAATCGATGATCTGACCTGCTGCATTGCGTGCTTGAGCACCCATATCTTGGTTCATTGGTTGCTATCAGCATCCCCGGGGCGGCTCCAGCATACAGTCGAATTTTTTCATTTTTAAATTTTTATTTTTTAATATTTACAGAAATATTGTACCGGTGAAAGTATTTACAAAAGTAGGTGACGTGAGGGACGGACAAGATGAAAAAGACACTAGAAAAATGCATTTTTGGCAGGATAAAAATTACATTTGCCCCCTTGCAGTCCTTGTAGAGGGCGGCAAGGCACCTCAGTGCAAAATGCACACACCTTGCCGCCCCAGGGGCTATTTCTGTAAATATTTTAGATGGTATAATATTTTTGTAAATATTAAAAAATGAAAATTTAAAAATGAAAAAAATTCGCATACAGTCCGGGTGGTCCAACCTTTGACCACCCTGGATCGCGAAGGCCCAAACGAAAAAAAGCCCACAAGCATCAGAGCCAGGTTAGGGTTAGCCGGCAGAGGAGAGGGCTCAAAGCCCCGTGCACGCGCCGCCTCTCCCTCCGCTGCGCTCCTCGCCTCCTCTCGGCTCTCGCTCTGCGCCACAGGCCCACAGCGCCGGCCGTCGCCCATCGGCGGCGTCGGGTCCCTCTCCCTCCTGCAGTCCTGCTCGAGCTCGACGACGACGACGAGTCTATGCCTCAAGCCCTAAACAGCTCCTCATAGGTGAGTTACTCATTTTAGTCTTTACTCTTTAGTATTTACTTTTAATAGATCGGTCATCGATGAATTGAAAAATGTGGATGAAAAAAATGTGATTGAAAACTGAAACTTAGATTTTTTTTTTATCAACAACTTAGTTAGTAGTCAATATAACTTAGTGTATGAAGGATGGGAAGAAACTATTGTTTCATTTTGCAATAAACATAGTATCCAAGTTCCAACTTTCGATGGAAAAATATGTGCCTCATGGAAGATCTCCACGGTTTTATCCGGACCAAACAAATGATGATCATTTTAGAAAACAAGTGTACATTGGTGTACAAAGAAGTAGTGTATTGTAATCTTCTACCTATCTATTGTAATGTAAGATATTTGAATTATTTATGTTGTAACTTTCGTAACTTCGAACTTAAATGTTGGTTTTAATCAATTTGTGATGTTCTGAGCTATATTGCAATATTTGAATTATATTTCCACCGTATTTGTCAATTTTGATTTGATTTTGTAACATCGTGACAATTTGGGATGCCAAGTAGGACCACCCAACGAATCGATCCTAGAGCCGCCACTGCATCGTCTCCTCGTCCGCCGCCGCCGCCATGTGGGCGCTCCGCCGCGCGGGCAACCCCCTCAGGTACCTACCTACCCCCGCCTCCTCTCTCTCCCCCGCCCTCTGCCACTGTTCTTGTGGGATTTCGTTAACAGATGATTGATTGGTAATAAATCTGTGGCTTATGTTAGTTCGTGTCATCCGTGCCTTTCTCCCACTCGCGTTTTTCTGTCCCTGTTGCGTGGTGGCGACAAGTAGATCCATCCAAATGCCTTGTTTAGTTCTTGGGGGTTTATTTGTGTGATTTTCCGGTGCCAAGTTGTGTGGTGTCCCCGTTAATAGGCCGTAGTTTCTTGTTAAGATTGATCATTGGGTCTTGGATGAGTTGATCATTGCCAGTGATTTATTTTTACAGGTGGGGAGTAGGGAGTTGCTGGTATTATTCATCTGATGTTGGGACTCTGTTTTGTTGTAATCTCTTGAATTTCTATGCAAATTGCAGTCTTACCATCTTGGGTTTGACTGAAATATATCAGTCGGATGTATGTGAGAGACATGATAGTGTATCTACTGTGTGTATATGTGCTTGAAGAAGTACCCATCTTAGATGTTTGTCTATGTAGACATGATTATTACTTTGCGTAGCATTATGTACGGAACGATATTAGATGTGTTTGAAGATGGAACAACACCTCTTCTTGTTTCAATCATCTGGTCATGTTATTGTGAAATGAAGCAGATATTTTGTATTTCGTTTTGCATGTGAATCCATGTTCACGATCATAATTTGTACCTATCATCCCATGTTTCATGCGTTGTTAATACTGATATTTGGCTTGGCTAACTGTTTGCTGCTGTTTTAGGGTCCGTGCCCACCAAGCTTTGAGTGCCCGTGGTTGTGCAAACCTTGAAGTAATTCTAAATGCAGATGCAAAGAATGTGGAAGAGCATCATGAGGGGGACTGTCAGAAATTGGATTGCTGTCATCAACCAAAGCCATTGGTCTGCCAACCATCATTCTCATCAGGCCGTTTCATGTGGAGTAGGGGTTTCTCTTCTCAGGCCGGTGCAAGTTCTGGTGATAAGCAGGATGAGTTGGAGGAAGGGTTTTCTGATCTGGAGGTTCCACCAGAAGCTCATAAAAAGGATTTAGATTTGACATCCGATGAGAGTTCTGATGAGGACACCATTGATGCAATTGGCTTGTCTGAAGTGGAGGCTGATGCAAAACCTGAGGAGCCGATAAAGAAGTCACAATCCACTCTTCTTAAGGCTTTGCTGGAATCTCCAAGGGTTGATGTCGCTGGAGCATTGAAAAAATGGCTTAATGATGGCAATACATTGGATAGAAGTGAGCTCTTTTATGTCCTTCTTATTCTTCGGAGGCGGAAGCTCTACATCAAAGCCTTGCAGGTGTTTAACTTGGCCTTTACGTGTTTTATTTTTTTTCAATGATAGCAAGTCCTTTCTGTACATTTATAATTATTGATAATACATGTAGCGACTGTTATGCTCGTTAGCTTGGCATGTGTTAAGAATGTTACTTTCTGAAACATATTTGCAATGTCAATGGTGAATGAGCTTTTGGTTTTGCACATAAATGAAGAGTTATAGCCTTGTAAAATGTAGCATGCACTAGATGAGGTAGGGGCACTTTAGAATGATATGTCTATATGCTTCTTCTTCGAGTCCTAGAGTATTAAAAAAGAGGAAGTGATGAAGTACTCTTAGTCAACTATGGGAATGATGCTAGACAGCTAGAGGGTGAAGATAAGAAGCACACACAATTTCCTTGACTATTGAAAAATACAATGTTGTTGAGATATCACCAGTTCACCCCCTGTACTTCTATGTTACATCCTAAACTTAATTTAGTATGAGAATGTTATTGTGACTTTGTAGATCATGTGAATGGTGTGCAAACTGCATCTTCTTTTCTATAGTATCAGACTCTGAAATTTGTTAGAGTGCTTGTGTTGGTTTTGTTTGTCAAAGGGCGTTGTCTTTTTCTGTTCATTCCATGCACGTTTTGAGTATTACTCCATTTCTTTGATTCCCTCTTTATGCTGCAGCTTTTATTGACCACCATTTTATTTTACTGTTAAGCATTCCAAGCATGTTTACCCCTTAACATACATATTGTGCCATCTGTGCTTTTAAACCTTTCGTTGTAATACTCATGTTTGGTTATACATGATGTTTGAAATAGCGTAGCCATACTTGTTTCTTTTTATGTGCAATCTAATTTGTGACATGATGAAATGAATGCTACCTTTCTTTGTAAATTACTAGCTAAATTGTGTGTTCAACTGTCTATACTCTTATGTACAAAACAAATTCTTGTTTGTAACTTAGTGGACCATTGTAGCTATCTAATAGATCTTAGTCATGCAGCTATAACTGTCTTAGATAATAACAAAGCCACCTTGCTTCCGAATGCATTTGTACCGCTGCATGGTAAATTTTCAAAATCTCACTATTCTTTGGTTATTTGTAGCTATACACGGTGTTTACTTTGATGGAACTTGTTACGTAAACTTTTTTCATGTGAACAACCTCATATCTAAACACTTAAGCTTTTTTCACTGTAATTATTTACCTCGGTCTTTGTGTTTTCTAACTCAGAAGATATTTACTTCATTTTCTGCAGCTTCTGGAGTATGTTGAAGAATCCAAACTAATTGATCTTGGAGAACGTGATTATGCTTCACGCGTGGATTTGGTAGCTAAAACCCACAGTATTTACAAAGCTGAAAAGTACATTGAGAATGTTCCTGCATCTCATAGGGGTGAGATTGTATACAGGACTCTTTTGGCTAACTGTGTGGCTATAGCCAATGTGAAAAAAGCAGAACAAGTCTTCAATAAGATGAAGGACCTTGGATTTCCAGTTAGCGTATTTTCTTGCAATCAGCTTCTGCTACTCTACAAGAGAGTGGACAAGAAGAAGCTTGGTGATGTTCTCACAATGATGGAAAAGGAGAATGTGAAGCCTTCCCTCTTCACTTATAAGCTCCTTGTAGATACCAAGGGTGCTGCTAGAGATATTGAAGATATGGAAAAGGTCATTCAGGCAATGCAAGCGGATGGAATTGAACCAGATCTTCTGTTTCAAGCCACAATTGCAAGGCACTACATATTTGGTGGTTATCGTGAGAAATCTGAGGCAATTTTGGAGCAAATGGTGGGGGATGATATCAATGAAAACCGTTCTGCTTGCAAATTTGTTTTACCCCTGTATGCTTTTCTTGGCAAAAATGATGATGTTGAAAGGATCTGGAAGGTTTGTGAGGCCAATGCTCGTCTAGATGAGTGCATGTCTGCAATAGAGGCTTTTGGTAAGCTTGGGGATGTTGAAAAGGCTGAGGAGATATTTGACAATATGTTCAAGACATGGAAGACACTTTCGTCCAAATACTACAATGCTATGCTGAAGGTGTATGCCAACAAAAAGCTTTTTGACAAGGGGAAGGAGCTAGCAAAGCGGATGGGTGATGATGGTTGCAGACTAGGGCCCTATACATTGGATTCACTTGTGAAGCTCTATTCGGATGCAGGAGAGGTGGAGAAAGCTGATTCCATATTGCATAAGCTATCATATAAGAACAAGATTAAGCCTATGTACACCACATACTTGATGCTGCTTGATAGTTATTCCAAGAAAGGAGACGTCCATAATGCAGAGAAATTGTTCAGCAAGGTGCGGCAGATGGGTTATACTGGGAGGATTAGACAGTATCAGCTGCTTCTTGAGGCATATCTGAATGCAAAGACCCCACCTTATGGATTCAAGGAGAGGATGAAGGCTGATGACATTTTCCCCAATAGGGCTGTGGCGTCTTTGCTTGCTGCTACCGATCCATTCAACAGGAAGAACGCAATGTCTGAATTGCTCGATTAGGTTCTTCTGTTAGCTTCATTTTGTGCCCATCTAATACATGTGCTGGTTGTCCTTCTGCCAAAATATATATGACATGACGATGAGATAATAAATTAGCCTTAGCGATGTAATGAACTAGTAGTGTTTGCTTACCTTTTGCGGCTATTGCCTTACCGAGCAGGCGAGTAGGATTGGAATCTTATGAATGTTAATCTTAGTTCTATTTTGTCTACTTCATTGACGTGTCACTATCTCTTGACTTGTTAATTAGCAAACAAATGTCAGTTTTGCTAGTCCTTAAGCTAATGATATATTAAGGTTTCTTTAGGCATTCTTAACCATTTTGCCCTATGAACTTATTATGTTTGTTTGCGTTGCACTGTGCTGTACTCTATCAACATTTCTTTACTGATAGAGAAAATGATACTCTTGCTGCACTGTGATCTGACATATGTTGCAACCTTCAGTTTGTTTAATATACTGGTTTATCAAGACAACATTCTTTCCTGAGCTGGAGCGATACGAAATTCTATTTTGATTTGACTTAAAAAAAAAGGCATTTCCATCGTTCCAGATTTGCAAAGATACAAAATTCATCTTTGACACAGGATCAAAACTGCTTCGATCCATGCGAACACTTATACTGTCACTACTCAGGATACAAGCAAGGGGAGATTAGATATGGCGATAATGTGTCTTTGGCTTAAGCATTCTGAATTCTGACACAAATCCCCCAAGCAAAAAACCGGGCTTTGATCTCTCTATTCTCTACAGGTAGCTGCTGACGACGAGCGACCTGCTCATGTCTCGGAACACGCTCTCCACCACGCCACCACGGACAGCTCCGTCGCCGTCGTGTCGGCGCCGCAGAACGCCGCCCAGTCGTTCACCGCCATGCCGGCGGCCACCACCTCGCTGCCCCGGTTGATGGCGTCTGCGGGTGAACCTGCATCATCATATCATTCACAGGTTTCAGAGAGCTGCAAACTCCAGTGCCAGCCTAGCTAATTGGGGGTAGTAGTAGTGATTAGTGACGCTGATTTAGTTAATTACTCCCTCCGTTTCACAATGTAAGTCATTGTGAAACGGAGGAAGTAGTTGTGATAAGAACTTACAGAAGCTCCCCACCAGGATGTTTCCTGCAATAGTTTGCCTGAAACACTTCCACACCAAGAACATCTGAGATGACCTCTTCGGTTCCCTGTTTGCACGCAATATATATAGTTTGGTCAGATGGACTTATATGCTGGCATTGTTTGCTAATTGCTCCTATATGCTCAACTCTGTGATTTTGGAGTAGATTTATAGATGCATCAGCTGCCTCCATGGTTGGTGTTTTCATCGCTATTGATGGATGAACTTTTTCCCACATTGGCCATCTCTGTCGTCATCAAGGGAAATACTGAAAAGCTAAGTCATCATTAGTTTTTTTCTTTATATGATAATTTCCTTATCCTCTGCCTCACTACATCAATCGGTTCTCCATTGAGCAGTGAGTCGGGGGCTACAGATGTTATATCATATTTTTTCAATAATTTTCATAATATCTATCTTGATTGCTTGTGAAATAATCCGAGTAAAAATAAAGTGTCGATCGAGTTATGGAGTTCTATCTTCCTATGCTTTCCGTTTGGTTTGTCGATGGATAGTTGCCTTTGGGCCGATTCCTAGCACCCGGAGGCTCGTTGGATGGACCGAGTAACGCAAGGTGCTAAGAATTACTTGGAAGAAATCAACAGCATAGAGATAAGATGATTTGTTTTATGCTCTTAACAATTGCAAAATTACCCGAGTAGTAAATTCTGATCCGTGAAACTCTGTTCCATTAATGATGAACTCAAGTCACTCATATGCATGTCTGGGAAGTGCTTTGGCCAACTCCCGGTGTGTGGGGGCTATGACTAGTCGGGCAGAGTGTTTAAACGTAAGGAGTCATTTGCTCGGGGAAATTAAAATTGACAAGAGGAGAAATACATATTTATAAACATCTTAAAATACTTGAATTTTCCTCAAGTACTGTATTTACATCATATACTACTCATCCTATATGTTTGTTCTGCAGGATCTAGATCCAGATATGTATAATGGGGATTCATGACTTTAAGCTTATCTCCTAAGATTCAAGAATGGATCAGTCAGAACATCACCATCGGCTTGCCTCCGCCGTTGCCGACTGGTGTCTTTGCCTATACGGTTGTGTAACATCCTGAAAATTCCTAACAATAAAAATCACTAAAATTTTGAACTTTTGAAATATAAGAACACATGAAATGATCACGACTATAATGATCGTGTTTATAAATAAGTAATTCACCGGAATATATAGATTGATACTTAGAACATTTCACCGAGTTCCTCATGACATGAAAATCACTCATATAAAATAATGGTCATATAAATAAATTAAGCTTTATATATAAATAAGAATATGTTAATGTTTAATTAAACAATTAGATTAATGTTGTACCGAGTCTCAATTTATATTTATAGAATAAATAAATCCACGTAAAATACATTGTTATACAAATAAGTTTGTTCAATGTGCTATTGTAATAATAATGGCCACATTAGGATATTTTAATTAATTTTAGAACCCTCAAAGCCTCCAAAATTATCTAGGTTAATTTTGGAATTAGACCTCATTTAAATAATGCAATAGAAATATATATATATATATATATATATATATATATATATATATATATATATATGGGTAATATTAAAAAATCGAGTAAACTTTCATCTAAATTAACACATATATTGGGTAAACATCATTTGTGTGAAATCTAGAATTTATGGGATGAGAATTAGATGGGAAATAGACTAAAATAAGGTTTAATTAGAAATAACACTGTTCATTGCACATTAGATGTTTGATTGTGTCCCTAGCCACCCTAGCCCTCTTCCTCCCCACTGCCACTGCACCTAGCTGGCTTGGAGCCCCGAGCCGCCGTCGCCGTCGCGCTGAGTCCCGCGCTGCCTCGCGCCCCGCTCCGTCCCATCGCCGCGCCGCGCCAACTTCACATCGTCGCGCCTCGCGCGTGCGCCGTGCGAACGTCGCGTCGCCACGCCAACGTCGCATCGTCGCCGCACTGTCGCCATCGCCACGCCGCGCCGCTGCCGCCCACTGCGTGCGTGTCCCGTCGCCGCTGCCGCGCCGTGTCGCCATCGCCGTCGCCGCGTTTTCGCCATCGCGCCGCGCCGTGCCGCTGCCACACCGCCTGCCTCGAGACCCGCCCGCGCCGCGCGCGTCCCATCCGTCACCGCCGCGTCGGCTACCTCTTCCCTCCGCCCTATATAAACCCCTCTTGGCCACCCTTTCACCCCGCACCACTTCCATCCCCTTTCCCCTCTTTTTCTCCCCTTTCCGGCCGCCGTAGCCACCGCCGCCAATCCGCCATGCCCCGGCGCCTCGCCACCGCCGCGCCGCCGTTCCCGCCGTCGGTCCGGGTAAGCCCTCTTTCCCCCTTCGCCGCTCTTCGCCGCGCCACGCCGCCTCGCTCGGCCGAGAGAGAGAAGAAAGGAGCGGAGTAGCGAGAGGAAGAAAAGAGAAGGATGAGAGAGAGAAGATAAGGATAGGAGGGGTAGATTAGAGTGGGCCCCACCGAGATTAGGGAATAGTAATCACCCTGTTAATCTGCATTAGACTAGCCTATGACCTGTGGGCCCGGGTGATTAAAAATCTAATTATGGGTAGTTTTTCATCTATAGCCTATGACATGGGGGCCCCACCGGGATTTAAAGGCCGGATTGACCTTGAGTGCCGATCACAGAACTTGTCGCAATCCTAGCCAATGCAGAGTTCAAAGTCTGATAAAGATATCCTAGCAGATATTTGCCTAAGGGAAATTGTTTTTTGTCTACAAGGGCTTCGGCTATGTGTTGCCAGTTGGTGGTAGGACCACCAACTTGACCACAGAACAAAAATTTTTCCAGCCACATCACCAGAAAAGCTATGTGTTCTCTGGGGGACATAGGACCTGTACCCATATTCATGGTGATATAGCCAGTCCAGCCACCTATAGTCCTGGTTTTGAAAGAGAACTTGCTCTTGGTATTCATACTGACTGGGTTAGCCGATGGTGTGATGTCCAAACCAGTGATCATAACTATGTCCAAAAGGGTTGGTGTCATCGGTCCTTGGTTGAATAAGAAAGCATTGTGTTGGACCAGAAATAGCTTGCAGCCGATAACATAGGTTCATCCTTATTCATTTTGGCTAGGATCAGAGCCACGCACTATGCTATTCCAAGTTCTTCCCAATGAGTTTGTTTGCTAGCCGATACCCTCTTATACCAATCCGGCCAGGTTTTGACAGCAGATGGCCAAGATTTGAAAGCAATAGTCCAGTGGCCTAAACTAGGGTTTGTCAGTCTGAAGGGAACTCTATTGTTTTCGGCATTAATAAGCTCAGTGGGATCTGTGTTGCCGATTGGGCCCAAGAAAAACTAATTCTGAAGAGCTAAACTAGGAACTGCGACCTGATGGGAAAGATGCTACAACAGAGAAGAGAAGAAAAAAGCGGATCATGAAAGGAAGACAATCTGTAGCAAGGAAGAAGAAAGATCTAACTGATGGGACTTACCTCAGGGAACTCGGTCGTTGGAGCGCTTGAGGGATTGGTGGAAGTCGACATCGTTAGATCTAGGGTTGTCGCCAGACTTGGGGGTCGCCTGCGGGCTCGCCGATGGTTTCAAAGGGATCGCCGGAGAGGTTGGTGACTAAAGCAGTGAAAACGGAAATGACGGCGTGAAAAGCGGTGGTAACTATTTAAAGAGGCGCGGTAACGGTCGAAATGGAAAAGAAGCCCTAGATTCTCTCGGGGATAAGATTGAATAAATCCGCAACATTACAAATGTAACGGACTTGGGGGCCATGTGTTAACGACCAAATTTGGTAAATCATACATTGGACTTGGAGTTAAAGCCAAAGCGGATTTGGAGGAAATCGATATTCTCAGAATCAAAGTGCGCATCGGTTGCAAACCGAATCGGCTACGGTGTACATCGGTTGATACCGAGTTGGACAGGGAAGCCGATACAGCCGATTTCGGTAAAGGGATCTTAGAATCATTGTCGGATTTGTTTTCAGTGCTTCATGAGAATTGCCATGTGCGGATTGAGTCCGAAGAAGGCAATTTTATCTATTAATTAGGTTATTTTATGTAATTTCCTTATATATATTTTCGGTAAAAGTCCGCCTAAGGGACTTGATCGTATCTTGAGTTGTAATAGATATAGGAGTCGTGTCCGACAAGGACATGTTATGTATTTTGGGTATAAATATAACCCAAGACAGTGTAATCAAACAAGAATCAGTTCAATAACACTTACGACGCATCGCCACCTTTTTTACTTTCATTGTTTTCGACGAGTTCTTGCTTTCGAGTTGGGCTGCATCGGTTTCGATCTCCGACAAGAGGTAAAGCTTGTTATGACAGGTTGCGTTCTCGGAATTAGTGCTTACATCTTCATGACACTCTAATTTTGTTTATGTAAATCGTCAAATTATCATATATGCTATATAATTTAGATCAATTAATTACACGTTATTACAACCTCGTTTTACGTGAAACACTTAATCTTCATCTTCATCCTTATCTTCAGCACATTCAAACACCACCTTAGTAGAGCTCTAACTTCTAAGTTTAACTATTAGAGTTGGATTTAGGGTGTACTTGTAGAGTAGTCTAAACTTTACTCCATCTCTCTAAATTTTTTTTTGTAAGAGTACTCAAGCCCGCTCCGCTTCCTTTTTTTAACGCTGAGGACCTCATGTTTTCGCTTATGCTTAGATTTATCAGCCAAAATTTGAATTTTCAACCTTAAATTTGGAGCTGATTTTGGGGGTTTTTTTTTATCGAAATTTATTTTTCAGCCTTGCTTTTAGATCGCTAAGAACACGTATATAAAAGTTTTATTTACAAATTTCTTTTCGTCCGTAAATATGTGTTTGGTTTATTTCACAAATAAGCGAAACAATGGGGCTCTGAAACTATTTGGTTGAGTTTTAACTCAAAAAGAGATGAAGCTCGAAGTCTACCATCAGACCCTTATCAAGGAATACATGTGGGCTTGCTTGGTAGAACGCTCAGATCTCAGTGACCCATGCTAGAGGAAATTAACATACCACTGTCAACGGGATAGAAAAAAAAATAAACATGCGGGTACAAATGAATAGCTGATTAGCTCAAGATTTTGCAATCACTCTTGATGGATACAACACAAATGAATTAACTACTATAAACTTAAAAAATTATCTAAAACATTTTTTGAAAAAAATTAAAGTGTTTATAAAAAACACATCGTTGGAAGCTGAAAGAAGCATATCGCCTTAATCCATTCTTCTATTCATTCGAGAAGAACACGCATCATATTTGTAATCAATGAGATGGGTGTAGATGCGTAGTATAACATATTCATTATCAATACTTACTTTAATACTGTATTGTGTTACTAGCAGAAAATAACGCTGAATCATTCATCAAGGTGCCTTCAGATACGTCATGTTGTCGTCATGCAAGTACAACGATGAGCTCAGCTGCCATGGTTGAGTTTCACCTACCATTTCCCCCACATCCATCATGCAAATAACACTACTCATAACTCAATGGAGGACATCATCATTCATCTCCTCTTCCATTCAAACAAGCTATATATATATATAATATTCATTTCCATGATGGAAATAGGGAAAAAAGGAACAAATAGCCAAGAGCATTGGGAGATAACAAAGATAAAATAATAATAATAAAAAGTTAGAAAACCATTGTCACTTATGTAAACCTATTTTATATACGAGCTAGGCTTATACTACCTCCGTTTTTTAAAAGATGACGCCGTTGACTTTTTCTCACATGTTTGACCATTTGTCTTATTAAAAAATTTTATGCAAATGTATAAGATATAAATCACACTTAAAGTACTATGAGTGATCAAACAACTCATAACAAAATAAATTATAATTATGTAAATTTTTTGAATAAGACGAATAGTCAAACATGTGAGAAAAAGTCAACGGCGTTATCTATTTAAAAACGGATGTAGTAAATAGTTATTTAAACCTATGATGTAACTTCTTAACATGATTTTAATTTATTTATATAGGCCTTCTTTGGAAAGTGAGATTTTTATTGGATTTAATTAGTTTGATTCCTCTGTACGAAATGAGACTATATTCTTATTCAAGCTATATACAAATTCACAATTCGTCTTGTGATGAAAAAGTTGTTACTCACACCAGACAAAAAAAAAGCATCTCACTTGTTCAAAAGTGACGTTGACTTAGAAAAAAATTCCGACTTCCATGGATATTAATTTATACACATTCAAATATATCCACGTCGAAAAGGACACATTAAAAGGAGTATATGCACATATGATTAAGGATGCGTTTAGATCTAGGGATGTAAAATTTTGGCGTGTCATATCGGATATACAGACACACATTTGAAGTATTAAACATAGTCTAATAATAAAACAAATTACAGAATCCGCGTGCAAACCGCGAGACGAATTTATTAAGTCTAATTAATCTGTCATTAGCAAATATTTACTGTAGCACCACATTGTCAAATTATAGCATAATTAGGGTTAAAAGATTCGTCTCGCAATTTACACACAATTTTGGTAATTAGTTATCTTTTCGTCTATATTTAATACTCTATACATGTTTCTAAACATTCGATGTGAGTCACGTGACAGGGCGTAAAATTTTGCCAGGGATCTGTCAGGCCTAAAATATCTTGAATGATTGAACCAGTTCTAACCAGAACAAGTCCGCACGATCACGTGGATCTAGCAATTTTCGAGGCATGTGCGTGTTTATTAAAAAAGAAAAGAAAAAACTATGCTTATATAATACGTAGTACTATGTGAGAAGGACAATGTCAAAAGGTACAATGAATTGAACTTGATTAATTAAACCATAAACTTGGAACGATGGCATGATGGCCGGAGAGCTTAATTTGTCATATGGGTTATGCGACCCCACTAATCACCAATTAATTATTCATTTCCTAGTGATCATCATTATACTTTCGTACAAAAAATTCTCCACTTCAAGTAAGGTATTCCCTCAGAACAAAATCCATAAAGTAAAAAAGGTATGCATAATAATTTATGAAATTTATCGATATCTCTAAGAACATTTAAGCCAAAAAGGAGGAGGACAAAAATAATTAAAAAACAATAAATTACAAACCGTTTGTGCGAACACACTAATCACCAATTGAAAATCATTATTCATTTCGTAATGATCATCATTAGACTTTACTATCCACTCCAAGTAAGGCATTTCCCCGGAACAAAATAAAATGCATAAAGTTAAAAAGAAATTTAAGTATGCATAATAATTAATAAAATCTATCAATATCTGAGAACATTTAATAAGCCAAGAAGGAGAAGAACATAAAATAAATGAACAATAGAAATAAATGACAAACCGTTTAGGAAAAAAAACCGTGAGAAAAAAGAATACTAAAAAAATAATTAAAAATACCGTGAGAGTAATTTGGAGGGGAAGTTTCCGACCACGGTTGTCTTCTTCCTCCCCTCTCCTCTGCCCAAGAAAAAGATAGATAATCATCACTCATCAGCATGCTCCCCCCACATGCCCTAACAATCCAAAATTCCATTCCAATTTGCAAAAGAGAGCCAAAATTAATCATCAAAAGCCGGTTCTTTTGATCCCCAATCCATCCTCACATGGAGCAAAAATCTAATATTTGCTTGTGACCTCACCTGGAAAATCCCCTCGCAAAGAATCCACCCAAGAAAGGGGAGAGAAAAAAAAGAGAGCAATCAATCAATCAATCAATCCCTCCCATTGCTTCACATTTCTTCCTTCCCTTTTGCCTCCATAAACCTCCCCTAAAGCTCCTATTTTTACCCCCCAAATCGCCCAAGAATCGCCCTACCCGAGAGCCCTTGATCCAAGATCCAATCTTTTCTTTCCCTTTTTTATTTTTAATTTTTTTGCGTTGGTGTGTGTTGTTCAATCCAAATCCCTATAGGAGGCGAGAGAGAGAGAGAGAGAGAGATAGAGAGAGAGAGAGAGAGAGAGAGAGAGAAAAGGTTCGAAATTTTTGATCGGAAAATGCAGCCTGACCCGCAGCCGCATGGGCGGGGGAGGGAGAAGGCGGCGGGGGCGGGCCCGCGGCTCCCGCCGCCGGTGACCGCGCCGTCGGTGGGGCGGCCGGCGTCGGTGCTCCCCCACAAGACGGCGAACGTGCGGGACCACTACCGCATCGGGAAGAAGCTGGGGCAGGGGCAGTTCGGGACCACGTACCTGTGCGTGGGGAAGCCCGACGGCGGCGAGTACGCGTGCAAGTCCATCCCCAAGCGGAAGCTGCTGTGCCGGGAGGACTACGAGGACGTGTGGCGCGAGATCCAGATCATGCACCACCTCTCCGAGCACCCAAACGTCGTCCGCATCCGGGGCGCCTACGAGGACGCGCTGTTCGTCCACATCGTCATGGAGCTCTGCGCCGGCGGCGAGCTCTTCGACCGCATCGTCGCCAAGGGCCACTACACCGAGCGCGCCGCCGCGCTGCTCATCAGGACCATCGTCGGGGTCGTCGAAGGGTGCCACTCGCTCGGCGTCATGCACCGCGACCTCAAGCCGGAGAACTTCCTCTTCGCCAGCACCGCCGAGGACGCCCCGCTCAAGGCCACCGATTTCGGGCTCTCCGTGTTCTACAAGCCCGGTGAGCATCCTCGGATTCTGCGCACTTTGCTTGATTCGGTAATCGGCATTATAATCGTAGCTCAATGTTGTTATTTGGTCCAACTGATCCGACAATGGTATGTGGGCAAACTGCTGTCATTGCATTTAGCAGAGAGTGAACTCGTTAGCATTTTACATATATTAGATGATGGTTCATTATGCTACTATAAAAGCGTTCGCTGCAATATCCATAATGTAGAATGTTGGAATTTATATGGTAGGAGCAATTGCACTGGATTGAAACTTCGCCAAAACTATAAGCAGGAGATTATAGTAGTTGATGGTTGAATAAATTAGTAATACTATATAAATGATTAGAGAGGATTATTCCTTTGGTCTGACTAGTTTGATTTTCTAAGGTATTTCTGGTTGTTGGCATATTTCTTTTGGTAATTTTCATAAGCTAATTTTTTTAGGGAAATTCATTTTGATCACCAGTAGCAGTTCTCACTAGGATGTGAGGGTAGATGTGGGGGTTATGCAGCATTGTCTTGTTGAAATTCTGGTGTGATACCATGGGGGATTTGAAAATGATTTCCAGTTTTAACAGTAATGGTGCGATGGGTGATTATTCTTGTGGAGTAATCTGAGTTCATAGCATATAAAATGAAACTTTAGGTGTGTCAGTTCATATGTGCATGCTTCAGACATAAAATCATTCTTTTTGTGCTAATCTCCATGCACTTGTCTAAGCACTGTATCAGATAGTAGAGGCATTTAGACAAATTCTGGTATACCAGAAACATCACATTCTTTGTTTTTAACTTTGGCAGGCTTATCATTCCTGAAAAAGTTTCCTATACTATCTTTTCTGAAATGATACACTTCCAGCATAGCAATATCAATTTCAGTAGACAATCTTGCCAGTGATTACCTTTTTCACAATTTGGACATGAGCTATCTTGCATACGATGGTTTTTTTGGCAGTAATATATTTCCTTCAAGCAGATTCCCAAAAATGGTTACGCTATGCTGTACAATATGCTGCATAAAAGGAACAGGAGCCCTTACGTGTTACCTTCTAATTACTTGTTTGCATAGTTGGGCCAGTTATTCTTTCCGGGAATACGCAAAAGAATTGTGCATCTTTGTATTAAGACTTTAAAAGTGCCAAAGTTTTACAAGACTATAGCCATGGAAGGGTATACTCAGGAAAATAAGAAAAACACACCATGCCACGTGCCAACACCACCACCACACTCTGAGGTAGAGGCCTAGCACCTTGACGGCCGCCACTAGCCTAAATGATCGTCGCCGGGCCTAAATGCAGCCACAACCAAAAGAACCTCCAAAACAACGCCTCCAAGGAGGTTGCGACGTTGAATAAACTGCTGATTTTTTAGAACTTTGCCTTCAATTGAGTGTGGCCCTATGGACAGGAATTTCCTGTTATCCACTCCATCAGGGAGTGAATTATTTAGTTTATGTAGCATTTGCTTGTGTTTATTATAAATAACCAATTAAAAGTTGAAATTCACACTCAAAGTTTGTTGGCAATGAATAATGTTCCTTTACATTTCTTCAGGTGACAAATTTTCTGATGTTGTTGGGAGCCCTTATTATGTCGCACCTGAGGTGCTTCAAAAAATCTATGGCCCAGAAGCTGACGTCTGGAGTGCTGGGGTAATCCTGTACATTTTGCTGTGTGGTGTGCCCCCATTTTGGGCAGGTAAAATTATCTGTTGTTTCTGGATATTGAATTGTGAGTATGGAATTTCCGGATTACCATGTTTACATAGGTAAAATTTTCCTTTTGCAGAAACTGAATCTGGAATCTTCAGGCAAATTCTTAGAGGCAAACTTGATTTGGAATCTGATCCGTGGCCTAGTATATCTGATAGTGCTAAAGATCTAGTCCGTAATATGCTTATCCGTGATCCTACAAAGAGATTTACTGCTCACGAGGTTCTCTGTAAGTCTTTATTGCCCCCTCCCTCTCCCTTTCTGAGGGTTGATGTGTGCTTAAGAACCTATGTCATGAAAGTGTATTTTACTAAAAATTGTTTGCCTACGCCAGGTCATCCATGGATTGTTGATGATGCTGTGGCACCTGATAAGCCTATTGATTCTGCTGTTTTGTCAAGGCTGAAACACTTTTCTGCAATGAACAAGCTCAAGAAGATGGCTTTGAGGGTATGGGGATCTTTCATGTAGCTGATTTGCGTGCAATTTTATTTTTCCCATTGACCTATTGTTCGCACTAAGTTTAGTACTTCAGTAGCGCTACATTAGATTAATGAGCCTCACTTCTATTAGCATCGCCTTATTATTTTGATGCATTCAAGTTGACTCTATATTTTGTGACCTTACATTCAAGTTAACTATGCACAAATATATTTCCTGCCTTCTCTGGTTACTCTTGTAGTTTGTTAACAGTCCTCATGTTGTAGTATGTAATGAGAACGAAATATTTATTAAGATTAGAAAGAATTTCACTCAAAATGGAAGTGTCTAATTGAACTTATGTCAGTCATTTGCACATTTTTAATGGAGAAGATTAGGACTTGCATATCCGAACTATCGTGTAACTGTTATGTTATTAGGCTTGTCTCTTCCTCATTTATTAGAGGTGCAGCCTGTTCGATTAGATATTGTTCAACTGGCATCAGGGGCGGAGCTAGCACCAAAACTAAGGCTGTGTTTGTTTGAAGGTGTTGGGAACTAATCCCTCGCGCACGCGAAACTGAACGATTCATTAGCGCATGATTAATTAAGTATTATCTCTTTTTTAAAAAAATGGATTAATATGATTTTTTTAAACAACTTATATATATATATATATATATATATATATATATATATATATATATATATATATATATATATATATACGCAAAAAAAACACCGTTTATTAGTTTGAAAACCATGCACGCGGAAAACGAGGGAGGTGAGTTGGTAACTTCAACAAAAGAACTCAGCCCTAAGGTTGTGCACTACCATTGAAAACCTAGAAAACATATCTAACACTGTGCATTCTAGTGTTTTAAAGTGAGAAATCTTGGCTTTAGGGGGTTTCCTGTGCACCATCTAAGCTGAGCGTGGCTCCACCACTGACTGGCATCTCACATAATAGCTATCACATAAGAGTACAAATGCTCAATACCGATGGATTGCGGGGTGCTTGGACTTGAAGTTAAAACTCTTCAGTGACTAAACATGTTGTTTTCTTGCAGGTTATTGCTGAAAGCCTATCTGAAGAAGAGATCGGAGGTTTGAAGGAATTGTTTAAAATGATCGATACTGACAATAGTGGGACGATAACTTATGATGAACTGAAGAATGGCCTGAAAAGGGTGGGCTCAGATCTAATGGAACCAGAAATCCAGGCTTTAATGGATGCCGTAAGCCTATCATTTTTCAGTCTACTGTTTCACATTTACTAAAAGATAAAACGCTTGGTGTTATTATACACCATTGGGATTTGTAATTTGACTTTGTGTATCTGTTCCAGGCTGATATTGACAACAGTGGAACCATCGACTATGGTGAATTCTTAGCAGCTACTTTGCACATGAATAAACTGGAGAGGGAGGAAAACTTGGTGTCAGCATTCACGTTCTTTGATAAGGATGGAAGTGGCTTCATAACCATTGATGAGCTCTCGCAAGCCTGCGAACAGTTTGGCCTTTCTGATGTTCATCTTGAGGATATGATCAAAGATGTGGATCAAAATAATGTAGGTCTTCTTTCCTTAATTATTTTCCATCTCAATACTCGTCAGCTGTACATCTTTAGTTCTTTACTTCGACGCTTTTCACTTAATTTGGGAATCGTTTTTCAGGATGGACAAATTGATTACAGCGAGTTTGCCGCGATGATGAGAAAGGGCAATGCTGGTGGAGCCAATGCTGGTGGAGTCACTTCTACTGGTGGAACAGGAAGGAGAACAATGAGGAACAGCTTGCGTGTGAATCTTGGCGACATCTTGAAACCCAACGAAAACTGACTTTGAAGTAGAGGGTTCTGATCTCCTGAAGTTTTGCATGCCTCATCAGCTGGACATATCAGAACACATGATTTTAGTTACTGATATGTCATCTGTTGTTTGTTCTGTCGCGATGCTGTGAAATTTCCTTAGTAGCATTAGTTGTAGAGAGCATACCATGTGGTACAACTGTAAACAAATTTTAGGTTCTGAACAAGCGGAGATTGTATGTTGCTTATACCAGCCCTGTATTTTTATTTATCATGGATAATATTGATGATCTTATGTTTGTATTGGAAATTCACTTTGTTGCTAATGTACAACATATTTCTTATAGTTCCCATAAGGCAGGTATGGGTTTTTGTTCCACGCATTTCCAATGCAGTATGTATGCATGTCTAAAGTTCTGAATGCATATTGTTGCAATCCGTTCAAGACAGGTAAAAATGGTATTGAGATCCAAAATTTCAATCTTTTTTTCTGATCTGATCAGCAGTTTGATGACCTCTGGAAGATTGTTCAGACAATCAGCTCTGTGTGAGTACACCGTTGTTTCCTACTCCATCCGTTCTTAAGTACAATAACCTAGTTTCCTACTCCATCTGTTCTTAAGTACAATAACCTAGAACCGGATAGGACATTTCCTAATACTACGAATTTGAACTTAAATCGGATGGGGCATTTCCTAGTACTACGAATATGGACTTAGTACTAGAAAATATACTTAGTACTAGAAAATATCTCATTCGTTAATAGGTTCTTATATTTTGGTTAATAGGTTCTTATATTTTGGGTAGAAGAAGCCAACTGTGCTTTCACAAGCTACGGATAACTTGCTTCTGGCTGCACTACACTCGCAGTACCTGCGTATCTTCTTTCAGATTGCTTGTTCTCCGTGGCTCCATCATAATTCAGAAATTTTATTGAATTCTCGCAGAAACTAGTTCAACCAAAATCCTCCAAAACTCCTAGCCTCGCTGAATTTCGCCCAGTACAACCATCTACATCTAGTACTACTATCACAGGTATCAGGCAAGTAAAAAGCGGCAAACAATCTGGAGAACAAAAAAACTGTCACAGACAGAGGACGCGTTTCTACTTCAGTAAAGATGTAAAAAGTGACCCAAATTAACTGCTCTTCATTGTAATGCAAAGAGAGGTACTGTATATGGTCGATCCTAAAACAATGCTCGACCCAAATTCTTATTGGGCTTGAAAAACAGACAATGAGATCAAAAGACATGTGTCAAATGTTGTTCCAGGTCAAAACACGTAACAAAAAAACCAAGCTTTTCCCAAGCGGGAGCTTGACAAAACATTCAGTGAGCAACAGCCTTCTGAGCCTTGTTTGGGAGGATGTTGTCCGGGAGGATGAGCTCCGGCGGGATCTCACGGACCACGCCGAGCATCGAATCATACTCCTCGTCTTTGTGGGCATACTTTTTCCTCAGCATCTTCTCGAGCTCGATCTCGTCGAAGGTCTTGGAATTCTCGGCAGCATGGACTTGGGCCAGATTGATGTAGTTCGTTGCTGACTGAGCAATGAACGCTATCTCCTCTTCAGTAAGCTTTCTTAGGAACTTGGCAGGATTACCGACCCAGACCTAGCAGTGTCAAGAAACCATATGGTTCAATAAAGTCATGTAATATATTAAGTTATATACAATATAAATACCAAAAGATATTCAAGTCTCGCAGCTGTTCATAGCAATAGCATGGAACGTAAAATATGGACATCAGTATAAACATGCAGCGTTGTTTGGTACTTTGGTTATCCTCCAGTCCCCAATTACAGGTTTTGAAATAAGGAAAGAAAAACTACACAGATTCATGTAAATATGTCATCAATGCATTGTAACTTTAAAGTAATTGTTCTTTGGAAAAATAAATATGTAGACTAAACCTCTACCTTGGAATCACTCAATTCCATTATCCAAACGATTAGATATGTTGTGGAACAAAGAACGATTGTAAGCATCGTATATCAGTGTCTGAGAATTCCCTCATTACAAAATGCTGGCAGTTGAGTGCATATTTCCCATATAGCAAGTGAAAAAGAAAAAAAAAAGAAAACTTGCTTAGCAAGAGAATAAGAAGGTAACCTCTCCAGAAGGAATCCTTGTGTTCTGCTTAACAAGCGATCCTGCACCAACCATGCTGTGCTTTTCAACGACCACTCCATCAAGCAGAGTGGCACCCATACCAACAAAAGCTTCATCCTCGACGGTGCATGCGTGCAGAACAGCACTATGACCTGGTGGAGGCTTATTAGTTTAGTTGGGAGCATAACACAGTGAGTAGTCCAAGGAAAAATGAAGTTCAGAATTTTAGTTAATGAATCAATCACAACGCTGCAATGAAAACAATTTATATCCGATTCTATCATGTATAAACGATGCCACGTGATTAATGTCTTCCAGAAAAACCAAATCGCAATATCAATAGCATATCACAGTGTAAACTGTGTACCAAAATTATTACGAAATAAGATAGGAAGTGCTCTACTGACCTATTGTAACATTGTTTCCAATTATGGTTGGGAGAACCTTCCCGCTGATGTTAGCTTTTGCAACATGTACAAGGGAATTGTCTTGTATATTTGATCCAGATCCAATATGAATGCTGTTGACATCACCTGAGGACAAACAACGAAAAGGAGCTAAAATGGTTATCACTGAACACTGGAAATATCTACAGTACAACTTCAACATTATAATTACTGAAACTTAAAAATATCAATATGCTTGGGTTAACCAAGTAAGTATGACAGCACAAATACTTAACACTACGATACAAGTCTATTACTTCTTACTACGTTTTACAATTTTTCCTGCATTCTTTTTCTTCCAGCTTCGACACACAGTGGTTACCGCACGTAACCGTGTATTACTGCAGGGAGTTCAAAATTTGGAATACGAATTTGTTGCGGTAATCGTGCTACTGCCGGAGGTCAGTAAATAGTCTACTAGCGGTAGGATAAACCCTGATTGACACTTCGTCGAATAAAGGTAAAAAACTGAAGTTTCATGCGAAGTGTCGATTGAGAGTCTAACAATGAAAACATGGTGTGCTTTGATAAAACTGTGCATCTCCTGACAACTGGCAGTTATGTCAGTTTTCTATATACCATAGCAATAGATGAAGTGCAGTTAGAAGCAAGTTTACTCTGAAAACAAAATGCACAGTAAACATACTTGTTGCCAAGAAGAAAGGTGAGATATATAATTATCAAGACAAAGCCCATGCTTATTAGTAGCACATGTATCAATACTAGTGTTTATTGACAAAGAGCTTACCTCTTAAAATGGAGCCGTACCAGATTGAGGATCCATGTCCGATCTCAACATCGCCAATCACAGCTGCACTGGGAGCAACAAAAACATCCTTGTGGACTCTGGGCTCTTTCTCAAATATGTTCATGATCGTGCGATGCCTTGAAACTGACAATGGCATACAAAAAACGCTAACATGTTACTCAGGATCAGGCATAAAATTCATGTATCTAAGTGAAGAAGTCATACACTTAGCGAAGTTGTAAACTGATCTATCAAGCTAAATGCACAACACCCGAAAAAATAACAAAAGATGCCCCCCCTCGTCATAATGTGCCTATATTCATATCTACGCTAATTTCTGGCCATTTGCCTGTTGCAGAATGGTGATGATTAATCAGAACCAACTACAGCAACACACCCCAACTAGAGCTAGAGGGGAAAATGGCATTCTTCATGATGCTAGGGAACAGAAAATAAACACTCGAAATCGGCATGCCAATGCGACATTCCAATTGGTCAGTATAACCACAATAATAACAATTATGTGCAAGTGAAATCTTTGATTTACTTGCTGCTGTTTCGATACACAGACGAGAATCACTAATCGAAAACTTCAAATGCAGCACTTGACGAATCACCGACGACGATACTTGAATACACACGAAGGAAGGAACCCGTTTCCCCTTCCCAATAACAACCAAACCACAAAGGGGTTGTGAAGAATGTGTACGGCTGCTAGTACCAATTAATCAACAACTAGAGCGACGAACTCTCCCAATATTGGGCCAAAGACTTTGACAACGAAATCGAAACGATTTCGACCTCGCAGGCCCGATCCTCCTCCTCTCCTCTCCGGAGGAGGAGGAAAACGAAGACGAGCAGGTGGTGCGCGGTAGTTAACGAGGGGGGAAGGGAGAGCGGGGGGGAAGATGCTGGTGCTTACGCTGCTCCTCGACGCGGAGGCCGCCCTGGATGGTGGATCCGAGGCGGTCCATGGCCTGCCCCGTGCCGCGGATCCACTTCCCCACCGTGTAGATCGCGCGCCCGAGGGTCCCCATGCCTGTCGCCTCCCTCCCTCCTTCCCTCCTCGCCCTCTCCGCTCGCGCCCTCCTCTGTCTGTCCGGAGCTCGCCGCCGGCCGCCGCCGCCGCCGCCGCCGCGGGAGGTAGGGGTTTGATGGCGTCTGGTGGTGAGAAGAGGGAGAAGAGTGAGAGAGAGAGAGATGAGCCCAAGGAGGCAGGAGAGAAGGAAATGGTTTTGCTCCAATAAATAAATTTATTCTCTCTTTGATTTCAAGTAAATTTTGTGCTCTCTCGGTCGTTTTAAAAGTCAAAACATTCGTAATTCTGACCATTAATTTCTCAATTTATATAGTTTAACGTCATAAGATTTTTGTATTTATAAATTCACGATTTTTTTCCGTAATATATAAATGAGTTAATTACATTTTGATTAGCTTTTTATTACTAAATTTTTAATTTGGACTACCTTTACCTTTCACTTTGAAATAGGTATTTTTACTTTTGTATCATTTTAGACCACCTAAACTTATTTAACCATCTGCATCCGGTTCATTCAGTAAAAAAAAGAGAGTATGGTTTACGTATAGGCAATATATAGCTTCAAGAATCGATAGTTCATCGGTGTGCAAGAGACTATAATTTAGTAATCGAGGTCATTGATGTACTCCCTCCGTTTTGGTTTATAAGGCGTTTTGACTTTGATCAAAGTCAAACTACTCTAAGTTTAACTAATTTTATAGATAAGAATAGTAATATTTTTAACTCAAGATAAATATATTATAAAAATTTATTCACTTATAGATTTAATAAGACTATGTTGGTGTTGTAAATATTACTACTTTTTTATACAGAATTAGTCAAACTTAGAGTAGTTTGACTTTGACCAAAATCAAAATGTTTTATAACCTGAAACGAAACGAAGAGAGTACTTAATAAGAGGAGTTGGGGTGGTCCAATGTGTAATAAAAATAAAAATTACTTTGTCCAAGGTGAAAATTGGTTAAATGGTGATCCAAACTATAATTTACTCTAAACACTTTGGATGAACGTTTAAGTAAGAACAATGCTAAAAAAAGTAATTTAGAATAAAGTAAAAATGTAGTTTTAAATGATTATATGAAGGGGCAATTACAAATTTATCACTACTTTGAATTGTTATTACAAGACTGACACTAAAAAATTATAAAAATACCACTAGAATTGTCATTCGAGTGGCATCCTTGCAAAATTGGAAAAAAAACGGTGGCAAATTTGCAAATACCCCTTATATGAATGGTTCGAAAAACAACATGTCTTTTTGGCTCAGCTGGCTACAATTAAAGCACTGAATAACAGTAATAGAGCTCTACTATTGAAATTGTAGTTATAGAGCTTGTTGCAGCCATAGCCAACTTAACAGTTCAGGACCAACAAAAGGTACGTACCTTCATCAAAATAGTCTTAGGTTCACTAGTGATGCACACACAACACCTGAAACGCCTAATTAATAAACACATATATAGAGTAAAGAGCAAAGGAAATTGTGTGTTTTTAGAGTTTATATGATATGTGCAGATACAATTACAATATAGTAATTGCTTTAAAAAAACATAGTTTATTGAAGTTTACCCATAAGTTTAATGTCGCATGAAGTTGAGATGACACAATTATTTGCTAGTGTAACATAAATTTTGTGTAAGATTCTTATATTGACGTGCAAAGATTTGATACTTTTAATTAAGTTGTTGCCTTGTTCTAAACTTGTTTGCTCTCCATGTCGACAAATGATAATAAGATTGAGTATGTAAACTTAAATTATCCTTAGTTTTAGGGCCCTTCTTCTTCGAGGGGACGCATAGGATCTCTGCCATTTCATTAATATTATGAGATAAAAACTGTAGACCACCTCAAAAGAGACCATCAGTCCATAGGGGAAGAATTACATAGAGTTTTAGGAAATGGAAAGCGACTAGCATCAGCAAACGGCGTAAAATCATCTAAGTTGGATTTTCTTGGACGCGGATCCTCTGCCGTATCAACTGCTACGGCAGACAACCACTTTTTGGCATTAGGCTGAATCCTGGCCATCCATCTGAGAGGGAATGGCTTTGATTGCCTTTTCTTGTTGATTCCATTGTATCGATTTCCCCGAATCGCTTAACTCGTGAAGTATGTTGCATCGCCGGCGCTGCGGAAGCTATGGATGAACGAAAATCATGGCGTCGCACTGGATTTTAAAGGGTTGGCCCGCGGCACGAAACCGCACTACTTCCTTCGTTTCACAATACTTGTCTTTCTAGCATTCAAAAATTATTTCAAAATAGCTGTTACTTTGAAATACTACTTGTCATATCAACCACTTACATTTCAAATTTCTCCTCATTATACCCCCAACCACCATCCCGCGTCCAACTACTCTCTCCGTGCTCGTAAAGAAAGTCGTTTAGAACAATGTTTAAGTCAAATCTTAGAAATATAAATCATATATACTATCAAGTTGTTGAGTTTGAAAATATAAAAATTATATGAATAGATTTGTCTTGAAAAATACTTTCATAAAAGTATACATATATCACTTTTCAATAAATATTTTTATAGAAACAAAAATTCAAAATTATGTTTTGGAGACCATATCGCTGTCCAAAACGACTTCTTACGAGTACGGAGGGAGTATGCATTATAAATTAAGGGGTATTATAGTATTCGTCTTCAAACCTTAGTACATGCTAAATAATATGGTACGATAAGTATTTTGGAACGGAGATAATACTCCCTCCGTTTATAAATATTTGACACCATTGACTTTTTTAAATATGTTTGATCGTTCGTCTTATTCAAAAAATTTAAGTAATTATTAATTGTTTTCCTATCATTTGATTCATTGTTAAATATACTTATATGTATACATATAGTTTTATATATTTCACAAAAGATTTTGAATAAGACGAACGGTCAAATATGTGCTTAAAAAAGTCAACGGTGTTAAATACTATCACCGTCCCAAAAATAAGTGCAGCCATAAATATCCGTGTTTAGCGCTTTGACCATCCGTCTTATTTAAAAAATTTATAAAAAATATTACAAAAATTAGTCACACATAAAGTATTATTCATGTTTTATCATCTAATAACAATAAAAATACTAATCATAATCTTTTTTTTAAATAAGACGAACGGTCAAACGTTGAACATGAATACTGCTAAAACTGTACTTATTTTGGGACGGATGGAGTATTTAGAAATGGAGGGAGTACTTATTAAGCACGGAGAGAACCGAACGTTGCATGCACTGTTGCTTCATTTTCTTTCGATAATCATGAGCTCTGTGCTACTCTCAGCTCACGGTGGTGATAATATAGGTCAAGGGAATAACAGAAGGCACAGCGGTTTAGATCGCCAAAGCGGAGGAGGAGTCGTTGTTGCGCTGCTGTGGTCACCGGCGAGGGGGACTTGTTTGTTTCTGGTACCAGTATCGAAGGGAAAAAGAAGATGCAGCCGTTGGATGATGATGGAAGGATTGGATTGGAGCTAATGCCACCCTCTGCATTAGCTTCTTCAATGCAGAGGATCTGGATCCGATTTTCTTGGGCTTCTTCCCACGCCTTGTACATTCTGATGATCGAGTCCACCACTCCTTGTACTGAGCCGTAAGCTGCATTGAAAATTCTAGCATTTCTTTAGAGCCAAATTCCCCAAGTCATTTTCATCTAGTTCATCAAATTAACGCCACTTATTATTTATTGAGTTTATTTTCCTAAAATATTTAATTTATCCTTAGTCAAGTAGACAATCCATATCAATAATTTGATGAGTAATAAGTAGCACAAGTTTATTGCAGGTAAGCTTATCTTTGGCTTCTACATGGGCAAGCCTTGTGGGGAACTCTTTTTATTTCTCGAGGAACGCCCCTTTATTCATTAAAATGCCAAGTTAATGATTATGAAAAACTATTAAAACATTTGATAGCATGTGTATTGAGTATATGTACTCCGTTCAATAAACTCTCAACCGAGTCTAAATCCATCGTACTAACAATTAATACCTACACTATTCATGCAATGATTTGTCTTTTTTTCCCAATGTGTATATCATGTTTAAACTTGGCTGATTAGTAGAGTGATAAATGCCACTATACTCCATATTATCAAAATTATTTTGGGGCATTAAATTAAATTTCTATCTCCTAAGTAAACTCATCCAAATTAGAGGCCCCATCGTTTGGCTTTTTCCATAATAAGTCAAAACGGTTTATTAGGAAAAAAAGAATTTGTAGGTAAAATTTTTATATATGTGTTTTTAGTGATTTAAAAGCTAATGCTGAAAAAGAAACAATGTTAAAAATATCTTAAAATTAAGTTTGAAAATTTAAAGTTTAGCTTTTTCTTTGGCTGATTAGGCCATCCGATCGGAGCCTACGTGTGGATTAATTGAAGAACTATGGTGCATATAAGACCCAAACAAAGTACTCCATAGTCGATATATCATTAAAAATTAGCCATTATTATTACATATCGACGTTCAAGCGTCGTGTATATATACATGCAAAATTTTGCAGCAACCATGCAAATCCGTAGATCATTACAAAACCTTACGACAAATCTACCAAAGCATCCTTGTACAGATGGGAGGAGCCAAGCATCTAATGAAACCAAAAAAACAAAGATCTAGAAAAACCTTGTAAAATACAGCAACCATGATGCATCCTCTCGATGTCCATATGTCTAAGCAGATTGGCAGCATCTATCTTCGGAGTTTTCAGATAAGCTTCTTGTGATCTAGAAAACCTTGTAAAATACAGTAACCATGATGCATTCTCTCGATGTGCTAATATATACATGTTCAGAGTTTTCAGAGAAGCTTCTTGTGATCCTAATTCTCGCAATGTACTTACTAATATATATGTATGTTCAGAGTTTTTCAGTCGAAAATTATTTTCAGTAGGTGTAGTTCTTGACGAACATGCCCTCGCTGGCCTCGGCGGCCTCGCCGTCGCTGGTGTACTTGCCGAGCTGCGCCAGCGAGTTCGCCCTGCGCCGCCGCGACGTTCTCCCGCCGGCTGCCCCACGTCTTGAGGCAGGTGTTCTGCAGCGCCCTGGCGTAGGAGAAGGAGACGCGCCACCGCCACGGGTTGGCCGACGGAGCCGCCTGGTTCATGGCGTTGAGGTTTCCGCGTCGCCTCCACCTCCGACTGGCCGCCGGAGAGGAACATGACGCCGGGCACCGCCGGCGGGACGCGGCGGCGACCTGCTCCGGCGTCGCCGCGCCGTCCTTGCTCTCGGCGCCCGGGGTCACCATGCTCGGCTTGAGGAGGATCCCCTCGAGCATCACGTTGTTCTCCGACATGTGGAAGAAGGTGTCCGCCCACACCTTCTGCGCCACCTCGAACGTCCTCTCGACCCTGTGCTCGCCGTCGAGCAGGATCTCCGGCTCCACGATCGGCACCAACCCGTCCTCCTGCATCCATCCATCCATGCATTTGATGCAATGTTAGCATCAGTCGATCGGTTTAAGCTTTTGAGTTAAACTGGTTGGTGTTCTAAAGCCAATGTCAGTATCGATCGATCAACTTATAATTTTAGGTTGAATTAATTGGTTAATGATACTATTAATCAATGCTTCGGGATGAACTGACGGGTTATATGATACCATATCGGTGGTCGACTGGTCGATCAATTTAAGCTTTTGTGTTTAACTGTCCGATGTTGTAACACTGTGTGGGTGGATTGTTGTCCAGTTTAAGCTTTTGGTTTAAACTGGTTGGTATTCTGATGCAATGCGAGCAACAATCGATCAGCTTGAGCTTTAAGCTTTTAGATCGAACTGGCTGATACTGTGACACCATGTTAGTGGCGGTTGATCAGTTTAAACTTTTGTGCTGAATGGTCGATGACACTATACTACTTGGTTGGTCGATTGATATTTAAGTTTTTTGGATTGAACTGGTCGGTACATGAAATGACCGACCTGGGAGATGGTGGCGTAGCGGGCGAGGCCCTAGGCAGCCTCCTTGACGGCGAGGGCGGAGGGGCCGGCATTGGGGATGGAGACGACGGTGCGCCACTCGACGAAGCGGGCACCCTGCTGGTAGTAGGCGGCCTCGCGTGTCGCGAGGCCGTCGAGCCCCTGGCACCAAAGACTCGGGATCGGACCCTGCCAGCGGGACGAGGCCCTTGTCGACGTTGATCCCGGGCACGATCCCTTGCTCGGCGAGGACGTCGACGATCCTCCGGCCGTCGACGGTGGACTGGTACAGCGTCTCCTCGAACAGGATGGCCCCCGAGATGTACTGCCCCAGCCCCGGCGCCGTCACCAGCAGCGTCCTGTACGCCTGCCTGTTCCGATCGACGCCAGCCTCTTCCCGCACGTCGCGTTCGACTCGTCCATCGCCAAGATCCCCCTCCCCGGCGACGCCACCGTTTTAAATTAATCCACAATGACTCGGTTTTTAATGTAATCCCAAGCACAAGAACAAAAAAAACACGAATATTAGGAAAGAACCTAATATCAAATGTAGTAATTAGAAGTGGTGAAGCTTCGAACCAAGATTGTCTAGCCCACCGCTTCATGGAGCTAGCCGGAAAACCATTGGGCGTTTCTCCCAAGCACCAGAACAATTCAAGACTGGATTGAAGATTATTGGGTTTTTACGGCGGTTTTGATGAGCTCGTCGTCGTAGGCGCCGGCGCGGACGACCATGGAGACGAACGGCGGGCGGGGGGCGGGGGGCGGGGGGCGGGGAGCTGACGCGTGCCGCCCCACTCGGCGGCCTTCTTGGGAAGGACAGAGGATTTGAGCAGAGTTGCAGATGACATTGCTGCTTCTTTTCTTTCTCAACCTGTGTCTGAAGTTCTGAACTCTGAACTGAAGATAAACCTGAAACTAAGCTTAGGCCTGTATTTAGTCCTGCCTGCACTTCACTGCACTGGAGTGAAGTGACTGAACCTGGTTAACCTGCTGGCTGTGCAAAGGGATAGTACGAGTTGTGAGGTTCAGGTTGTTCTCAGGATTTCATTGCCTGTCTCTGATCACTTCCAATCCTGTTGCTGTCATCTTCTTTGTCTCCATGCAACTGATGCTTTGTCACACTCCTCTTATTTCCTCAACTGTTTTGGTGGCTGATCAGAATTCCAATTTCAATTTTGTGTGCACCTTGTAAAAATACAGCTTAATTCACGAATGAATTTTATCTTTTAGCTGTGCCTGATTATATTATATCCACTGGAATTCTCTGAACGTTTCTGGCCTCAAAATGGATCGTCACTCCTAGCTGAAAAGGGACAATATGCTTCTCTATCTGCTCCTATGGCGTCGAATGCTGTCGCTGATTTCGTTTCAGGCTTTCAGTGATGGAAACGGCTGCAGCTGGGAGTCGTTTGTTGCGATGCATGCAGTGTTGTGTGACTCTGAACACTCGCAGCTGCCACTGAAGTTTCAGTGACTGGTAGCTGCTGCTGCATCTGGATTTCGATGTGTTAATTTCTTGGCTAGCTGCAGCATGAACATTAGCTAGCAGCAATATGATCCAAGTTAGTCCAGTCATGTCACTGTCTTGCAGACGATCATCTGTCATGAGCTGATGAGTCATGATATGGGAAACTCTGACATTTTCGTAGCAACCAATTCGTTGCGTATCAATCTGAAAACGGGATTCTACTTAGTACGTATGAACGCATTTGACAACACATCGGCAACAAGTGATGTTCATAAATGACGGAAAACGAAATGGTACATCATTGTTGTGGCTTAGGAGAAGATAAGAGAAAGTGGATGTGCTGTCTGTATTTCTGTTTATGCGTTTGTTTCATTTCTATCAGAGAACTGTTACGAACCAAACTACTGTCTCAACGACAACAAATACAAGAGAAGCTAAGTGTTACTAATTTGGTACTAAGTTGGGCTGTTTGGCAAGATTTAAACTCCTAAATTTAACTATACGTCGATTTACAGTTACTTCATCTGTTTTCAAATAACCGCCAGCATCATTATTTCGCTTTAACCGCTAAAACTATTAAGGGCCTCTTTGAATAGCAGGATTGAGAAAACGTAGGAATAGGAAAAACGCAGGATTTTGATAGAAATGTAAGTGTAAAACAGAGGATTGCAAAACGCAAGAAAAACACTAGAATGACCGTTTGATTGAACCGCAGGAAAAACGTAGGAATTGGATGAGAGAGATAGACTCAAAGGAAAGTTACCAAGAGGTTGAAGTTCTTGCTAAATTTTCTCCAAAATCTCTATAGGATTGTCCATTCCATAGGAATTTCAAAGGATTGGATATGATTCAATCCTTTGTTTCAAAGGGCTTCATAGGAAATTTTCCTATAGTATTGAAATCCTCCAAAATTCCTATGTTTTTCCTCTAATTCAAAGGGGCCCTAAATGGTTAGGGTACAGTGATGGATTCTTCGGATTGGAAGAAATTTGGAGGGATTATGAAGGAACTAAACCAAATCAGGTAAAAATTTTATAAAATGTTTAAGTCACAATATACTTTGATAGCATGGAATCTTTTAAGTATCTATGTGCATATTTTTGACAAAGACGAGTGGTTGAAGTTTGAAGATAAATAATTATATTGTCAGTCGGAGTCGGAGTATTTAGAGCAAGTTTAATAGTATAGCCAACTACTAGCTCCAAATCATTTATAGTCAACTTAATAGCCAATTCATACAATAGTTACTTACTACAATATTAATACTTGATCTCACCTGTCATACACACATTGCATCTTCGAGTCTGTGCTGCAGCTGGCTGCAAATCTGTAGTCCGCTGCTCTTCTTTCTCGTATTTTATCTCTTTAAAATATGTTTACAGCTAACTTATAGTGTTCTTTGTACCTGCTCTTAAAAACAGAGTATCTGGAGTATTACACCTTACAGTCCATTTATCTCCTTGTGTGCACAAGATCCTAGGTAGACTGTTCATCTCTACCTGATTTATGTCATATTAAATAGTGTTGTCGAATGGACAACTGCGTCATGCCGAAAGGCGTGGTTCTCTCAACAGTGGTTGGAAGTAAAAAAACAATTGTATTGCTTAGTAAAAATTTTTGGATCCCCCTATTACATGACTCTAAGGGGCTATTTATAGCTCTGTTACAGGTTCCCCCTTAGGGGTTTAGGCTTTACAGGGGAATTTACATGGTTACCCTTATGATAGAGACATTATTGGGTGTAAATAGTGTCCTTTGCATGTATGGGCCCCTATTGGACCAAATGGATCGGCCCATTTACTTGACGAAACCTCCAGAAAGCATAATGGCCCGCGGGGCCTCTTTATGATGGGGTTTGGTATTTGGCGAAGCCTACGCCTTCGTGCCATGGCCTTCGCCTTGTCGTCATCGCCCCTGCGGCCCTCCGACGAGGTCCTTGTCCAGCGAACCCCGATGGGCGGCATTCACCCGTCTGGTTCCTTTCTCAATCCTTCGCCGATTGCCTCTGGTCCGATCTTCTCGCCTAAGTTCTTGGTTTCGGCAGGTTAGGCCGAAGGCCCTTCGTGGTATGCCTCCAACAAATAGTATGTTACTTCCTCCGTTTCATATTATAAGACTTTCTAGCATTGCTCATATTCATATATATGTTAATGAATCTAGACATATATGTGTACCTAGATTCATTAACATCTATATGAATGTGGGTAATGCTAAAAAGTCTTATAACCTGAAACAGAGGTAGTAGTTAATAGTTATATCATCAATATGTATAGTACTTCTTGTAATTTTGCTTTGTGTAATTATAGTACTTATTGTAATATTAGTTAGGAACAAGTATGAATTACCCCACCCCCAACTATCGTGGTCGACCGAATTACCCCCTAAACTCGAAAACCAGACATCATTCACCCTCAACTTTCAATATCGGACAAATTACCCCCCTCGACCCTATCGAGAGCTGTTTTGTCCTACGTGGCGTATGCGTGGCAATCAAGTCAGCATTTTATTTATTAAAAAAATGTGGGACCCACCTGCCATACTCCTGTTCCCTCTTCCTCTCTCTCTTCTCTGATTCTCTCTCTCGCTCTTCTTCTCTCTCTCTTGGCATGCTCACGGCGGTGCAATGATGGCGGCGGACGGCGTGGTCGACGCGCACGGCGGTGTGGGCGACGGTGGGTGGGGGCGGTCGGCGCGGAGCTGCGAACGGTAGGGGAGAGGGACACGGAGGCGGCGGCGGTGCGGGACCCAGAGGCGGTGGGGGGAGGCGAAGCCGGAGCCAGGTATGTCATTGCCGTACTCGACGCTGAAGGGCCTGGAGGTGCAGGCGGCCTAGAAGAGGGCCTTGAGCTGGAGGTGGGTGGGGTTCTTGGGCAGTGCGGCGTGCCTCGAGGGCTCGAACTCGGGCACCTTGGCGCAGAACGCCTCCAGGGTGTAGCGCTCCCCGCTCTCCCACACTCGGCGGCTGGCGGCACGGCGGTTCTTGGTGGAGAGGCCGACCTGCTGGAGGCACGTGGGGAAGGTCGGGGAGGGGTTGGCGGCATTGGAGGAGGCGGCGGATGGTGTCATCCTCGGGGGGCTGGAGGAGCAAGGGCACGATCTTGCAAATGCCGTTGCGGGACGCCTCGGGCTTGATCCTGAGGATGTAGGCGATGGGGTCGGCGAACTCCACCAGCGTCGGGTGGTACTCCGGCGCCACGGGCAGGGTCTGCAGCCACTCTGGCGGCTCCACCGCCGCTGCCTTTGTGTCCCGCGTAGCCTCCGCCTCCGCGTCCCTCTCTGCCGCCGTCCGCGCCGACCGCACCGACCCACTGTCGGCCGCACTGCCGTGCACGCCGACCGCGCTGTCTGCCACCATCCCCGCACCGCCGTGCGCATGCCGAGAGAGAGAGAGGAAGAGCGACAGAGAGGAAGAGGAGAAGAGGAGTATGACAGGTGGGTCCCATATTTTTTAATAAATAAGATGCTGACTGGATTGCTAATTCGTACTTTTTCCAATTAGTTAACAAGAGTTTAATTGGAAAAAAAAAGAACTCAGTATAGTCTCTATATTGTATCATCAAGTAAGAGTAACTCATTCTAGTTTCACAAAACTGCTTGTATTTTGATTAGTCTATATCTAAGAACGTGTATCACAAAACCATATATTTAACAATAGTTTTATCATAAAACTATAACTTTTGTAACCTTAATATGTTATGGATATAAACTCTATTTTTTGATAATTTCATCACTAAATCTATAGTTTTGTGATAAATTCGGTACTAAATCTATTGTTTTGTGATACACATTTAAATCTGTAGTTTTGTAATAGCATGATTAAAGTATCTGTAGTTTTGTAAAATTTACTTCTTTTTTCCCTACAAAAGGGTATTTAGATAAGGCGTGTAAGAAATAAAAAAACTCGAACTCATTCTCTTTATTTGGATCTATTGGGTGGGCAAAAAAATGCAAAGCATTAATATTGCATGCATATGTCTACAATTATCCACTCATTTAGGACGGAATTAGTACAATTTCATGGTGCATTGATGTTTTTCTTCTGAACTATAATTAGCTATTTTTTTCTAAAAAATGATTAGCTAAAATTCACTCAAAATTAAAGGTGTAAACAATTTACTCAAATGAATGAAGATGACAAATAAGCATGTGAGAAGAAGAAAAAAAAATCTTAACTAGTGGATAAACTTCTTTCCACTCAAAGAAAACTCCAACAAATTATTTTTTTTCTCCCTCTAAAAAAGAGATGTTTTTGGATTTTGTCTTGTGATCGTGTCAGCCCTGTCGCTTAGCGCCCAAGATTTTTGTCAGCGATCAGCTGAGATGACAGCGTGGCACCAAAACCACCACAACCGTCTGTGGCTGTGGCTGGCCCTCGCTGCTCCCAACCGTCCATCTGTTCGTTCCCTCCGTGACGTGGCAGCACCACAGCCTTCCACTCCAATTGACACGCTCGCACTCACTGCCAGGTGGGCCACCACGGCTGGGCCCCGCTACTTGGAGGGACCTATTTGAAATTTGAAGAAACCTGAGGGGGCTTTTCGCTCATCCCGCGGGGAGTGGATTCAAAAAATTTGGGAGTATTCAAATCCGCCGCAGGAAGCGGCGGCGCACAACGCCCAGATGATTTTGATTTGTGGGGAGATCTGCGTGGACCCGGTTCACGGTGAACGGGTGTGGACACGAACACGTTGGTGTGGGGCCCACGTGAGTGTGGGACCCCGGGGACAGTGGGATACGGTTCAGGGCTTCACGCGTTGAGTTTAATGGGTGGGTGTACAATATTCTGCTCCTGCTCCTCGTGCTAAATTTTGGTGGAAACGTTTTAAATCAGTCCCACTATTTCTTTTTTTTCTCTTCCCTGAATGTGGTCAGGTGTCATAAATTTGAAATTTTTTGGTGGAGAAGAACACACACCATATTCATTATTTTGATTTTGAAATTGTAAGCTTTGATAAATAATATAATTCAAACAAACTAATATTTGTAGCATAAAAGTCGTATCACTATATTCATAATCAAGAGTATTTCACTAATATATTTATTATATAGTTAAAGGCTTAAAGCTGCTCCCTTTAATATTGCTTGGTTAGAAATTAAGCGGTCAACCTTAGTTTGCTCTTGGTCAAAAACAATAAGACCTTTCTTAGAGCAAAGGAATATCGTGGAAATTGAAATAATTTCAACAAAAAATACAATAAAAATTATACTTAAAATAGGAGCCATCTATTTCACTTAAAATTTTTAAGTCCTAGTTCTTTTCTTCAACTTTATATTTTTTCTGTTAGCACATTTTTCAAACGTATTTGTTGTAAAAAGTTTTTAATTTAAAAGTTGTTTAACAAATTCAAATAACTTTATTTTTAAAGTTTATAATAATTAATACTTAATTAATCATGTGTTAACCATCTTTATCGTTTCACGTGCGTTAAAAATTTAGGCTAAAACCAATGAAAAAACAGAACTATTAGAAATAAAATTTAAACCAGGCATTATTAAGGACTACTCCTATATAGGGCATTAATAATTTGATACTTGGAGGGTCGAAGCGCAAAAAACCCACGCGCTGTCGCAGGAGAAACGAAGCCGAAGCTCCCATTTCCATTCCACCTGCTCTCCCAACTCTCCGGCCGCCGCCGCCGCCGCCGCCGCCGCCGCGCTAACCTCCTCCCCGCGACGAGCGCCACCATGAGCACGGCCTCGGCGACGGCGCCGCCGAGCCGCCGGACGCGGAGCCGCCCGCCGTCGGCGTCCTCCCGCAAGTCCGACGACCCCTCCGCCGCCGCCGCCAACGGGAACGGGAAGGCCTCCTCCAAGCCCACCTCCCCCGGCCAGCTGACGTAAGCACACCGAGCCTGCGAACCCTTCCTTCCGTTCCTTCTCTCCTTTGGTTCGTAGCCGCTGAATGATTTTGGGGGTTTCTTCTGTTGGTTGAAGCGGGGAGAGGACGGTGAGGAAGCTGAGGCTGTCCAAGGCGCTGACGATACCGGAGGGGACGACGGTGTCGGAGGCGTGCAGGAGGATGGCGGCGAGGAGGGTCGACGCCGTGCTGCTCACCGACGCGCAGGGCCTCCTCTCCGGCATCGTCACTGATAAGGTACAGGATTTTCTTTGCTTGCCCCCTCCCAATCTGTTGGAAATTTGGAATTTCTAGTGTGCTTTTATAGATGCTGATTTTGGAAGATAGAAGATGGTTTGATTCTTTCAATTTGATGCTATGCGGATGCGACACCTTCTCGTTGCTCTTTTGAAAAACATCGATGCCTGGATTGGATTCTCAGTTTGGAGCATAGCAAGTGGCTTTTTGTGGGTGTCAAAGTTTAAGATATTTTGTTCTCCTTTAGATTTTGGATGTTTTCATCCAAAAAATTAGGAGTCATTTTTGTTGACCATGTGTTCACTAGTCTCTGCAATTATACATTTATACTTATTGATGCATACTTTTCCTCTGCCTTTTCTTTTTCATTCGGTTTTGGCAAAAAAGGTAGAATTAGTTAAGGTAAAGTGAAGTCGATTTCCACTAAGCCATGGAGTTCAATTTATGCTTTTTACTCTGCTGTGAACCAAAAAGCCAACATGCTTTGCACTTGGTCTAATTTTAGTACTACGATTCGAGATGAAGATGGTTCTTGTTTTCATTCTTTTTCGGGATTCCAATCGCAGGATGTAGCTACAAGGGTGGTTGCTGAGGGGCTGCGGGTGGAGCAAACCATCATGTCCAAGATCATGACAAGGAACCCCACATATGCCATGTCTGATACGCTTGCCATTGAAGCATTGCAGAAGATGGTTCAAGGTATGTCAGACGCACTCCATTTTTTTTACACTTTCTTGGCTAAAACATCTATAGGGACAATGTAACAGTGAAATTGAGCTGGCTAAATTCAATTCCCCTGTCATCTTATAAAATGTTCTTTCATATGATTGAGATTGTAGCAGATTAGCCAGTCATTTCTATTATTATTTTAGCTGTAGTGACTAGTGCCACTTCAAGTCATTTTCGCTATCATGATGCATAATTCTTTCGCCAATGATTCACTAAATTGTAGTACTTAACATAAAGTACTCGGTTAAACAAATTGGGAGCACCTAATTGAGAATCGGCACATGTCAATTTTGTTAGAGCTTTGTGAAACGGGGATAATTCACAGTACTAAATGAAGGTATACTGCACCTAGTAGAGCATTAAAAGAATGGAGTACTTGTTTGCTGTGTATTGCTTGTTCTCCTTTTTTTTTTGTTTTTCGAAAAAGGGTGCAGGAGTTTTGTCCCATTAATTTATAGCAGGGAGAGAACAAAAAAGCAATATCCAGAAATTACATGATGGGTAAGCCCTCGAAAGGCTGACAGAGAGAGGAAAACTAAAAAAGCCCTGATGTTGGAGGCCAACTTAGTATTCTCTTTGCATGATCATGCTTTCAACTTTCAAGTACTATCTTAGATGAAAAATATGATGTTTTCTTGTTGTATTTTGTTACGCATACTGTTTTTGTATGTCACCATCAGATCAGCTCAATCTGCCCCTTTTTCTGTGTGTGCAATGAAAGGCAAAAGCACATTTTTTGGTAATGTTAGGCATCTTAGCTGTCTTGGAATCTCAATATCTCCAGCAAAAGAAATTGAAGATTCCTTGATTTGTATCGTCAGACGTCTAAGATTTCTTTGGTATGCCCTGAACTTCAGTGGCATATATGTAGGCTGGTTGTTTCACTTTGTTACACATAGACCTTGGTTGGCTAGAAATTAGTCCCTTTTTCACAAACATACTGACTGTAGTTTCTTTAAAATGTTCATACATATTTTAGGTAAATTTAGACACCTCCCAGTTGTGGAAAATGGTGAGGTTATTGCTATGCTGGACATTGCTAAATGCCTTTACGATGCAATATCAAGACTGGAAAAGGCAGCAGAACAAGGGAGTGCAATAGCAGCTGCTGTAGAAGGGGTAGAGCGTCAATTAGGAGGCAACTTTTCAGGTACTGCACTGGATATTATTATCAATTACTTCACTCTTTCTCACTCTTGAAACTGAAAGTACACCGTGCATAACATGTACTATTTATGGTACATTTTATGGATTATCACTTTTCATGTTGCTATATACATCTTTTAAATAAAATATGTCGAACAACTTATCAGGTATATCATATTCTACTAGACTATTATATGTGTTTGTTTATCATAATTATATTTGGTAATGATCAATTTAAGGTATTCTCTGTTTGTGGATACAGCTCCTTATGCTTTCATAGAAACTCTAAGAGAGAGGATGTTCAAACCTTCTTTGTCAACCATTGTCACGGAGGGCACAAAGTACAGTAACTGCTTTCTCTTACTATTTTCTGTTAACTTTTAGCAAAAAAGAATGAATAGTGAGAGTTTTCTCTGACTATTTTCTGTTAATTTTCAGGGTAGCAATTGTTTCTCCTTCAGACCCAGTGTATGTAGCAACACAGAAAATGCGTGAATTTCGAGTTAATTCGGTGGTTGTTGCTACAGGAAACACACTACAGGGGATCTTCACGTGAGCAATCTATTTTAGTACTTCTACTATTATTTACAACTTCCTTATTTTTCTTCTACTTTACTGATGCATCCAAATGCAGCTCAAAGGATTTGCTTATGCGTGTTGTTGCACAGAATCTTTCTCCTGAATTGACCCTAGTAGAAAAGGTTTCTCCACCAGATTTACATTTTCTTGCCTCTTCCGATGCCATCTGAGCTTTGTTTAATTGCATATGAACTCACTGTGTTACTTTCAATTATTTTTGAAGGTGATGACTGTAAACCCAGATTTTGCTACATTAGACACGACAATTCTTGATGCTCTACATATAATGCATGATGGAAAGTTCTTGCATATTCCTGTTCTTGATCGAGGTAGAGCCTTATTCATGTCTCTGCGTCCCAAAAGGACAATAACAAAGCATCTTCTGGGACTTTATTATTTGATGCTTGTCTTACATTTTCCTCAACAGAAGGACAAATTGCTGCTTGCTTGGATGTCCTGCAACTTACCCACGCAGCCATTCAATTGGTGGTCCCTTATCCCAAACTCCTTAATTTCTGATAGTTCTTCCACTCTGCGGTAGATTCCCATGCTAAGCTTCTGAATGCATTCTCAATTTGTAGGTTGAAGGAGGAAATGACACTGTAAATGATGTGGCAAATACAGTAATGCAGAGGTTTTGGGATTCTACTCTTGCTTTGGAGTCTCCTGATGAGGAATGCGATAGCCGTAGGTCTGTTGATGGTTTTCATTTGTTGAATGTTTCGCTCACTTGCTCTCCCCTAATACAATTCTCTTCTACATTTCCCAGTGAAGTATCATTGCTCTTGGCATCAGAAACTGGAGATGGAAAGAGTAGCATTTACCCCCCTGTTATTGGAAATTCGTTTGCCTTTAAGCTTCAAGACCAAAAGGGACGCGTGCATAGATTCACTTGTGGTAATTGCTCTCCTGATAGTTTGCACAAGTATGTTGATTGTTCTCATATCATTCAAACATAACTGTTCTTAACTTCTTTTCTCTTGCTGCAGGCTCAGAGAGCTTAAACGAGCTAGCGTCTTCTATAAAACAAAGATTAAGTATTACTGACGAAGAGGGCATAATGCAACTCCTGGTACAACTGAGTATTTGTCATAAGAATATTTCTAGTGCTTTCATAATCATGTGTAACAAAGAGACGAAATATTCGCTGCCTTAATGTACTCTACTTCGAGAGCGAAGCTATTGCTATGAGCTTATATGCATGTATTTATGTCCTCTAAACCTGTAATTATTGTCTTTGCACTGCACCACTAAGGCACTTACTAGAGGACAGCCAATATTTCAAGCACTTCCCCACTTAATCTTGTTTGTTCTATGTAGTACGAAGACGATGAAGGTGACCGGGTGCTACTGACAACTGATGCCGATCTTGCTGGTGCCGTGCTCCATGCCAAATCGTCCGGTTTGAAGGTATCTGTTGTTCTTGGACTCTTGGTACTATAGTTTACTCTATGTAGCAACTCGTAGAGCTCTCCAACTTTTCTTGCTTCCATCTATCTCACTACTATGAATATCTCATTGTCAGGTTCTGAAGTTGCATATCGACCTGTCTGAATCCAGCACAGAGGTGACAAAGCCATCACAGCAGCTGGCAGCTGCACGCAGGAGTCGGTTGTCGCCTGTTCGTGTTGGGCTGATGGCTGGTGTGGTCGCTCTCAGCGGTGCAGCAGTGATGGTTTACCTGAAACGAGCTAAAGTGTGATTTCCCCATGAATTACTGGTAATTTTTTCAAACCTGTATTTTTTCCAGTTCCTGGAGCTAATTATGCATCATGCCAAAGAAATGACACATTGGAGAGCAACCAAAGTTGCATCAGATGCACTGAAACTCTCTGACGCCGGGCTGAAGAATCTGCCTATGTTGGTTTTTGTTTCCTCAATTTGCACGCATATCAGCAAATTTCACTAGTACTGTGAAATGTATAAACATTAGGATGTTCCTAGTTCATATTTATGTACTTGTTTACAGATAAACAGATATGTAAACTCATTTTGAAGGACAGAAGTAAATAGATCCTTCTCTCCTATCTGGCTTTAAGTTCAAGCTAGAGAGTTATTGTGATGAACATGGCCGTACTGACGAGGAGATGCATTCCATTTTTCCATTGTCCAGTGTCACTGTACTGACAAGTGCAACTGTATGTGTCTCTTTATTCTAACAAGGCAAGATGATCTGTAATCCGATTCTTGTACTATTGTTCAAGTAAACTCAACCTTTAAGCTACACTAGTAGCTATGAGAAAGTTAAAACAATAGTATTAACTTCTGAAGTGTCAAACATGACTTAACTTTCCAGTGATCATTACAGTGTCCCCAGTAAGATTAGAGTGGCCCCTAACCAACTGTGTGATTGATTGATAATTAAGACATGATTGGGTGAGTGAGAAAAATAATAAAAAAGAAGATATGCATGGTGTGTGGCTCAAGCTAAGTTATGGTTGCATCTTGCATGTTGGTTGTGTTGGATTTTTTGGTGAGCTTTTTCATTCAGTTGGCTAGTTAGTTTCTTAACCTCCTCGATCGGCAACAGCAGCTTTGGCTTAGAGTGTAGTCTCGTGCTTCTTTTGCCTTTTCTGCCTTTCTTGTATCTTGAAAGGCAATGCTTGGATTAGCAGCATGATTGCATTTTAATTTGTTCTTCATTTTCCACATTACATTTTATTAATTAATACGCATGCATATGCTCTAATCCATATAATAAATAACAGGGGTACTAGCTACTACTATTCATTAAGGGATGATAATAATATCAGGGAATATATTGATTATAGCATATATATACCAGCAGCATAGCATGTTGGTAGTTAGCACGTCAAATTAACAAAATAATGCAGCTGCTAACCACACAATGATTAGGTTGTAATGCCATCTCACACTTTGGGTATGTGCTCTGTACGACTGTACATGGAACACATAGATTAGCAGATAGCGGCAAGGATTAGGGCACAAAATCTTGTGTTTGAGTAGGTTGTTGACACGTGCTTATGGCTTGGACACACTCTCAAATCAAGAACAGGAGCATGATTGAGTGAGCTTAAAGTGAGAACAACGTGCTACCTAGCTTAGATAAGGGTGTGTTTGGTTCGTGGTCAAGGCTAGATAGGATATGACCATCTATATTTGGAGGGATATGGTGGTCCAGTTTTTTGTTTGGTTAGATGGATATGGCCATCCAGTTTCTTGTTTGGTTGGGTGAATGGGAATGGATTGAATGAAAACAACATATTAATTAATAATAAAATAGGTTAATTATCATTAATATAGCTATAGTTTATACTAATTAACAATAAAATAGAGTATATATCTAATCAACACTAATTTTGACAAGTTAATTACTAATTAACAACAATATACTTTAATTATTGCTAATCAAGAACTAATTATCAAGATTAGCTAAGGTGGATATCCTCATCCGGTCAATTTGGCCGGATACACTCATCCAGCATCTTCGTGGAATATTCCCTCTTTGGGCCGCCCTATCCTCCCTCGCCCACCAACCAAACACACTCAAAAACTGGATCGCCATCTCCCATCCAGAGATATCCCTCCAACCAAACACACCCTAAGCTAGTGTGGTGTGTACCACTTCCTCTCGTCCATGAGGCCATCATTGCCGGGAGATCACATAGCATGGGTACTGGCCTTGTTGGGAAGTTAGATTTCAGAATAATGTTATTGGACCACTGCTGCATATCTGTTATCGTGCAACTCTAGTATACATTTATGGTAGTTTCGTCTAATATATCGATGAATAGATCTTATATGTGTTTTAAAAAAGTATTTATGGAAGAGAAAGAAAATTAAAGAACAAAATAGAATTATGTTTTCCTATCACATTCGACTCCTATTGATTTGTGATCGGTTAGTCTAACATAGTTACTCCTTCCGTCCTAAAATATAAGATATTTTCTAGTACTACGAATCTGGACAGATACTAGGAAATATCCCTTTTGATTCTAGCTTATTATATTTTGGGATGGAGTGAGTACTAATGAAAGCCGGTGTAATTTTATACCAACGAAACAATGGTTTGGCTTGTTTGGTTTATGGTCAAAAGTAGATAGGATATGATCATACATGTTTATTTCACACTGATCATTGCACGGTTGGAGGCAAGAGGAAAGGAAAGCGTGTGGGAAACCTTAGGTTTACTTAAGGATATGGAGAGATTGTGTGAGAGAAAAAAAAAGTATAAGTGGGAGTGCGAGATAAATTGAGAAGGGGAGGAGGTGAGCGTATGTAGCATGTGATGCTTACGTGACGCCTTATCCATGGTTAGGCTAACTCATTCGGTTTATTTTTCCGCCCCCGTGTCGTCCAAGGTCCAACATCTAGAAAAAATATTTCATGAGTGGTGGCTATATCTTTCTCTTTACCCTATAAAAAGTAGTGGCCACGTCCTATAGAGGCTTATCTCTCTAACTTCTTTGTCCTATAACCATATAAAGTTTTAATGTTTATGATGCCATATTATTTATAGGTTTTCTTAAAATAAAAAAGACATTCAAGATCTACGCATACTAAACACAGAAAGTAAATTATCAACAATGTTCGAGTACTACAAAGTCAGTCATTAGAATAAGTTGAATCCTCCCAAAAAATCCTCACAGAAAGTACATTATCAACAATGTTCGAGTAACATATAAAATAAATCTAATAAGTTGAATCCTAAAAAAAAATAGTAAAAATACCTTGAACAAACCATTATAAATCCTTACCATAAAAAGGGAAAAAAAATCCATGCATGCATACTTGTGAGTTGTGATGATAAATACGGGAGCTAATTAGATCCATTTCTAATGTACCAAATCCTGAATCAAATGTACAAGTACGAACACCTACAAAAAATACAGTCACATTATTACCGTGGAAATACTCAGTAGTATAAGGTACTCCGTACAAAATACTACTCTACATCAATAGTACACGTACAGAGTATAGAAGCAAAGAGTACATCCCCACATTTACACATCGCCACCACTTCGCTTGCAGCCACACGTACGTACGTACACACAACACACACGTCATCACATCCCGTGCCGCTACCCGTGGGCCCCACCACCCCTGAGTCACTGACAGCGCCGGGGCCCACCGCGACGCTCCACGTCGTCGTCGCGCGCGGGCGACACGAGGGCCCCCCACACCGCGTCTCTGAGTCACTGACAGGTGTGGGCCCCACGGGCGAAACCCAGAGTGACCGACAAACTCGAACCGTCGTCGGGTGCACCACCGGAATCTCGCCGCCAATTAATCACTGTACTTAGAGCATGCCCAACAGCTTCCTTTTTCAATTCCCTATCCTGTGATTTAGGGAATTTTGATCAAGAAACAGATCCAACAGATTCTCTAACTAATATCCCAATATCTCTGGTTCCTCAGTCCGCATATATCGTTCCTCACAAACAGGGAAGCGATTTTGTTCCCAATATTTCCTCGTCGGTCTCTCTCGCGCGCAAAGCAGTCTCTCGCGCGCGCAAAGGGAAAATGTTCCCGCGCACTTCTCCGCGCCCTCGCTCCTCAGCGGCGAAGCCTTCTCCGCGCCCTCGCTCCTCGGCGGCTACACCTTCTTCCTCGGTGGGGGCACCCTCTTCCTCGGCGGCGGCGTCCTCTTCATCGGCGGCAGCTCCCTTTTCCCTTTTGCAAGGCACGGGGCGTGGTGTCCCGATGACGGCCGGAGGTATGCCGTTTCCGCGGTACGGCGAGTTCTGGCCCGGCGGCCATCCGTGCCCTCCACCACCGCCTGGCGGCCATCCGCGCCCCACACCGCCGCCCGGCGGCCATGCGCGGCCCCCACCGCCGCCCGGCGGCCATGCGCGCCCTCCACAACGCTACTCCGGTTTTCAGGCATCCGAGGCCATGGAGAAGCTGACATCTAGCGAGCCATTGGATCCCCTCTCACACGAAGCTTCTATCGGCAGTTCCTCCAGAGTATGGACTGTAGATGACGAAGAATTCCTCCACATGAACAATTTCGGTAAGTCCAATCCTGATTTGTTCAGTGTTTAGTTTACATGCTCTGAATTCCTTCACATCTGAAGCTTTCTTGATTGTGCTTTCTTTTTTTTCTTCAATCTGGATAGTATTGTCTAATTTATACTATCTGATAGAGGTTGCATTTTCAGAAATTTTCATCATGTTCTTTTGTGTATGCTTGCAATTGTAGCAAAATTGCCTGACTTGAACAAGGGTATGTCTGCTGTATGTGCTGATGTACTTCACTGTGGTGTATATCCTGCATTTATGTCCAGAAGTATATAGGGTATGTACAGCATGCAGGAAAGAATAGTCAGTGGTGTTGTGCTGGAATTTCAGTTTGACACTATGTAGTGAGTATAATATGCTATCAAATTTATGCTCTGAGTTTGACACAATGGAAATTCAGTATGTACTGAGTTTCATATACGATGCTCTGAAATTTGACCTGTTGAACAGTTATCTGAACCTTGTCGCTGTCAGGATCGATATAGGAACATTTCTATGAACCTTGTCATTTTCAGTATCCAAATTAGCAACATTTGTGTGCTCTCTCCATGCGAATGCACAGCTTTTGATTAATATTATGTGTACACAAAGTTGTCACCATCCATTACATGTGAACTTTCAGATAACAGAATGCATTTTTTGTCCAGAAATTATCACTTGTTTGTCTTTTGTTAGTCTTTTTTTTTCTCAAGTACAAGGTTATGATTTTTTATCTATGGACAGATGATATGAAGCGAGAGCGATATTACACAAACTTGATCAATGATGAGAGCAACCATTTTGGCTCGAGTGAGATGGGAAGCCAGTATGATGATGAACAAGAACCAGTTGTGAATGAAAATGTTGCTGTGAGACCGAACCAAAAAAGATCAAAAAATTTCAGTTTGGAGGAGGACAATCTTTTGGTGTCGGCGTGGATAAATGTTTCTTTCGATCCGGTTCAAGGGACGGATCAATCTCACGGTACATATTGGGGACGTATTCATGACTACTTTCATCAGAACAAGGAATTCGAATCAGATCGCTCCCAAAGTTCACTTGTACATCGTTGGTCCACTATACAAGAACATGTCAATAAGTATTGTGGTTTCTTAAGTCAGATTCAGAATCGAAATCAGAGTGGTGTCAATCATGAGGACATGGTAATATATTGCTTGTGTTGCTTATTTTCCAATCGTCTCCTTTATGTTTCTGACTTCAGTTCATTTATTTGCAGCATGTGCAAGCAAGCCTGATGTACAAGAAGAAAGAGGAAAAGAAGTTTCAGTTCATGCATTGCTACAACATTTTAAAGAATCTGCCAAAGTGGGATGATAAGCGGAATCAGCTGGCAGCTAGTAAAACTTCAAGCAAGAAGCAGAAGAAGACCGCCAATGATTCTCCTGCGATATCTACTCCTGCATGTAATGTTGATGAGAATAGGGCTGCTGATCCTGAGAATACAGTAGGTGAGGGAAGACCCATGGGGAGGAAGAAGGCGAAACAACAGATACGCGAACGCTCGGATCTATCACGGAAAGAGTCCTTAGACTATCTATGGGATAAGAAGAAAGAGGCCGATGCGGAGAAGGAGCGAAAGTTTGAGGAGAGGTACCAAATTGCTTTTGCACTTGAGCAAAAGCGGATTGATTTGGAGAGAGACAAGTTCGAGTTCAAGAGAATGACAAAAGAAGATAAGCTTTTGAGGACTGATACTAGTGCAATGAGCATCGAGGAGCAGGAGTACTATAAAAATGTGAAGAATCAAATTCTAAGTCGTCGTTCAGCTCAAGCATAAATTAGTCTTATTACTCATCAATTAGCATTCAAAATTTGTTAGATCTTTAGCTATAGAGTCTACTTACTGGACTAGTAAATTTTACTATCTTGTTTTGGTACTGTTTTATGTAGCCGGAGCATTTGCTACTACTACAAAATTGCTGGAAATTGTTTTTTTGTTCAAAATTGCTGGAAATTGTTGCTGATGGAATTGCTTCTTCATCTCAAATGGCCCTGTTACTGATAGTGTGCATTTTCAGTCCATGTTGTCCACTAGTGCTGAAATAACCCGGTTGTTACAGAGCCATTCAGGCATCAATTTTACAAGGGTTGAAATAAGTTTCAGTCCATTAAAGTAACTGTCAGAACTAGTAGCAATGTTCGATGATGATTGGCATGTAAAACCTTCAGTTATGGCACCAGTAAGTCCCTCATCCTCCACTGAGGAAGATTGATTACCAGCAGGTTCAGTTTGTGAATAAAACTGTGAAAAGGCGCTAGCAAGCTGATCCCTTAACTCCCCAGTATCAGAGCTAGTCTTATAAATCGCAAGGTGAAGTGCCTACCTTCTGAAATACTTTGAATGGCCTAAAGTTCAGATTTTCAGAGTTTACACTATGGGACCATCTTTTCCTGTCTCTCATTTCTCTGATGCTACCCTGACAAGTGCTATTCGCACTACACATAATGCAAAACAAAAGCAATATGCAAAGAGTTCATGGAATTGCATATGTAGCAAAAATGCCAGAATTTATCATCGGCTTGCATATGTAGCAGTGCATATTCTGATGTACACCCTTGTGGTGTATATCCTGTATATATATCCAGTCCTGAAAAAGGATATGCACTGCTGTCCTTTTCAGTCTATTGTACTGTATCGAATTCAACAATAAATCACATTGTCAATAAATAATTACTATAAGCTCAATATGTACTAATTTAAAAACAAGCTGTGAATCTCCAATTATTACAATCTATGACATTATCTATAAGAATATATAATGTAAAATTAATATCGGTCTGCATGATGATTCCACAAATGTTCGATGAGGTCTTCCCTTAGTTGGTTGTGAACTTCCTTGTCTTGAATTTTTTCGTACTGACTAATAAAATCATTAAAGTTGGTCGTACGTTCATGGGAACCACCCACCTGTTCTCCCATCTCATCATAAACTAGATCAAAATCACCATCGCGCTCGTCCTCCACAATCATGTTATTCATGATTATACAAGCTCTCATTATCTGATTCAGAGTAAGTGCTTTCCAAAAACGAGCTGGTCCACGGACTATAGCAAACCGAGCTTGAAGCACTCCAAATGCTTGTTCAACATCCTTCCTAGCGGCTTCTTGTGCTTTGCTAAAATATTTTCTCTTATTTCCTTGTGGCAGCTTAATGCTCTTCACAAGTGTTGCCCATGAAGGATAAATACCATCTGCAAGATAGTACCCCATAGTGTAGTCGTGCCCGTTAATACTATAATTAACTTTAGGAGCCTGCCCTTCAGCTAGCTTTGCAAACAGCGGTGAGCGTTGAAGGACATTAATATCATTGTGAGATCCAGGTGAACCGAAGAACGCATGCCAAAACCATCGGTCACGTGAGGCAACAGCTTCTAAAACTATAGTAGGAACTCCCTCTTTCCCTTTATACTGGCCTTGCCATGCAGTCGGGCAGTTCTTCCACTGCCAATGCATACAATCTAAAGAACCCAACATTCCTGGGAACCCTCTTTCTTCCCCCTGAGCAAGTAATCTAGCTATGTCGTTCTCGTTTGGTGTTCTTAAATACTCCTCTCCAAAAACTTCATCAATAGCCACCACAAACCTGTTAAAACTCTCAATAACGGTACTACCTCCAATACGAACATACTCATCAACTGCATCTGCCGCTATTCCATAACATAACATACGTGACACTGCTGTTACCTTTTGCAAACATGACAGTCCAAGCACACCAGCCGCATTTCTCTTCTGCACAAAATATTCATCATGTGCTTCTATAGCATTCATTATGCGTAAAAACAGAGGTCGTCTCATTCTAAACCTGCATAGTAATTAACGATATTAATTATTTTTAATATCAATTTTGCAAACAAATATTGTCAAAACAAAGCACTGCTACAAACCTGCGTCTAAACTGAACATCGAGGTACGTAGGTTCTTCAGAAAAATAATCATTATATAATCTCCGATGTCCAGCCAATCTTTCCCGATTAATTACTGCATGACCTATAACAGATCCACCACGCTTTGGAACTTCATCATCGTCGAACTCATCGTGCACTATATCAACCGCCAAAGAAATAAATTCTTCGTCGCCATCCGATAAAGACTCCTCATCCAATAGCATTTGGAGGAGGGTACTTCGACGACTCATCTTCTCTTTTTTATTGCCACAGGGTTGGAGCGTTTACCACAGGGATGAAGTGCAATGGAGAGAACCGATGGCAGGAATACAACAATAATCAATCTATAAAATTAATTATTAGATCAAACTTAATATTTTCCAACAATAGATATCCACATAACCAAATAGAGACAGATATTGACTAGGGCACAAGAGATCAATAGGATTTGCTAGGGATTACCTCCTTGATGACACGAATAGCTATGGCATATCCTTGGTATTCCGTTTTTGTAGAAACCGCAGCACTCAGGACACTGGTTGGCTGGTGATGATGCGATTTACACAGATGGCGGCGCTGGTGTGGGAGGGAGAAGGTGCGGGGAGGGAGAAGTCTCGGCGCTGGTGCGGGGAGGGAGACGATCGATCGGTACCGAACTAGGCCCACCTTGCTTATGTGGCAAACTAACAAATGATAGGGAATTAATTTTTGGGCCTCTCTTGGAGGAGGGGGTGATTGTTGGGCCCAATTCTTATTTTGGAATTCCTAATTCAGATTTTTTGGGAATCAAATATTGGGTGACTGTTGGGCATGCTCTTAACACAGCGATTAGAGCAAGGTTAATAGTATAACCCACTACTATCTTCAATTCATCTATAAGAGCAAGTCTAATAGTACAGCCCACTACTAGCTCCAATTCATCTATAGCCAATCTAATAGCCAATTCATACAATAGTTGTTTACTATACTATTAATATATGGTCCCACCTGTCATATACACAGTGTGTCTTGGGCTCCGTGCTGCAGCTGGCTACATATCTGTAACCCGCTACTCCTCTCTCTCATCGTTTATCTCATTAAAATATGTTTATAGCTGGCTAATAGCCTGCTATTATACATGCTCTAAGGGTATTCCCAACCCAATGACTAGGATTGTGTCTATAGCATTAAATAAGTTGCCACCTAGGATAAAAAATGATGTGGCAAGTGAATAAATGAGGAAAGAGAAGGAAACCATGTCTTGCATGAGACATGGTTTCTTCACAACATCTAAGACATCATGTGAGATAAGTAGCATTAAATTGAAGTATGGAATAGTGGTGTTTGCATTGGAAGAGTAGTGTCTAGTACTCCGTACTAGTTTCTTGATGATGTGGAGTTTATGGAAACTATGTCTAGTGTTATGGGTTGGGACTGCCCTAAGCAATGTAATAGTTAATTCATATAATATTTGCTTACTACACTATTAATATATGTGGTCCCACATATCATACACACGATGTCTTGGAGTCCGTGCTGCAGCTGGCTATATATCTGTAGCCCGCTGCTCTTCTCTCTTATTTTTTATCTCATTAAAATATATTTATAGCTGGCTAATAGTGTGCTATTGTACCTACTCTTAATCCCCTCTGATTAATTAATTAATTAATTAATTAGCTAAAAACCCGTCGCTGGAATCTCGCAATCAATCCGCCAAAGTCGGCAGCAGCAGCAGCAGCAGCGAAACACAGAATCATCATCAACCGCCACTGCTACTAATCCTAATCTTAATCCCCCGGTGGTTGCATCGAACACTGCACTATTATACTCCGAGAGTGGGGGTAGGAGAGAGAGAAGTAGTAGTAGTAGTATCCGAGAAAGCTGCGAGCTTTTCTTCCCCGATTCGAGCTGCACGCGCGGGAAGGAGGAAGGTAATGCGGGTCGCCAATGGCGGATGATGCAGGTGAGCTCTTCTTCTTCTTCTTCGACCTCGTCGATGGCGGTGTTCGTCGTGAAATCTCTCTGTTTTTTTTTCTTCTTCTTTCTTTCTTTTCTTTTCTTTTTGAGCTTTGGATGCTGTGTTGCATTTATCACTTTCCCCGATGCATTTATTCTGCTCGGGGGAGAGGGAGAGTTGAGTGCAGAAGCGAGAGGAGGGAGATAGCTGTACTGGCCTCACATGGTGAAAGCTGCAGGTGGTGGTGGCGGCCATGGCCTGGACCCCGCGCCTTTCTTTCCCCTCCGCTTTTGAGCTCGCCTCCTGCTCCGATCTGCCCGCGTGAGCTGTGACCCCGCGCTTTTCCCCCCCTCTCCCCCCCAGCTCAGCTCAAGAGGATAGAGATAGAGAGAGAGAGAGAGAGAGAGAGAGAGAGAGAGAGAGAGAGTTATTGGGAAGCAAGAAGAAATGTGGTGTTGAGATTGAGAGAGTGTGTGTGTTCTTCACGGAGTTCTTGCGATGCGATGCGAGGCATTCCCGTCTTCTCCGTGTAGTCGTTGAATTCGAGGAGGTATTAATGCCCGCCATCCCTCCTCGCTTCCTGCTCTACCTCTGCTTGTTTTTTGCTCCCTCTCGCTTCGTTCTTGGATTCCCTCATGGAATTTCTTCTTCGCTTCCTCTGAATATTTTTTTGTTCTTTCTGTTTTTGTTACTCTTTCTTCCGCCGGATTTAGTGGGAATACCTCTTGATTTGGGGGCTTCGAGAGGAATTTCGGCGTCAAGCTGCAATCTTTTTCGGGGATTTTCACCCTGGTTTCTTGGGTTCTCTTGGGGAATTGCGAGTAGTCGGTGGCTACTGTTATTTTGCACTCTGACATTCTCTCTGTGAAAAAACACTTACTTTTTTTTTACTGTTTTATTTGCTGCTACTGCAAAAGCATGCTAGTAAAACAACAGGGTTTGATTGGGTATCAATGGTGATAAATTCCATCTTACCTCCACTGTTTTTTTGGTACAATGATGCATTGTTCTTCTCTTGCAATGTTTTGATCTCTTTGTTTTCTCGGCACTGTTTGTTTCTGATTGGATTTAGTGTCAGTAAGAATGCTAGTCTGATTTAACTTTTGCCAAGTTGTGCTGAAAAAAGAAATAAGTGACAGTCTTGCAGCATGTGCTGTGGGCTACTAGTCAATGCAAAAAGGTTGTGTGCTTGTGAATTGTCACGGCATTCTTCTTTCTTTATAGTAGGTAGTGTGTTGAGGATGTTGCGTCTTTCACAATCAAATGTTATCATTCTCGGTGCTAATTTTCTACTGCATGTTGTTTGATCCAGACCAGCAACCTGCAACTGGGCGAGCTGCTGATCAATGAAAAGCAGCATACGGTGGTAATTAAGAAATCAGGGGTTTCAGCTCTGATCTGTTGAACAGTTGATGGTTATGGATCGAACGAGTTGGCTCTGGAGGCGCAAGCCGTCAGACAAGAGCCCCGGAGGCGCCGAGAACACCGTGTCTGTGTCGTCACATTCTGAGCACTACTCTGATGATCAGGTTCTATCCCATGTCTGATGACTTTGTTTTGTATAACTAGAGTTCTTTCTACCTCAATAGGACAGTTTAGTTGCTATGTTCTTTTCGGACCTACGTCGCGGTTGTTACATTCTTTAGTCGTAGCCATTCTCTTTCTAGCTGTTATAAACAAATCTCCTTTTTAGCTTTTAAGAAAATGAGAGGCAGGATAAATTACTTGCTTTTTTTATCTGAATGAGAATGGAATTTGAATCCAGGACTCCAACAATGTGATAACTGTACTATCGACCTATTGTTTTCAGAGATAGCGAAGTTTGTCTTAGAAAAGAAGTCTGAAACTTTACATTATAAGTGTTACAGAAATGTCACTTTAGGATTGTACAGGCAAGATGTCATTTTCACTTCCTTGGGCAGATATATATCGCAGACAAACTTATAGTTTGGCCTGATTCTAATGGAGCATAGTGGTTCAGATGATAATGTCTGATGAATGCATTGATATTGACTTGATGTATTATGGTACTAGAGATTGAGCAGCATGTTGCTACCTAGTACCTACCGAGTACAGACTATCGTGCTCATAACAGTAGCTCAAACCGTATAAAATCTGTCATGTTGAGGTTGAGTATGAAGCTGAATCTCGACTTCTATTAATGAAAATGTTGTAGCGATGTGCCGATGTTTCATAATATTTGTAATGCCCTTTTCCGTGCAAGCAAAGAAAAAGCTTTGAACAGACAAAATGATGCTGGTAGTATTTAAGGGAGTTAAGTACCCTGTTCAGTTAACTCCAAGAGAGTTCTTCTAATTATGAGAAAATTCATTCCTTAAAATTTATTCTGAATAGTATCTGCCAACTAAAGACAATTAAATTCAATTCGCCCAATCTCCTGTAAGATGCTCTTGAAATCTATGCATATTTTTCAAGGTTCTAACTATTAAGTTCTGCAACAGTCTATATTGATGTACCTTTTTGTCAACCTGTTTGTGTTTTCTTGTATGAAGGTAAATGAGCTGCCTAATAGCACTAAATATGGACATAAATAGTTAATACTTGTAATATAATTTATACATATATGGCATCTTTTGCTAAATCTGGATGCTGTTTTATTTCTTTTTCTGAATGATAATAAATGATTTATCCTGAGTGTTCGAATTTTGTTTGCTCATGTTAAACCAGGAGGTTCTGAGGCCTGTCTCAAACAATGCTTCACCACATCTTGGCCAATCACCTGGAATGCCTTCAAGGGTTAGGGATGATGGGACCCAAGAGATTGGAGTCACAAAACCCTCGAATGAGAAGTTAGCATTGGGATTTAAACTAAATGATTCTTCTCCACGGCATGGTCAATCATCAGAGCCACAGTCATCTTCAAATGTCAGAGATGAAGATGTAAAGGAGAACTTGAAGAGTTTGAATGATAAACTTGCTGCTGCATTTTTGACAATTAATGCTAAAGAGGAATTGGTGAGGCAGCACGCTAAAGTCACAGAAGAGGCTGTTTTGGGTAAATATATCCTTTCTATAACATCTTTTTTTTTTTTGGAGAAAGGGAGGTAGGCCTTCCCCACTTCTATTACCAGAAATGGCTGAAATGACATGTAGTTCTTACAGCAAACAAAATAAAACATAGATAGGAGCTTCAGCATGCCTTTTAGCCTGATGCCGTCCTGTTGGGTGCACACCGATGGCTGGATAGTCTGCTGCTTTGAGATCTGATAATGACTAGAAAGAAAAGATAAAGCTATAATAGTTTCTAGAAAAGCAACTTGAAAGCATCACTTCCTGTGTGGCTGTGCTACACAAAATCCTTTCTATAATTTACGCATATTAACTAAATGATTCCTCCATGTTAGTTATTTTGTAGGTAAACTTTAGAAACTGTGCACTTAATTGATCCACACTTCCATTCATTAATCTGCAAAGTTACTTCTGAGTACTGAATTGCGTTTGTAAAAATTGTTGTAAGAGATCAAATTGATTTAGGTAATTTTATTTGTCTTTGTTGCATATTACTAATCTTGTCATTGATATACATTTTTTAGGTTGGGAACAAGCTGAATCTGAAGTTGCTGCCCTAAAGAAGCTACTTGAAGCTTCAGCCCAGAAGAATGGTTCCCTCGAGGTTCAAGTCAGCCACTTAGCTGAAAAAAATGCTTCTCTCGAGGTTCAAGTCAGCCGCTTAGATGAGGCTCTGAAGGAATGTGTCAGGCAGCTGCACCTAGCACAGGAAGATCAAGCGGAGAAAGTCCATGATGTAGTTACCAAGTCCCAGGAGTTGGAGTCTGAGAACTCAAAGCTCCAAAACCGCATCACTGAACTGAAGAAGCAGCTGGAAACCACGAAACTAGAAGCCTCCAACATGTCTATAGATCATGATCTGCAAGAGAAGTTTCAGGCAATTAAGAAAGAGAACATGGATCTCAAGTCCAAGCTTCTTGTACAGTCCAAGGACCTGAAGATACTATCATTGGAAAGAGACTTGAGCAATCAAGCAGCGGAAACAGCAAGCAAGCAACATTTGGAAAACGTGAAAAAAATTGCAAGGCTTGAGGCAGAATGCCGCAGATTACATCATCTAACTCGCAAAGCAACATTAATTAATGATTCTAGGCCTCTGGCAAACAATACTTGTGTGGAGTCACTTACTGATAGCCAATCTGACAGTGCTGAACGCATGGCTGCTGTTGATAATGAACTGCGGAATTCCGACTCATGGGCATCTGCTCTGGTAGCTGAGTTTGATCAGTTCAAGAATGGAAATGCTGATGAGAAAAATCTTGTGAACAATCCTGTTGTGATTGATCTAATGGATGATTTCCTTGAGATGGAGAGGTTAGCTGCATTGCCTGAATCAGATCGCACAAGCTCTACCTTCGATATGGAAACAGATTCTGATAAAGCTGTGACCAGAAACAGCTCCTCTAAACTTGAAACTGAAGAGTTGAGGAATCAGGTGGCTGATTTGCATGCACAGGTTGAGAAGATTGAAAGTGAGAAAAAGGAGCTTGAGATGGCACTAATGGAGGCAAGAAATCAACTTGACATCTCCTGCAATGCACTAGTGGCAGCAAAGAACAGGCTAGTTGAAATGCAAATGGAGTTGGACTTGGCAAATGACTCCAAGCATGATGCTTTGAGGGATTTTGAGGGATTGAACTCAGAGAAGAAGGCTTTGGAGTTTCAACTGGAGTCTAAATCTGTACGAGTGGAGGAGTTACTTCAGGTGGTGGCTTCATTGGAAGAAAACACAGATAAAAAGGAATTGGAGTCACAATTAGAACTGCTGTCTGCGGAAGCCAAAGAGCTTCGTCTGACTGTAACATCATTATTAGAGAAGATTGAAGCTGAAAGGTCTCTTTCTGTGCAGCATCAAGCAGAAGCAGTGGCTGCATGTAATGCGAAAGAATCGTTGGAGGAACAGCTATATTCAGCAAACACTGAAGTAGAGAGATTGCATGTCATTGTCAAAGAACTGGAGGATGAGGTAGAAAAAGAGAAGATGAGGCAGGAAGAACTCGTGGCAGAATTAGAAATGAAGATGGAAACAGCTGTCGAGGCTATTAAAGAATCATTGGAGGCACAACTATGTGCAGCAAACACTGAAGTAGAGAGACTGAATAGCATAGTTCAGGCACTAGAGAACGATATAGAAAAAGAGAAGGCGCTGCATAAAGAACTGACAGCACAGTTAGAGGTGAAGTTTGAAGAAGAGAAAGCTCGTTCTGTTCAGACTGTTAAGGAATCAATGGAGGCACAGCTATGCTCATCAAACACCGAAGTACTAAAACTGCGTGACATTGTTAAAGCACTAGAAAATGAGGTAGAAAAGGAGAAGGCACTGCATGAAGATCTTTCAGCACAGTTGGAGGCGAAGATCGAAGCAGAGAGAACTTTTTCTGTGGAGGCTATTAAAGAATCATTTCAGTCAGAACTCCAGTCAGTGAACTCAGAAGTTGTGGAGCTGCGCGGTATGGTGACTGCACTTGAGCATGAGGTGGTAAAGGAGAAAACATTTTCTGCAGAGCTCCAAATGCAGCTAGAAGCTCTGGAGGCAATAAAAAGGGTGTTGGAGTCTGAGATTGAGTCTGCACATCAGGATAACAGAAAGCTCAATGATAAGGTGAAGTCTTTTGAAGCAAAACTGAAAAAACAGGTGTCTTCAGCGGTGGACTTCACAGCCAAGGAAGAAGCCATGCAGTCAGAGAGAAGGGCCATGAAGCAACAACTTGAAGCAGCAAAGATGGAAGTTGGAAAGCTGACAAACAAGGTGAGCTTGCTCCAAGGGGAGGTGTTACAGGAGAGATTGTTATCAGAAGAGTTCGAACAAGAATACCACAAGCTGGAGGCTCGGCTGTCAAGGGATAGCCGGGACGCGAAGCTCTGGCGACTCGCAAATTCAAATGGGGGTCTGAAGGCCAAGCAGGTATATATATACTGAAGTCTTGTAATTTACATCACACCATTTACCCTTGGCTTAACACACTCGCCTGGTATTTATCAAGAAATGGATCCAACTATAAATCGTTGTGTTTGTCACAGGAGAAGGAACTTGCAAATGCTGCTGGGAAGCTCGCAGAATGCCAGAAGACCATAGCTTCTCTCGGCCGTCAGTTGAAATCATTGACCGACATCGACAATACGATTGTGGAGCCTGAGAGACTGGAACCCAGAGAAATCAGAGAAATGCCGCTCGATTTTAGAAATAGTGATGCTGACTTTGCAGTATTTGCAGATGAGTTATATGATTTTGATCTTCCAAAGGTCAACAGCAGCTGCTTTTCGCCGTTACCGTCGATCCAGCCCTCTTCGCCACCTTCAGAAATGTCAGTATTTGCAGGGGGCCTGTCTTCACTTAGTAGTTTCAGAAGCAAAAGAAGAAAGTAAAGAGCTGGTGAAAACAAACTGTCCAGATGCTACTAACAGTTCATGGATGCTCTCATCTGTAGGTAGATCAGTGTACATTTACAGAAACTGATTGTAGATTCTGTGTGCTGAATTCCGTTCCAGCAAGCTCAGTTTTTTTTTCACAGCCTTCTTGATGAGATTTTTACTGTATCAGTGTTGGCTGTTTTGGTGCCAGAAAAAATGGGAAGAAAAATGTAAACTCAGTATCAGTGTGAGACTGCAGAAGTGCAGATACATTGTGGTGTATTTGTGTTGTGCGGCTTATACTTGCTGTGTGAATTGTGATCTCCATATTACCAATCATACTTATTCTGCCTGATTGAACGAAATGTCCAAATTCAGTCTCTTACAAATTTCTCTGGGATAATAATTGCATGTGTTATAAGAAGTTTGGCTGCTCATGCTGCACTTGAATTGTTTTTTTTCAGTGGTCAAATACTGAATACTATACGACAAGAAAACAGGAGAACAAACAGTGCAAATGTGTTAAATTTCTTGTGACCATTATGTGCTAATCGAGTTAAATGTTTTCAAAGCACTGTACATTCTGTGAACCATCACAAGGCTCCTTGCCAGCCGTAGCCTGACACCCAAGAGAGAGCTACTACTCTGCTGGTCCAAATGAATGCCCTGAAATTTTGGAGTAAATTGCATGGTACAAAGTACGTTTTGTGCGGTAGGTGGTGCAAATTTGTTGATGAACTCTGAAACTGTACGTCTGTATCGTGCGAGTTCTCAGTGACCTATAACGTGTAGTACATAGCAGGTTAAATTAAGGGTCATACGCCATGCAAGCGAGCCAACGATCACTCGATGAACGATTTCAAGAGTATCTCCAACAATTATATTTGTGGTCATGGATGTTATCATGTTAAGCTTGATGAGTACTATATGTGCTTCGAGTGAACTGAGGAGAAGAGCCCATTTTGATCTAAGCTCTATCCAAAATAATCCTACTCTTATCTCTGTCCCTAAAACACCTTATTTTTAGACCGAAGTATTTATCCCATAAATACTTTGTTTATGCGTGGTGTTCATTAGTCCTCTTTATTATCCACGTTTTCTTTTCCTTCTTTTAGAGACCACTATCCCACACCTCCAATTATCTGGTGAAAACGGTATTAATTAGAGCTTGGATATGTTAAAAGTCTAGGGGAGGATACAAGTTTAAGAGAAATATATAGTCTTAATGAAGGGCATAATTGTCTTTTCATATCAATAATAACTAGCTGGGTAGCCCGCGCAATTGCGCGGCTAGCACCCATACAAAATTATATATTTTTTAATATTTAAAATTTATTAAATAGCTATCTCGTTGTCTTAAGGCTTTGAAAGATCAAACCTTATCATCATCGTGTTTTTGATTTTATAGTTTTTAAAAGTCACACCAGTTGATACCTCTTAATTCTGTCATATCCTTCTTCTTTATTTGCTTGCTCGATTTACCACTGTTTCTATTCATTCTCCTTAGAACCTTTAAAATTTGGATCATATAGTTTTTAGAGTTTATTGTTCCGTTGGGTTTTGTTTTTATAATTTCTAGACCTTTAAAAATTGGATCATATAGTTTTTAGAGTTTATTGTTCCGTTGGGTTTTGTTTTTATAATTTCTAGAAGTCCCGTCAAACGCTGCCATTATACTCCTCTACGGCCGTCCACTGCCTCTTCTCTTTATTGTCGTTGGTATTTTAAAAATCAAACATAATTAACGTTTAGGTGCATTTTTTTACTTTCTAGAAATTCCGCCAAAACATCAGCGACTATGTCACTGTACTCCTCTATGACTCGTCTGCTGCCTCCCTTCTTTATTGTCATTGAGATTTTAAAATCAAACATGACTATCATTAGGGTTTATTTTTTTTTACTTTTTAGAAGCCGAAACCTTTAAAATTGGACAATATAGTTTTTAGAGTTTATTGTCTCGTTGGGTTTCATTTTTTATAATTTTTTGAAATCCCGTCAAATATTGCCACTATACTCCTCTACTACATGTTCGTCGCCTACTCTTTATTGTCATTGGGATTATAAAATCGAACATAACTATCATTGGAATTCATTTTTTACTTTTTAAAAGTCCCACCAGCCATCGGCCGCTCTGCCATTGTACTCATGTATGACCTGCCCACTACCTCTCATTTTTATTGTCATTGAGATTTTAAAAATCAAATATAATTATCATTCAGGTTTATTTTTTTTACTTTCTAAAAGTCCCGCCTACCACCTTGACCGATTGCTTCATGATCTGCCCGTCGTCCTTCCTTTTAATCGTCATTAGGATTCTATTTAGTGTTTTATTAATATTTTTTAGATGTCTCATCAACCACCACCACTTTACTACTTTATATGCATATTACTTAATTAATCTCCACATGTGTTTTATATAGTGTTTTCTTTCAATAGTCCTTATTTTTTTTATCACCAATTGTAGTTATTTATAAATTGTATTCCTAGTTGAATTTTTTTCTACTTTCAGAATTTATTCTATTTTTTGTTTCGAATTTTAACTAATATCGTATTGTGTCCTTTTAATATTTTTATTTTGTATTTTTAATTTCAGTTGTTTCAAAATTGCATTCATACTTGAACTTTCTTTTTAATTTGTCTAATTTTGGATTTTATTTTATTTTTTATTCCGAATTTTAGTTAATCTCGTATTGGGTTCTTATACGTACTCTTATTTCAATATTGCTTATATTTAATTCCGAATTTTAGTTAATTTTAAATTGTATTTCTACTCGAACTCTTCCTTTCTTTTCTTTTTTCTAATTTTGACTTTTTATTTTTTTATTCCGAATTTTAGTAATCTCGTATTGGGTTTCTATATGGACTCTTCTTTCACTATTGCTTAATTTTAATTCAAAGTTTTAGTTATTTTTAAATTTTATTTCTACTCAAACTCTTCTTTTCCTTTTTTTTCTAATTTTGGATTTTATTTTATTTTTTATACCGAATATTAATTAATCTCGTATTGGGTTCTTATAAGGACTCTCCTTTCAATAGTGCTTATTTTTAATTCCGAATTTCAATTATTTTTAAATTGTATTTTAAGTTGGACTCTTCTTTTCTTTTTCTCCGATTAATGTGGAAATTTCTAGCCTCCGCAGCAAATATAGTGCCTCCTTTCAAGTTGTTTTAAAAATATAATAGATAAGGTTTATAAGTAACGAAAGGAGTCGGCACCATGCCCACTAAGCACTAGAATCTAATTAAGACAAAAAAAATTGTAGGGAATGTTCATAAATGTACCTATTAATTGATAGTATACCACATTTGCCTAAATAGTTGCATCTTTTATTGCATGAGATTTAAGTGTTGAACTTTTCAAGAAAACGTGTATGAGGTGGAAATATGTCCTTTTCTTTAAGACTGAAATATTAGACGCTTCTATTAAAATTTTCTCTACATTGATAAATACTGGAAGTACACATAATGGGAAAAATGGACAAACATTAATTTTGAGAAGGACGTAGTTCTACCGGCCGGTATAAGTAGCAGTCTGTAGCATGATGCAAATTTGGCTCCAGTAGCATTCAGCCTGTGCTGAAGTGCCACCCCACACTTCCTCTAATTTTAAATGTAAGTTGTACTCTGATCCTCTCATCTCTTTTTTAAATATGAGATGTTTTAGGATTTTTTTGGATATATTTTTTATTGTTTTCTTGTTTTCCCTTGCTAAATAAATTGTACTATTTATATTTTCAATGTAGTATAAACAAATGGAAACAAAGTTATTTATGTTATTTTTTAAATTCAACTGCATCTAGAAGTCATATATTTGGAACCAGATGGAGAATCACAAATCATTGCCAAAATGAGTGAGCACCACACCGCAGCTTCCATGCATCAATGCATCCAAGAAGGCAAGAATTACTCTTGTCGTAGCAAGGGTTGGATCTGTCTGCAATCAATGGTCAATAATGAATTAAGGATAGCTCAAATCAACAAAAAGTATAGCAGTACAAGCATAAACCAGCCTCCATTTTGGGTGAGCATACAATAGGGTTTAATCATAGTAGGCAAGTTAATGCCTGAGAGAAGAGGTACTAATTGAATGGTTTTAGGTTAACCATCTTTGGAAGGATAGGATGTGAAAGAGAGGAATTAATTGAGCATGCGATGCAAGTGAGCCCAATCAATTGCTGGAATAGTTGGTTGCTGATTTTTTTTCCCAAATCTTCCTTTTCCTAGCTTCCATCCGTGCATCCCTTTTGCTCAGTTTTTCTTTTTTCTTTTTAATTTTATGTGAGCTTCCAGAAGATCGATCTCCTTTGCATAATTTCATGCCTATATTTTCTGTATGCTACACGTCTAGAAAACCAGCAACATTTATTGGTTGCTGATTCATGTAGAATATGGGTGCAGCATATAGGTTTTTATTGTTTTTTCTTTTACAACTTGTGAATGAGTTTGGTGGGAGAGAGGTTGTTAAACTTCTTACTTTAGGGACATGTTGAAGGTGGATAATGACCTAGGGTCTTCTTTAATGGTGTTTCACCTCAAATAAAATAATTACTTCCATTGATAAAAAAAAAGGCCTTTCCTCATGTCAAGATATTCACAATTGTTCATCTGGGTTTCCTAGGAATTTTAAGCTTCACCTGTTTCTCTTGTTTAGCATTAAAAAAACATTTAGTAATGGACAGATTCCAAAATCAAGAGATGGTGACACTAAACGTAATAAATCCTGTCAAGTGGCTAATGAATTTAGGTCACACACTCAACATCTCATCCTAATCTCTACGTTGACTCAATTAATCATCCTTTTATTTGAAAGAAGTTGTATTAATTTGATGCGATATGAATCGACGTAATGCAACCGTAGCACAGAGATGTTCCTTTAATGCCTTCTTTTTTGCTTATCTTGAATATAGTTGACATAAAAATTATTCTCCAGAACCAAAATAGAAGGTTCGGTTTGACAGTAACATGAACCTGAAAAACTATTGGGCATCATCTTTTGAGATGGACCAAAGCCGATAGAAATTGACCAAGAAACTTAGCGTATAAATTAAGCGTAATATTACCAAACGATAACAGTAAAGCCGGTGTAATTTTGCGTACATGTAGCTGATTTTACACTATTTTCACCTATAATTTTCTTGGTCAAATTCTGACTTATTTTCATTTAAAAAAATTTAAACCTCTCCGTTTATAAACATTATAAACATATAACATCTTTGGAGTGTAAAGAGCTTAGGATGAAGCCAATGCTCATCTTTATTTACATTTTACATCTTGTCCTAACTTACTTGTACAAAAGAATAGACTGGTACTATACTCGTACTTAATTGATGTGTAAATAT